ATACACGACGAAACAAGATGCATCTTCAAGAGTACTTCCTTATCTGTCTGTAAGCATGAATAGCTTTATGCGATGCATATACACTGCCGGCGGAAAGTTTCCGACCACCTTTACTTTTTTCGATTAATACGGTTTAACACAGCTGTAAGTTATAAAACGAACATTTATTCTTTGCTTATTTGTTCGTATTGAAGTTCTCCTTGTTTTAGTACCTGCTTGTCCCACCTGGGAATCCCCCAAACCTTAGTTAGGATTATTTTATGGAAGAAATTCATTTCAGCTGTAGGAATGAGGATAGAGCAGTAAACTTTTTTGAGTGCTCGTACCTGAATTTTCGTACCTTCTAGGGTAGGTAACTTAGGTTGATTGTTACCTTAGCAATATAGACTACATTGTATTCAAAACTTTAGTATAAATATCGAGTAATGGGTGAGGAGGCTCAGTGTAGCAGAGAATCTTCTCAGAGAACAGATCTTGCATATAAAACGTGAGGAAATGGGAAAATCTAAAGAATTGAGTGTTGCAATACGAAGTGCTATATGCACTTTGCATTCTGAAGGAAAATCAGAGCGAACAATAGCGACTCAATTAAAAATATCGAAAACAACGGTACACGATGCCATTGTGCGGTTTCAATCTACGGGGTCACATGTGTCCAGGAAACGATCTGGGAGACCAAGGGTTACCACGGGTGCAGAAGATAAGCATATTATATTATTAAGCAAGCGGAATCGCAAGAAAACTGCATCACAAATTACGGCAGAAATAAATGGTACACGAGGTAACGCGGTGTCACTTACCACCGTAAAGACACGCTTGAGGGATGCAGGGTTATTTGGCAGAATTGCAGTAAAGAAACCCCTACTTCGGCCAATTAATAAAAAGAAGCGACGTCGATGGGCCTCTACTCATGAAACATGGACATCAGAAGACTGGAGTAAAGTTCTCTGGACCGATGAATCAAAATTTGAAATATTCGGCTCAGCACGACGTGTTTACGTTCGCCGTACTACCACGGAAAAGATGTTGCCACCGTGCATAGAACCCACAGTAAAGCATGGTGGTGGGTCGATTCAAGTCTGGGGATGTTTCTCAGCAAATGGAACAGGTGATCTTGTTCTGATAAACGGTATCCTCAAAAAGGAACGCTACAAAGAAATATTGGAAAGCCACGCAATTCCATCAGGACTACGGTTAATTGGGCGCGGATTTGTACTCCAGCAAGACAATGATCCAAAGCACACGGCCAAACTGTGCAAAATATTTCTTCAACAAAAAGAAGACGAAGGAATATTAAAAAACATGGTTTGGCCACCTCAATCCCCAGACTTGAATCCGATTGAGCTGCTTTGGGATCACCTGGATCGAACGGTTAGAAAGCAGTGCCCAACATCCAAACAACACTTATGGGAATTATTGCAGAGTGCGTGGAAAGATGTTTCGCAAACAATGCGAACGAAATTAATCGATAGAATGCCGAGATTAGCTACCAAAGTAAAAAGATGTAAAGGCTCGTTTTTTGACGAAAAGGCTGTATAACGCGTTTATCATTAGTTTACCAATAAATATGTTATAAACTTAACTTTTTGTACTATACTACATCTACCCATGATTAGACGTTAAGGAGCATGCAATATTGTAGCCCCATTTTCATTAACTCCGGAATCATTCACAAATATCGAGGTGGTCGGAAACTTTCCGCCGGCAGTGTACATATAGGTCATTGAATGCATAGTGTCCGAGGCAAGTGTTGCCCTATGCTCTGTCCCCCGCAAGATGAAAAACCAAAATGGTAGATCAGTACATTTATATTGGAGGAAGCAACGTGTATCATTAGATACTGTTTGCTGGATTATAGTCTATAAATAAATTATAATCTTTTAACCTTCTGAAGACTCTAATTACTGTTTTTAACATATTATCAACACTATTTATCAAAGAAGTCTTCAATTATAAATTAAACACATTAACTACCACGCTCATTTTCCATGGCTAGCAGATGTTTTCAATATTTACACAAAATGCAAAACCAGAAATATTCAGTTATACGTTATATTTTTTCTATTTTTCAACTGTATGATCTGGGATGTTGAAATACCAATTACGGTATCGGGTTGAACTTTTTAAATTCTTTTTTACCATTTTTTTAAATATTTAATTATGTTATAATTTAATTTGATCGAGATACTAGAATACAAAATAATTTTACGTTTTGGATATACGATAATTGCATATTCCTATTCATGATAAATAACAGCACTTTCGAAATCGGAATTATTACGTGTTTACAATCCTAATATATTTTTGCTATAAATCATTGTTACTTGAAAAATGTATATGATTTTATATAGCGAAAAATATTACATTTCAGTAAACAGAAAAATGTCAAACTCGATCTTCAATGTCGCTTTATTGCCGTCACCTAAGTAGAAAGCAATCTGCTCGTGGTAAAAACGTTTCCTCTTTTCTTTGCAACTTAAACATTTTTCTTGCACAAACAATTTCGTAAGGTAACGTTAATCTTTCAAAGTAATTGCGTCGATCATTTTATAAGAATCAATTTGTACGTAAATAATTTCCTATAATGGATGCGAATTTGCATCTCGAAATTGATTTAATTATAGAAAAAAGTATACAACGCGACAAGTTTTCTTGGTAAGGCGTAAAAGTAGTATGTCGCTCGACCTTTCATCAAACCTTTCATTTATTCTCTCACGGTTGAATAGATCGGTGAAATTACGTATAAAATATTAAATATGTGTATACAGGATGTTCGACTACCATTGGGAAAAATTTTACTGGGAGATTCTTGGGGCCAAAATAAGACGAAAATCAAGAATATCAATTTGTTGATTGAGGCTTCGTTAAAAAGTTATTAAAAAATTAAATTAAAAAATTTCAAATCGTTGTGGAAAAATTATTTTCGGTTGCGGGGGTCAATTACAATTATTTTTGGTGATTAGACATATCCCACTTTTGAGAAAAAAATTCAAGTAGATGTGAAATTTCTCGACAAAATTAACAAATTTCAAATCGTTCTAAAAAAATTATTTTTAGTTGCAGGGATCAATTACAATCTTTTTTTGTCAATAGACATAGCTCTGAATTCCTACGCGTTTTCGAGAAAAAAATTCCTTACCGAAATTATAATGTCTGTCCAGAAATGGTTCTCCGAAATTTCATGCGAATCTTTGAAACATCATAACTCCTGAACGGATTGGACGATTTTAAAGTTTCAAAGTGCAAACAACGCGTATTTTAATGGAGAATATGTAGAAATTCCAAAATTTTGGAAAAGGTGTTCCTTAACCCCGAAAAGTGAGAAAGACCCCATAAAAATGGTCTAAAATGGTGGCCGAACACTCTGTACATTTTCAATAAGTAACACAAAAATAACGTTAATACACAAAAGCAAACGGAATTTAATATTTAGTAGATCCTTTTTTATTTTGTATCACCTGAAATATTTTTTTGGACATCGACTCTATTAATTTACGTAATCCTAATTGATTGTTTAGATGGTATGGTCGATATTATTAAGGATTACTGGGAAGAGGCGGTTTAATTATACATCGTTCAAATACTGTGAAATTGGATTCCTTGGTTTTTGGTAACTGCCTTGGATAACTGCGGCTTTCGGGTGTCGTCGCCTTGTCACTGGGAGAGTATTGCAGTACTTTATTTATTCATACCGTGGGGACGTGTATAGGGGATTGAGGAAAATTCAAAAGGAACGTTCGGAATGGGAAGCAGAACTGGTGCCAGCAACAGTGCTGATGGTGTTGAGACGTCTAACGATGACATTTAAATGCAGTGCCGCGCATCGTTTGGTTCTTCGTGCCACGACGATTCTCTTCTTTCTGTTTTCCCTCGCTTTTCTCTCCTATACTCATTCGCTTCTGTTCCGAAATGCTTGCGTGGATCTATCGTCGAATAAATATTTTTCTTCACATTCCCGGCGAACAAAATTTCTTCATTTTTAGTGGTATTCATATAGCAATTTTATTAGCGATAACGAGGGGGAAAAATACAGGCTATTTAAATATTTTATTAAGCAAAGATAGTTAAATATTTTATTAAGCAAATGCAATTGGTGTAGAATGTTCTGCATTTTTGTGAATCGATATAAGTGTTAAGTGTATTTGTACTTTTTTTTAGGGGGCTATATCAATGGTGGTCGAACCATTTTATAAGTTTTACTACAATTCCTATAAAAGAATTACCTAACATGACGTACAATTAGTGTCCTGGCCCACAAACTTCCCATTACTAAGTAATAAAAGACAAATATTTATACCTATTTATAAATAAAGAAAATAAATGAATTTGTAAAAATCTTATTTTCTCAAAAAGATTTTCTTTAGATAGACGTTTTACGCATTTTTAATCTAATAAAGCAGTAATATCTAGTGTTGTAGTATGTACACTACTGCTCATAAGTATTAGGACACTTAAACGAAGAAACGTTGTCAATCTTATTATAAAATTTATAATTATTTATTATATAAAACTATTATAACTTTGCAAAAAGAAGTCTCAGAATGATCTTCCCAGGGTCATTTTAAAGGTTGAATCCTCATGTGGGATCAAAGTAATACAAAACTAATTTAGTATAAATGGGAAGACAATACTATATGTATAGTATATTATTTTTGTATATGGCGTAGTGGAAGAGATCTTAATATCAAATTTTATTTAATAGAATTGTATGTTTTTATGTATGTGGACATATGCATATCTCACTTCATGATAAATTTATATTTATTCGAAAGGGTATATGTTATGATTCACAAAAAAATTTATTTTCAGGTTATTTTGTCAAGATCTCAAGGTTACTCGTTGGTTGATTTATTTTATTCGTATAGGAACCAAAGCGAAGGTTCATCAAATCACTACTTGGCAACCTAAACCTAGCCCTAAATCATACACTGTATCTATAATTTGAATAGAGTTGGCTGTAGATAATTTAGTGATATTTCTGGAATTCTTTTCTGTTTCAGTTTAATTCTGCGAGTAACATTGAAAGTGTAGGTTAAAGATCATTACATCAGAGGCCCCGGAGGACCTGGGCAACGATGGATGGTGCCAGACAGGAATGATAGGTAAACGTTCTTTATAGTCATTAACACTGGACCAATCAAACCCGTTAAAATGATAAATTTGAATTTCTAGACTAATTTTCAGTAACTTTCTGTTCACGTCAAGTGTAACAATTTCATTAATAAACCTATGACTTATAATATTTATAAGATTTGAAAAATCATTATTATGTAATTTTTGAAATGCGTTGCAGGGCGATTTTTGTTTCAAATCGATCGCGTGTTTAGTTCCGGAGATAGGGTTTGCTTACTTTTCAGTGTTTACTCGAAACCAAAGGGGAAGATTTGCTGTTTCTAATAGTGACTCAATTGTGCAGGAAACATGAGTGGTCTCGGAACTGTACTCATCTAAAGTTTTATTATCTTTAATATGCATTAATAGTCTTTGTCAATGGAATTATAAAAATTACCCCTCCATTTAAATTACGATATCTCCAAAACGGAAAGTCGGATCGACATGAAACAAAAATCAGTTTAAAGGCCCTGTCGCTTTGTAACAGTGGTTTAGTTATGAAAAAAACAGTAGTTTCGGAACAGTTTCTTAAATATCCGACAATTTGATAATAGGTATACATCGACGCTGGTGGTTCTTGTTTTGATTAAAATTATCTTAATAATATAGTAATATTTTATTGAATTACGTTGATAATGTAAATGAAAATTTCAATTATAGAATAGAATAATTATACAATAAAATTCAGCTAATAAATAAGCTCATCAAATTTTTAATGAGCAATTTTAGAGACCAAAGTAAGACGAAAATCAAGAATAGCAATTTGTTGATTTAGGCTTCGTTAAAAAGTTATTAACAAAATTATTAATAAAATTTGTCCATCTACACGAATTTTTTTCTCACAAGTGCGTAGGATTTTGGGTATATGTCTATTTACCTCTGCAACTAAAAATAATTTTTCCAAGACGATTCGAAATTATTTTTTTTTTTCGTCCAAAACTTTCAGCACTTGCTCGAATTTTTTTCTCGAAACTGCGTAAGATTTCGGGGGTATGTCTATTCACCAAAAATGATTATAATTGACCCACGCAACTGAAAATAATTTTGTCAGAATGATTTAAAATTTTTTAATTTCGCCGAAAAAATTTCTGGCCCGTATGGAACTTTAAACGTTAATAAGTTTTTAAGGAAGCCTCAATAAAAAAATTGATGTTCTTGATTTTTGTCTCATTTTAGCCTCGAGAATCTTCCATTCAAATTTTTCTCAGGGTTGGCCGAACACCCTATATAATCGAATGGACGTCACGAATAAATTGGTTTACGTAGTCCCTTATTCGAATAAAATTTTGTTGTTAATGTTAATGGGCTTGTTATTAATGTTGCAGAATGCAAGAGGGTAGCACCGCCGTGGCGCTAGCGATGGTGACTCCTGGCTACGATCAGGACCCTGCAAGTGGGGTTGCCGATTACACAACCCATCAAGATCAGGCACAGTTCGAAGCAGACAAGAGGGCAGTGTACAAGCATCCCCTCTTCCCACTGCTAGCGTTACTATTCGAAAGATGCGAACAGGCTACTCAGGGATCGGACAATTCGACGTCCGAAAGCTTCAACATGGACATAGAGGCCTTCGTCCAACACCAAGAAAGAGACCGAAAGCCATTTTTGATCAATGACCCCGAAATTGACGGTTTGGTGAGTTCGAACGATCCCTGATAATTTAAAAATACATCGTTTCCGGACACGTTTGACCCTTAAGAAGGTACTTTTGTCTAGACATGAATCTTTTATCTGTTCTTTGGAATTAAGAAAACGACACTTTTGTGCCGGATTTTATCCCATGGTTTTAGTCTGTATTTAAGAATTATTTAACCATTTTGTTCAGTATGAACTTGTCTATGGACGGTATAAAAATTGTGCAAAGATATTGAAAAATATTGGCTGCACTTTAAAGTTGGTTTGTGGAATATTTTGTTTCATCCTTTGCGTGTAAAAGAGAGAAAGAAATAGACGATTGAGACACGCCAGCAGAACATTTGTCGTGTGAAATGCAATCAGATTACATTTTGTGTTGATTTTTGAAAATTAAATACATTAAGCTAAGTATATTAGTAGTTGACCATTCAACGTTTACAACAACATTGCCTCAAAAATCTATCGTTTTTAGTTCCTGTTGAATGATGATATCAAAGGAGGATGTAGTCAAGTGTTGAATAGTTTTGGTACCTAAATTAATAACGCATCATACTAAAGCTCCAGAGGAATTATAAAAGTATAGTTACTTATAGGAAAATTATAGAAACAGGAAATAAAATGGAAAAGTATAGGTAGAAACTTTACAAGTTTATAAGTAACTTTGAAACAAATGCATGATGTGGACAAACTCAAACACTATTTTATAGTTAAAAATTGATATTTGTATTCCACCTAATAATTCACTCTCAAAAGTACTAATTAACAACATCAAAAAGTAATAAATTAAGGTAATAAATGACGATGATAATTAAGAAAAAAATCATCTGTACAAAAATTGAGTTAAAAATTTAAAATATAGAAATTTTTAAAAAATTAAATAACAAATTATATTTTATTAGATATGTGAAACGTAATTTTGTCGAATTTTGTGCGAAAACCTTAAACTATTTCAAGAAATATTACATTCTTGCAGGAAATATGTATAAAAAAACAATATTGAAAGCATTGAAAAGATTTTATTTCCCATGAATATGGTTATAAACACTTTTAAATTGAATAATTAGGTACTTTTAAGGAATCCTTTAGATTAGTTAATCCCATAAAACATTCATGAGAGATAGTTATATGTAGAAGGTCAACTATCAATACTCTTAACTTAGACACAAACAAAGATAAAGAGAAAAATATCATTTATTTATTTAAAAAATCCTTAAATTCGGTGTATATTAACATCGAGTAATCGTTTTTATATTTTTCTGTATCTTGTAACCAGTTTTTATTTGCAAACGTATGTATTAACGTGTGGTATAAACAAAAATGAATTTAAAAGTCCAGTTGCTTACATATTCTCGTATCGAATATTAATTTCTCGCGGCGAAATCGATTCCCGTCGTTCAAAAACAAAGATCAGAGCGGTAGACGCTCGCGCGAGAAAAACAAAAAAATAATAAACGACGGCTCCCGAAGCACGCAATATGAAAAGAAAATCGATCAGTCGTCGACATTGTTTTCTCACTCCATGCCAATCGTAGATGATCAAGGCGATACAGGTGCTGCGAATCCATCTACTCGAGTTGGAAAAGGTTCAGGAGCTTTGCAAGGACTTTTGCAACAGGTACATCACGTGCCTGAAGGGCAAGATGCAGAGCGAAAATCTGCTACGCAGCGATTACAGCCACCATGGGCACGATATGGGTCCATCGAGTGGCAGCAATGGCAGCAGTCCTTTGCAGGTTAGATATCTTTCCTTTTTACGTTCAAGCCTCCCTGGTCTGCTTTCCCTTACCTACGTAGATATCCTTTTGTTAGTGATGCGCAAGGATCGCGAGTATCTCTCGAAAACGCAACATGCTCTCTCTTAACCACCCTAATTTAACCCGCTCAGCCTACAGACTCATTAACGTTAACGTCTGCAGCGAATCTGTATCGTACCGTTAAGGTAATTAGTAGTTGCTCGTATACTCCGTAGAGAGGGTATATTTCCTTTCACAACAAAATTTCCGCACTTGTTAATTGCTTATCAGGAAAGAGGATGTTTACGTCAGTAAACTAAAATGTAGGCGTACCAATTCTCACGAGTACTTTCATCTAGATCATCAGCATTCCTTGATTTACACCTTGTACATACAGTTAGTAGTTGGTAGATTAAGAGTTGACTAAAGGTTGCCGACGCTTCAGAACTAACGACATGTATCAGGTCATTCCACAAGTAATATGAGTATGTTTCTGTTTTAGATAAGGGTACGATGTAACAATTTGTGATAAGCAGTTTAGTGACCTTGTTCTAAATGGGTTTACCTTTTTCCAGATTTTTTAAAAAAGGTTACATTTCAACACTGAAAAGAAGTATAAATTGTGGGAGCTTGAAAAACGTTTGCTAATTTTTTCGAGACAAAAAAACCCAAAAATTATAAAAGAAACTGCACAATGAGTAAATTTTATGTGTACAATAATTTACAAACATTGTTTGTATTATTACATTCACTTAAAAACCTAAACATCAAAATTATCTTTTTAAATTGTATGTTTTTTGTTAAGAAACTAGCAAAAACATATTACTTTCTCGTGCTCCCTCGATTGATGTCTTTTCAATGTTGAAATATAGCTTTTTTTTTTTTTAAAAAAACCGGAGAAAAATAAAAATACTCAAAAATGGAGTTTTACCCAATTTATTTATTTATAGCCCCCAATTTATTAATTTAATTACATTTTATCTTCAATTTAATTATAACTCCTATTTTGCAAGTATACTTTTCGACAGTTTACAGAACTTTATTAGAGGAGACAGCAGAAACTTTTATTTGATATTAATGTATGAAACAACGCAGACAATATCATTTCTTCTTCTATTTTAATTATCTTTATTTTTTAATTTTTTACGCTAAATCCAATGAGTAATAAAAATATTTAGGGGCTAGGGTTATGTTCGACGGATCTTTAAATAAACCTTGATTCTTGTAAATTTTTGAATAATGTAATTGACATTTGAAATATTATAAAACAACAAATACTCCATTGAACTATTGAATATAATCGAAACTTGCTCCTAGTTTTCCTCAAATTTATTTTAAAGTTTTTACTTGGAATTAACAGGTGTAATTCTGATTCAGTTCGTCGAATAAATTTTCTATACATAGAATTTAATTCACCCTTCTCGTAAAGAGAAAAATAATATTTATGGAATGACCTATACTATAATATTCTGATAGGTGATAAAGTAACGTGAAAAATTATGTCTCTTTAACAGTTCGTAAGAAACTTCTACCAAAAGTTAAGCTAAACGTTGTATTAATTCGATAGAAAATGTATTTTTATTTAATACTAGACTGTAGTTATTAATACTATAATTATAGCGGAAAATAGAAGTAACTAGATGAAAAATTTTATTATTTATTATTGAACGTTTCGATCTCTTATATGGATTCTATTCAGGATGAAATATTTACAACTAAAAAAGAGAGAGTTAGTATGTGGTATTAAACACACTAAGTGGATAAAATTATAAATTGTTAAAACTAACATACTAGCTGTATAGAAAAGAATTATTTTCTTTTTCCTCCATACTACTGATATTAAAGTTTGTGAATATTGTTGGTCATGGAATAAACGAAACGTGATGTATTAATATAAAAAATTATTTTTAACGCATGGGATGTATGTCGGTCCACTTCAAAAACGACGTATTAATATACAAATTAAGAAATAAAATATCTAGTAAGTTTCCATTTTGGTGTTTTTCAACCATTTTCTGACTTACACATTTCTATCTTTTCTTAACATTCAAAATAATTATTGATATTGATACGTCACGTGTCGATTCTCTTATGATCAATAACATTTATAACTTTCATATGTATGTTTGCATAAAAGATCTTTTTATCTGAACATAAACAAAAACATATAAATTCAATTGAATTTAATAAAATATACTCTTGTGTTTTGTCACGTGCTGGAATAAAAAGAGACAGGAGCAGAAACTAATCGTATCATTTCATTGAATTTTGTAGTTGTATTAGTGTATCTAGAGCAGGGGTTGGCAAAGTACAGCCCACGAGGTAAGAATGATTTTTAATTGAATTTCGTGGGAGAATCATGGAAAACCAATAGTACCAAAGGATATTATGTCCAAAATTGAAATCTTGAGGTTGAAAAGTCAGAATTAAGAAAACAGCGTCACGTTAGAGTTTAATCCAACGATTATCTATCGATTTCAATGAAAAATATAATGTACGAAAACTCGTTAGACATTTAACACGTATAGAATTAAATTTCATTTGCCCAACGTCAACCAATAAATCAAAATAAAAATTGATATATTTTTCATTATATTTTCACGAAAGTATTACCGATGGATTGGCGATGTTTTCTAACTGTTTTAAATTACACGAATTTGAAAGTTTCTTACTCTGCAGATTAAGTCTGAAATATCAAAATTACAGTTCTTCCACAAATGGCACTGATTAACAGATGGTTTACCCTTGTTATTTGCGATGTTACAATTTATATAACGTTAATAGTCTTTCAAATACTTAGATATTCCAAATTACCAATAATATCCCAAACATACTATACGTTCTCTATCGTTACATTAATTATTGTTGTTGACTCAACGTTAATAATAACCATCGAGTAATAAGCTGAAACTTGTAAGTGTGCAGATAAAAGTTTTTGCAAGATAATAAAATAGGTGGAATTATTGGTTTCTATGTAAAGGTTCGATAACATATTAAAAACCTTAAAATTGGGGGCCACATAATTATGTCATGCACTGTATGCTTCGTCATTCTTAGAAAATTAAAATACTAGGCTTTTCTGTTTTGGTATCACTTTCGTATGCAAGTTGTTTCAGTAATACATGTAAATACTTAATTAAAACATGTTCTGCATAACACTTTTCCAGTTATGGATGGCTAAAGAAAATATTTGATATGTTCACCGTATGTCTCAACATCGAATTTTGCACTCACTGAAAAAGGTATTTTCACTATCAAGTATTCCTCCAATAGTTTCAAATCCATTTTGTATCGTTTCTTGGGCATTGTTCATTTGTATTACGTCCACGATAGATTTTAAACGACCCTACAAGTAAAAATCCAGTGGGTTCAGATCAGGAGACCATACACGACCATTTTACTGCTTTTAGAACCGTACTTAACTCTCGTAATTGTAATACGTTAATATGTTAATTATTAACACATTGACTGCCATGGTGGTTATCATAAAAAAAACTAGGTCTTGATCCCTACAAAATCCATTTAATTCAAGAATCAAGTATGAGTTGGGTGATACAATTTCATCAAATATAAAATAAAACGATGAGCACCAGGTTGTATTCTGTATTTTCCATTTTATTTCAGTTCAAAGTTTTATCTATTTTATTGGAATATTCTACATTTACATGCATTTCTGAAACACTCTCTATGTAGATACTTCTCATGGTACTCTTCGCCCGAAAAGGTACATTTTTGTATCGTACAATCCTTTTCGGAAACTGTTTGCCGACCCCTGATCCAGAGAATCGCTGGATCCACAGTCCAGGTTCAGATTGAAATGTATAGTTTAATGATCGAGCGATACTTGCGCGTCGCTCGAACTATTATAGAATCCCACCCCTGCTCTCTGACGGCTAGTTGCGACATATATTTCCCAGGTGCTGTCTTCTACAGGCAATGATGTTGAGCCGGGAGCTAACGGATTCAGAGTGAGCAGAGGCGACACCCTGTCGGAGAACGGTGGTGCGAGTCAAATGGCTGCGCAAGAGGAAACCGGTAACGACAGGCCGCCATCGGTACGATCATCTTCCACCGCTCAACGCTCGAACAGATCCTCTAGCCAGGACCATGACGATCCTCTATCGCCTTCCACGGTACACGGGAGCACGCCCCTTTCGCAGATTGGAGTACATCCTTGTGCGCCAGTCAACGATATGTATCTTGGTCAAGGTAAGCACCGTATGTATCCTCTAATTCAATTATTACTAACGATTCATTTCTATTCAAGGTCTACAATAAGTAAGTAAACATAATTGAACCCGAACAGTCTCCTTTAGACTTTTTTGTTTTCCTTTTTTTTTATTTCATTGGCATTTAAATTGTTTCTGAACCCTCAGCTGGTGTGATCGGATTTAAAATGGCCCCACAATGTCCTGGAGCACTTCGAACTACTCTGTGTTCAACCTTAGAGCGACAATTGTCTGTTTCACGACTCTTTTTCTCGCTCTTGATTCACTTCCCAGTTTCATTTATCAACGTACGCCCCGTTTCTGACGATTGCTGATAATTGATACAAATAATAATATACTGATTGTTTCTTTCCATACTGTACAATAGAACACAAGAATTTATTGACCTAAATTGCGTTTCTCAACAAGTAAATGAAAAGTAATTCTTTCATGGTAGAACATATCTTTATTCAATTATGTATTTTCCGTTCTAACTTCTAATTACCATCTTTCAGATCTTTAATAGTCTCCAAAGATCGAGGCTTTGTATTTACTTTACTTTTTTATTGAGATATGAAGGTCAACTTAAATTTTTTAAATATAATGAGTACTTTTTCTTGATGAATTACTAAGTATGGTCTGCAGTTAATAATTACTGAGATATTTTTAAATGAATCATCAACTAGATATCTGTGCTAAACATTACATTCAGTATGAGTAAAGACTTTACTTAGGAAGAAAGTGTTTCTAACACGATGTTCAGTAACACTGAAAAATGTGATTTGATTATCGTTTGTTAAAATACTATATAAAGAACAGTATCCTAAACGAAGACAACCATCTCATCGTGTCTTTTCTAAACTTAGTAAAATGCTTGAAAATTATGGTAACTTTTAAATAATAAAAAACGTAAAAAAGCAAATGAAGAAGAATCTTGTATTCCAGTCTTAGTAGCTATTGTCAGTAATCTATAGATTAGCACAAAACATATTTCACGTGATACTGGAATTAATCAGAGCAGTGTTGTATTCTTTCCATAATAGGTTCAATGCAGCGATATCAAGCTTGTACATAAAAAGACTGAAATGGTATAAAAAATCATACAGATTTTTCTGGCATACATTCAGATTATGACAAATTTTAATGGGAGATTCTAGAGGTCAAAATAAAACGAAAATCAAGGATACTAATTTGTTGATTGAGGCTTCATTAAACAGTTCTAGAAACATTTCCGGCTACACAGTATATATTCGGTAAAGAATTTTTTTCTCGAAAGTCTGTAGGATTTCGGGGGTGTATCTATTCACCAAAAATGATTGTAACTGATCCCCGCAACCGAAAATAATTTTCCCAGAACGATTTGAAATTTTTTAATTTTATCGAAAAATTTGTCCACCTTCCTGAATTTTGTTCTCGAAAGTGCGTAGAAATTCGGGGGTATGTCTATTTACCAAAAATGATGGTAATTAACTCCCCAAACTAAAAATAATTTTTTCACAATGATTTGAAATTTTTTAATTTAATTCTTTTAATAATTTTTTAACGAAGCCTTAATCAACAAATTGATATTCTTGATTTTCGTCTTATTTTGGCCTCTAGAATCTCCCATTAAAATTTTTCCCAGGATTAGCTGAACACCCTGTATAGTCATATGTATTGCACAAAATAATCAAGGTCACAATGTAAGAACATAGACTGAATTTCAGGGATCAAACAAATACTATATGTATTTAACATAATAATATTTTTAGAACGTATAATACACGCAGCTTTTTAAAGTACGGGCTATCGTATAATTAATTATACAATAATGATTACTTTAAACGGTGCGTTGAATTAGAATAATATGTATTTTGTCTTCTTTTGTTAAAGTTAATACAACTATTACACCCTTTGTATAAAGAGTATCTGATCATACCAGTTGACTGTTAAGAACAAAAATAATACTAATTTGAAACAAATTCTTTTAAAATTAATTGTGACAATCATTTGGTAAATGCGATTGAAAGTACTTTTATAAGTAGTGTAGCATATAACTGAGTCAAGAAGAAAGGATTGATCTAAACGTAGCCGTTATCAACTTCCATTTATAGATGATATGGACTATGTTAGCGACAGAATATATTTAGAAGAAGCTGGTTATTGGGGCCTTCTTGCATTGCAGGAGCGCGAGAATGAATACGTCGATGTCGGGGATGCTAACGACGAAAAGTATTTTGGTTAGCAAAAGTTGCTCATTGTTTAAATGCTGATTATTATCTCTAATTGTATTATAGTGACATAAATTCAAATTAAAGACCGGGAAAAGGTTTCACATAGATGATGCACGTTTCTTGTAAAAATTATATCTAATGCGATGTGTTTAGATATCACTGTGGCGGGCTCACCCTCCCCTGCACCCAGCGAAGATGAAGACGAGGGATGTGGCACTGGTACTGCTACTTCAAATCATAGTAGTAGCCACGGAGGTAGTCATAGTAGCATTAAGAAGGGAAGGCAAAAGCGGGGCGTCTTACCTAAACAAGCTACGAGCATTATGCGAACCTGGCTCTTTGAACATATAGTTGTAAGTATGATGCTTATTCAACTTTTATTGCTCTGTTATCAATTCTAATTAACTGATTCATACTCGCTGTCTTCTACATTTAAAGTAGTTCTTTGGTACCACTGATCAGGCTAGGTTTTTCAGACTTCCATCAGAGACAGGCAAAGGACAATGTTAAGTCATAGAGGGGTTTACTGACCCAAGAGCGTACAGCATATGCTATACACCGTTGGAAAGGTCTCGCCAAGGCGAATCGACTGATACCATTTTTAACTTCGATATCAGATGGGATAATGTCGAAAAATGGCCTCAAAGTTCGAGATTTTGCGGTTTTGAACAAAAGAAACCGGTAGTAAAAGCCCATCCGGCCCGAGGGACCTCGGGTAGGCACCTGAGGAAAAACCGAGGGGTGTAAGCGATACTCTAGCAGATTGGGACGGCAAATGTGCCCCACCACCTTCATTTCAGTGCCGTGTTGGGCCTGCGTTTGCCGCATGGGCCCCGTTCCAAATGCCCAGGGCGAAATCGCCAATGGATCAGTTGTTTTTCATGAACATAATATATTCATGATAGACGATTCGCAGGTATGAGTTGGGAATGTGCAGGTTAGTATTCAGTATTCACATCATTATATTTCGTTCAATCAATAAAATGTCACTCCATTCACTATTGTAAGTGACGCATTAGTCTGAATACTAATCTGCACATTCCCAACTTATACCTGTGAATTGTCTACCATGAATATATTATGTTCATGAAAAACAACTGATCCATTGGGGATTTCGCCCTAGGCATTTGGAACGGGGCCCATGCGGCAAACGCAGGCCCAACACGGCACTGAAATGAAGGTGGTGGGGCACATTTGCCTTCCCAATCTGCTAGAGTATCGCTTACACCCCTCGGTTTTTCCTCAGGTGCCTACCCGAGGTCCCTCGGGCCGGATGGGCTTTTACTACCGGTTTCTTTTGTTCAAAACCGCAAAATCTCGAACTTTGAGGCCATTTTTCGACATTATCCCATCTGATATCGAAGTTAAAAATGGTATCAGTCGATTCGCCTTGGCGAGACCTTTCCAACGGTGTATAGCATATGCTGTACGCTCTTGGGTCAGTAAACCCCTCTATGACTTAACATTGTCCTTTCTTATCTACATAAAAGTTAGACAGTTTTCTTTAACGAAATAGATCACATGATACAATAGTTTATTCTATATCTGTTATTCAAGTGGTTCTTAACATTCTTTTTCATGGGCTACTTTTGGTAGTCCAATGATACAAAATTGTATCACTTGTGAGATTCGAATCCAGAACCTTGTCTGCTTTGATCCATGTAATTTTTAATAGACATGTAACCGTGTACTATTAATATTTATTATTTTGTGCAATTATTTCATGTAAAATAATCGAATTTTCAGTTACACAATTTGCAAAGATGTACAAGCAATAAAAAATATATCATTTTTTCAGGTTGCAACAGTGTTTCAAATAGCAATGTTTATTCAAATAATTAATTACTAGTTACTTTATAATTCATATTGCATTTGCAAATTTGATTTCCCTTATCTGAAAACCGCTTATCCAAACAGATCTGTTTCCCAATTAATTCGAATTGAATTGATGTTCTGTTTACAACTGTACTTGACAATTTATAAACATTATTCTATATGAAATAATCGCACAAAATCGAGTGTCCACTGCTTTAGGATCAAACGTAATTATTAATTTTACAATTCTACGCAGCATCCATATCCTACGGAGGATGAGAAGCGTCAAATCGCGAGTCAAACGAACTTAACGTTGCTGCAAGTAAATAATTGGTTCATCAATGCTCGTCGACGAATCCTTCAACCGATGCTCGACGGTGCCGGGGCAGACCCGGTGCAACGTGCAGGAAAACGTCACAAAGTGTCGAAACACGTCGTTCAACAGCAGCACGTGCAGCAGCAACAAGCCAGTGGCTGGCAATCCGAAGACTCCGGGAGTGATTCAGGCTCCAGCGACGGTGAGGGAGGTGCCGATAGATCGAAAGATGGTAACGATAGTGACGAAGATGATCTTCACTGACCTCTGTCGATCACCGAAACGTCAACCTCTTTACGGTACCTTCAAATCCAGTTGCTCATTACAGTATTAAGGTATTCGAGAATAGATTTCGCTTTAACTGTCAAATACGTAATTATTCTCGCGAAAATCAAGGGTATATCGATCGAGGTTATCACGCTCTCTTATCGGATTCGACATATTTGATCTCCTTTTACCATCGATGGAGCCACCACCTTCATAGATTTATAACTCGTCTTCAATTGTTACTTATCATAGTCCGAGAATGTTCGAATTGAACAGACACTGGGAAAGGGTAGTTCGATTGGTTCTCATGTTTCTTGTTATTCGTGAAAGTAATTTATTCGGATTTCTGTCGGAACGGAGATTCTTTCGAAATTGTTATCTGTTTATCAGTTTTTTTTTTGTTTATTCGTTGCTCTGTAAGCTATGGTCGAAATAGTTTCTTTGAATCTTTGTTTCTTGCAGTTGCGTTTTTTTTTTATAATAATTACATATTCAGAGTAATAAACAGAGGTGCTATGAATGTAGCACGAAGTACTTCCGAAAGATCTCGTGTACTCCGTAACAGGTCATCGTTTATGTCTTTTAGGTCATTGAACATGTCGAAATTCCTCTAGGTAATTCAGTAATTCGTAAAATCATTTAGTTTGTCAAAGCGTAGAAAAAAAAAGACGTAAATATACACGAGGTCTTTATGAAATAGAAACATTTACGTGTAATGTGTACATTTTTCCTACAATACGACTCATGAAATTAGTCATGATTCTATTCGTTTGATGGTGCAGTTAACAAGTCATAGCTAAGAAACTAAGAATAAGTCAGTGTTGCTATATTTTTATATCCGACTTCATTTCCGCTGAAGCAAACATTTTTTTACAGCGTTTAATTATTACGATTGTGTAAAACAAAAAACAAAAAAAAAAGAGACAGGTACACAAAGATGATCTGACATCTAAATTTCATGCGTGCAATTTCAAACATCTAGTTTCTCTGACGAGCTTTATTTACTATTAGAAATTTAAAAATATATGCTACAATTACTAACGTTTACTCCCTAAATTTCGTACACGAAAGAATTGAAATAAGTATCGAACGTTTTTCGAGCAAGCTAGCTCGTAATATTAAAATTGAATGGAAAATCAGTTTCTTAGTTCAATCGACCTCACATAACCTATAATTCCTTAATAGTTCTAACCCGGGGTAGATATTTCTGTAAGAATTTTTAGTACATGTCTATATCGCTATTGAAATCGTCCAAATGAGACTATGTATAGTATTAGGAGTTGTATAACGACAGAATTAAGTGGTCGTTGTCAACCCTTCCTAATTAAAATAAGCTACGACGATATTGTCCTTACAATTAACGTTACAGATGTCGTAACGACCGGTCAACAACACGTGAAAAGAAAGGATCTGGAAAATTGTCTATAAGGGATTAAGATAAATTCGCTGGCTATTGTTCTCGCACGATTTTTACGATCTCTCTCGAATTCGTGCAACGGATGATCGTTCGGTCAATAGATAATAGCAATCTCGATTATGTTTCCTTCGTGCCATTAAAGAGCGTGGTAACTTCCGCGTTTAGTCTTTGTTCAGCTCTGCAGTGTCGTGACATAGCGAAGTGCTATCCCTCCAAGATAATAATAATAACAATAATAATAATAATAATATTAATAATAATACTATTACGAGTAATAACAACAACAACAACAATGATAATATAATACTACTTTAAATATATGATGATTATATTTTTAAACTCTAAGTGTCGTCTTTAAACGCGTGTACCGCAGTTTAACGTGATGTGGTACTGCTGTACATACGGAATACAATACACAGAACTGTTAGAAATAAAGGAAGAAAATATTAGCGATTACCATTCTTCCGTGAGAAGAAGGCACTGCATGTTTACATCCCCACTCCTGTTGCAGTCCACTGATTCACAGGTATTGGTCGAAAATGGTGACGAAGATCGGTGACAGCCAATCAGCGGACTGCAGCAAGAGTGGGGATGTAAACACACTGTGCCTTCTTCTCGTGGAAGGACGACACCTGAAGAAGGAGATTAACGATATAAAAAAACCTTCCTTGTAACTGAAAACGAAACGGAGAGCAAAGCAAGAAAGAGAGATAGAGAAACGTCTAAGGCTCGACGACAAGCACATGCCATCTTAGCATTAAGTGTTCATACAGTCGCTGTCTGCATATGATCGTGTTGCGTTTTACTAAAAGTAGCAATCAGATCGCGAGTGCTGAATACTTAGCGACGTGTGTACTTTTTAACGGCATAAGTATTAGAGTGTATACGGAACCATGGTTCCGAGATATTCGATCCGATATCATCGACATCACTTCAAATTCCAACGATATAAGATCTGTATAGATACGTATAATGTTCTTCCGGTGTACTTGTCTTCGATTGTCCTTCAGTTTATTTCCAAGCGTTCCGTCCATCGCATTCTAACACCCAAAAATGTTGAAACTATCTTAAGATCTTCGATTGTCTTGGAAAAGCGGTTCTAACGGGATAAACGTTTCTGACATCGATAATTAAAGCTTTTGAAATTTGTAATAGCTTATAGAGATCGTATTGTTTCTATATGATCACATCTACTGTTTCTAACAGCGGTTTCAAAATTTCTCGAATTTCTCACGCTTTGTCCTTGCACGAGTAAAGCACGAATAGAACTGTAAATTCATTGTACGACCCTAAACATAAGCGTTATGTTGTATCGGTCAGAACAATATCAGTTGGTCGCTGAGGGCCAACAACGAACGGCTAACCCGTTGCTCTATCTTTTGTACTTTGTACCAACCTATTGGCACGCGCTGTCTGACTTTCACAAAGATACAAACTAGCATGTAAAAATGTTCTTCGATGGCCAATTGAGTTTGAATTTCACGCGTTTCACGATGGGAAATGTAACTTGCAAAAGCGTCCAAATTCGAAAAGCTTTGAAGCTTCAGTGAATGCAATAGAAAACACGAACCGTGAAGATGTTTATTTGCAACGAGTTTTATAGGATTCCTTAACAGACAATGATCATTTTATATTTCAAATATTTTATTCAAATTAATCATTTTATATTTCAAATAATCAACTGTCTGAAATTACAGTCTCTTTGTATTTTAAATCACGTGTCCTTTTCTGAATATTATGGATACTTTGAAAAGATTTATTATTATAGTTCAATTAAAATCGATTGACTGCTCAAAACCATCAAAGGATTATAACCATCATACTGTTTAACTATCTTCTGCCATTGGTGGAAAAGTAGAAATATTTAGTGTGATTTAGATTCAAGAAAATGGCCTTGAGCAATCAATTGACCAACTATAATAATCTATACTTGCTAGTTTTACAATAGCCTTATCACTTTTCGCTATTGGGTTATCTTGTGTTTTATTTGTTAGTTAGCACTACGCGTGCTCGCTTTGGTGTCATTATTATATGTGAAAACGTGTAACAGGAATGCTCCATTCGGACAATGGAGGATTTACTGTGTTTGATTAACTAGATCAACGCTAGTTCACTGATTTTAATCAGGGATGGATGAAAAGTATTTCAAAAAGTATCAGAATGATGAATAATACATTGTATTCTGTTTGTAGTCGAACGCTTAAAAGTATTCACATATTGTATTCGTTACCTGTGCAACTATAGAGTACTTCATTCAATTTTAGTATTCAGTACCTTTTAATCTAGGTAACTAATAACGAATATGTGAGATAAGAATTAATTTTGTAACTTAATAGTTACATGTATGTCGCCATCGTGTGTATATGGTATTAAAGCGATGTTTGCACCTTATATTTTCTATAAATAAATAATATTATAATAATATACATTCTTGTCATAAATCTATGTATTTTATTATTTATTTATACGTCAATTTCGAATACATTTACAAACTCATCAATTTCATTACTTATTAACACATAAATTTAGAAATTGATAAGTATTTATAAGAATGATGAATCTGTTGATCAAAAGTACATGATTAGATTTGTAAACTTCTGAAGGCTATAAATTTTATACAAATTTCTAAAGATTATAAACGTCCAAATAATTTCTGAAGTATCTATATATTTAAAACATTGATATTGTTTTTAATTTATTTCTATTAAAAATTTGAAAAACAAACGTCACGCTAATACTACATACATACGGCTTGAAACAATAGTGTATTTTTATTCGTCAATGAAACTGAGTATAAATATTTTTTACTAATCAGATACCGGATACAAACCAATGTATTCGGTATTCAAGCGATGCGACGAATGCAAACGACAGGAGTATATAATACTCGACAGCATAAATAAATAAAAAACGTAAGCGGACGTTGATATTTGATCACTACAGAATATACAATATGTCAAGATGTTCGCCAGTTGTTCCTAAGCACCGAATACAAGTATTAGTATTTTAGATCTATTTCGGTTAGAAGATCATTAAAACGTACCCATCTCTGATTTTAACGGCAGACAACATAGCGCTTAACAAAATGTCATCGACTGACGAGATTAAGCTCATAGATAAACAACGATAGGAGACAAAGGAGCACGTCGCTAATAAAACATCCGAAACATACACCGCTGATCCTCAATGCGCTTAGAAGAAACACGTCTCGTACAAAAGAGAGGTCGAAGCCATCGATTAGATCGGTAATCACTCCACTAGTATCCTACATACTTCCGGTATTGATGTACATAGCCAACTGGCACAGAGTGCTTCCATTAGTGGCTCTACGAGCTCATTTTCCCCGAGCATCCTAGGCATACCAATTTCGAAATCAGTTGCTGTTTGATCGTATTGTGGCTGCGCGAAACTTTAGAAAAACTAGATCAGGCATGTCAAACACATCTTTGCTTGAAGGCCAATTTGCACTTTGCTACTACGTCCCATTCCGCAGATGTACAATTATTTTTAAGGCCAATCCTACACTATAGTATCACGAGCAAACACGTGTAGGACGAATAAGACAATTTCTAAGCAAATGAGTAAAAAGATACATTCATTTATAAGATACCTTCTTTTTGCCTTGACGACAGTTTTCCATATTTAGAAATGTACTCAACGTTTATTTAGGTAATTATATAGTGTTGTTTAAAGTTTTACGTATATTGGGATTCTTTTATTGTAAACAATTTTGAAACATGTTGCTACAACAATCAACTCTTAACTCTTTGTGGCAGAGGAATTCAGATAATAAAATAGACCCATGTTGCATAGAAATTTGATTGTGTTTTAAATTAAACGAAATTGGTATATTATTATTAATAAAGGTATCACATAATGTAAAAAAACAGAAAAAAATAGTAATAGGAGAAAAAGATTGTCGCGATAAAACTTCCGCTTGCAACAATTGATGAACCTGTATTGGCATGTTGATTGTTGCCAACGCAAATGAATACATTTGTAACGTTTGTTGAAGATATTACCTACTGCTTTACGTAAATAAGACGAAATATAAACTAAAAATGTCCCACCATGCATTACGGTGCATCAAAAAGGCGGGACACTTTTAATCCCAGCGTGCCCCAAAGAGTTAAATAGGTAGTACTGTTTTGCAGACAAGAAAACATCAAAATTTGATTTGGAGTTTTGAATCAATTTTATCAGGTCATAAGACTTCGTGTATGTTTGTTTAAGTACATTGTACATAAGAAATATTGATCGTTTACCAACAATTATCTTCATATATGATTTTTCATTGTGGCTAAATTAATTTCTCTCATAGAAATATTTTAACATGTTCAAGTCATTAAATATTTTGATTTTCAAACATGATCGTCTTGACTAAAGAATAAATGCTACATAAAATTCGTTAATACAATCGCATGAGTGATATGTTTCACAATTAGTAGAAGATATGGTAAAATTGTATTTAGTATGTTTACATTGCATCAAAAGTTTTCAAAATTGTAAGAAAGTATCGACCAGCTAATCTTTCGAATGTTCCGTTGTTCTTTATTGCTGAAAAGGATGTTCGCATAAATATGTACTCCTACATATAGATTGTTCGAGTAACAGAATTATAAAGAAAATCTAAAACAAACATAAAGGTTGAATAGATCGGGGTGTTTGGCATGCCTGCCCTAGACACAAGAAACGAATCGACCGAGAGGCTTAGTAAAACGATATTATCAGTTGAAGACAGCTTTTACAGTATAGCTCCATATACGGTGTAGTGACGTAAGGATTAATATCGAACGATCGCGGACAAACGGAAAATCAACGAAACAAAATAAAAAGGCATCGTCATTGTTGGAGCGTAAAACGAGAATTTGTACGACGTCTCGGTCGGATCAGCGAGAAACAGGTCCTCGATCGGTCGCTCTGATTAGGTCGTTGTTTACAAGTACCAGCAATAACGTGCACTTTCCATAAAAAAAACATAGAAAATAAGTCGTCGTCGCGGCTGGCGAATCACCTGGTACGGGACTATACTGTATTTTGACTAAGTATAATTATAAAATAATGATAGACTAAGAGGTAGGTTGTAAGGCTGAACCACGTATACGTATGTGCTGCGGCACCAGACGACTGTGATAACTCGGTGGGCGGTGCCCAGCCTCCTACTTCATTACTTGTATACTGAAAACTATGAAATACTTAAAGACACGACACACACGAACACAAACACACACAAATAGAAACATTTACCGAAAAGGTTGAACGTATGTTTGGAGCTTGCGTCGAGAGAAACTGCTACTGGATCCATAAGCTTCTTACATGTTACACTCTTGTTGCACACTCGACCTTCTACGCGATCAGCGACTCTCGAGTTGGGCACAATCAGTTTGAAAGTAGTTTGGCTTATTTTAGAAAATGAGAAAACGAAACTGATATTACAAACGCAATTTGAAATTTGTTACTTCTACAGGGAAACATGAAAGACTATTTTATCACTTAACCATGTTCGTCATCAGAAATATTTTGTTTGGTCGTCTCAGTTTCGTCGCGGGCTCGTTCTCGTTATTCGGACCAGAAATCAATTTTGTATAATAGTTTGATTGTAACGTTGAATCGATCGAAACTGTCAATACTTTTCTGGTGCATTTCTTTGTTATCAATCATAACCAAACTTATGGGTATAAGTGGTTATGAATTAGATGATAGACGTATATTGAACGAATATTGTATGCATCAATAAAGTATTACGACGTAGTGGCAAATTTTTTGTTCGTTATAACGAAAGATACAAATTTGAAAGTATCGCGATATTTAAAATCTTAATGTCAAAAAAAAAGGGTCTGAAGTATGAACATTTTCGTCCTTCCAGGTGCAATCGAGTACATGTACGAGAACGGATCTTCAAATAAAATCACTAATGTTACTGCTCATTAGCGATTGACGTGCAAGCTCTGTCAAAAATATTTAAGGAGATAGGAATGGACCAAAAAAAAAAAAAATAAGACAGTAACGAGAGTTAGTTTTGGTACGAGATCGAGTCCAACATTTTCAGTCTTTGAAATTGTTGAAACGTTATGTTTAATTATCCATATACTTTTATAGTCGGTGGTATTGAAAATCACATTAATATTATATTTGATCATTTCATGCTGTTCTTTACGTTGTATCGTTGGTTTCTTTACTGCGACAGTGTAACTCGAGAAAATATTCTGTTGACAAACTTATGTGACAATTCACGTTATACATACTTATGTACACTTTCCACACAAATCTATTGTATTCTTGAGAAACAATTTATGAGAATTTAAACATCGTTTCTCTGATTGTGATGCAAAAAAAAATGTAATTTCGTTTTATATTTGCGAATATATTCACCCAAACTTCAGGTTCTACTTTTCTTTGATTCTTCTTTTTACGAGCTAAGTTAGTTTCACATTCTATTAATTTTCATTTTCCTGTATTTCGTTAAATTTCTTTGTCTCATTGAAATGTTTTTAATGTTTGTGAATTATACAAAAGTTTCTAAGCAGCATATTTTGTTCCATGTGTTGTGACATGTATTCCATCTTGCCAAGAGTTCATTCTATAGTTTACGAAAATGTTCACGTATATATTGACAAATATTGTACAATTTGATATTCCAAGACGCACACGTGTATATGTATATGCGCTAATATAAAATTAAAGGACTTTCAAAGGTCCATTCCTAACTTAAGTGAAATTTTAAGTCGTAAACTAAACGTATTACATACTTACGTACATACTAAAAAGGAAGCATAAGTAAACAACTTGAATACTTCTCTCGTGTACATCAAGGTCCTGTTATAAGTTGTTTATTGATAATAAATGCCATCACGCTTGCAATGTGTCTTTCCGATTTTTATTGTAACCTTAAAATATAATTTCAGATAAACCTTACGTTTAGGGGAGGCAGCTGCAATGACCTTGATCTTGACATATGTTGTCAAAGTTACCTTCTTGAATGACCTTCAGAAGGTTTTAAAAATGTATTATTAGTACATATTATACTAGTATCTGCGTATACGTATACTCAATGTGACCTTGACGTTCACACAGTTTATGAAGGTCACACTCTTGAGCATCGTCGAAAAAGTTATAGCCACTTCTCGTTTTTTATTAAAAAGTTATTAGTATATCAAAATTACCGAGAACAAAAAACAAGAATATGGAATTTCGTTCCATGAGCTCTGCGGAGCATAAAATAAATCATATTAAATTCGTTTTGCAGACCCCCTCCTAAAGACTACACTAACTAATACCGACACCCATTTTTAATAAAATATAATTTAATATAATCGTTTTATTTAAATAAATAAGTTATCTTGTAAATTATGTTTATTTTTATATGCTAATAACTTTTGAATAAAAAACGAACGACGGCTAAAACCTCTTGGCTGTTACTCAGAAGGATGACCTTGACAACATATGTCACAGTCATTGGAGCTGCCAACGTAAGGTTTACCTAATTTCAGGTCCCCTTTTCTAATCAAAAACATTTCTGTCGAAAGAGATTTAATTATTCGTAATATCATTTACTACAAAAAGAATAAGTCACTTGGGAGGCTATAGTAAATTGTATTTAAACTTAAAGTATAAAATATTTTATTATCATTAATAAGACCACGTAATTCGTATATTTGACAAAACACCAAACAATTACGTCGCCCATCGCATCGTATATGTCTCTTAACAAAGTGTGTAATTGCAAGTAATCATAGGTAATTATTTATAAAAAAAAATCTAGATTTTGATTAAGAATAAAAGGATTCAGGATTAGTATCTCTGTTAGAGATACAAATTTCTTTTGCCTAGAATGTTTGTATGGTATCATTCGTAATTTTTGTGTTTGCATCAATCTTCACGCAAAGTATCTTGAAGTTTCTAAAGTACGATCGAAGAAAGTAAAATGATAATAAATATACAACAGTGTAATATACATTTCAGATAAGTTCCTTAATAATGGACTTACTTTTCTTTGACAAAATTTTATTGTAATCGAAAATGTTTTTATCAAATGAATTGCTTAACGTTTTGCAACGGGTAACAAAACTTTTTCTTAAATTACATATACATTGTTACTTTCTTTACTCAACTATTCAATACAATTCAATTAACTATGTACTTTTGGGTAGTATAAGCAAGGATCGTCTGAACGAATTAAATATCCTGCGCTTACATCGATTAAATTATAATACAAAGATGAAATAAATAAAGAAATACAAGACTGATTACTAAACTTATTAGCTATTAGATTTCAATAGACACATCACAAATTATTCACGATGCATTCAAATACGAATTAAATATATTGTATAACATATATAATACTAATGTTCGTGAAAAAGTGAATGACATAGAATTAAATGATCTTTCATAGTGCTTCGTCGATTATTTGCACCGTGTAAATAAAATGCGCACGTTTACAATTGTATACATAATGACTCTAACAAAAATCAAATGTGTAACGAACAGTTTTAGATAATATATACCCTGCTTATTATTGCGATACACGCGCAACAATCTCAGTATCGACTTTTCGTGGAATTAAAAAAAAAATTTCACGTTTTATTATCGAATACAAATGATCCATTTACAAAAATGTATTTACGTCAAAGTATAATCAACAACAGAGTCGGGAAAAGCAACGCGAAGGATCAAGCAAACGCACATGTTCTCGACGTACTAATAGCAGGTGCAAAAATTTAATTAAATTAGTTATCGTAACTTCGCGATAACGCTGGAATAAAACGATGGTGGTATCAGAATACACTTTAACATTCAGATATAAAAATTGTCCGAGGGCGTACCACACATAGATTCAAAGGCTAGTTATTGGGATATTTTTATCATTTCGATGATCCAACCTGGTCATTGATATGTGGTCCGCAGCGTGTCCCTAGCAGTTTGTTCCTCTTCTGGAATAATCACTTTAATTCGTAAATTGATAATAAATTTGAAACGGTCCTAGACAACTATTCTTTTTTAAATTGTCACTGTACCTTGAATTGAACAATATATCAGCTCGGGAATTAATAAACCATACAAAAAAGAATGCTAAGCCAGCTACCAAGCTACCTAGAATCATACTGAATCGCTCTGTAGCTGCTGATGGCTTTAGGAACATTCTTACGCTTAATGTTTCCCATACAGATTCTGTCCATGTAGAGTATTTTCCTGACTTCATATCATACCCTATTCGAAACGTTAAAATATTCAAATTAAAAACTGGTTAACCCCTTAACGTTCTTGCCCGAGTTTGACTGCATTGAGAAACGATGTTTGTTTAACGTAACAATTTCAGGGATAACGATATATGTTTTCCTTCCAGCTATATGCTAGATACAACATTGTGATAAATAAAAACCGCAATTTTATATAGCTGACAAACAAATCCAAAAAAGACAACTGAACACACTTGGTTAAGGAGTTAATTATGCAGAAAAAGGCAGCGCTTCATCGATTTCAATGACCTTGTGATATATTGTCAACGTCGACGTTCTGAATATTTTCATTTATACTTTTCTGCATAATTACCAAAGTTTGAAATAATTACCAAAGAACGTTTTTATTTAAGTGCAAATGTAACGTCTTTTCTTTAAATTTTGATCATCCATAATCATTCAAAAGAATTATCCAAGAATTGTCTATCAGTTAGGACTATATTGTATTTTCTAGCGCTTTTAATTCTCACACAATACCTTATTTTTGGTACAAATCATGCGTGTTTATAACGTATCCGATTACGGATTCATATTTTGTAATGTCTGAATCCCTTTAATTTCATTCGTATGATTATTAGTAATAATATACAGGATACACTTACCATCGATGATAAATGCTGGACTCATAGCCGTGCTAAAATTCACAGTGGAATTAATGCACAAACCAGTAAAATTGTTACCAGCTGCCATCCAAACAAGATGGTTCTTATAACATGCGGTGTCGTTCATGTCTGGCAATTCCTTCCTAGTCAAATAAGCGAGAAGCTGACCAGTCAATGTCGTGGCAGTATTTGGTACTCTGTTTACACCGACATATAATGGCAGAACTTGATTGGTTAATTTAACACCTGGCGATGAAGCAGAACGGAACAAATTGCAATTGGGACTTTCCAGATAACAGATTAACATTTCAGAGATGTGATCTTTGACGTCAGATTGAAGGGATTCATCCGCGGATGGTGGCAGTTTGCCAGTCACGTTTTCATAAAGAAACTTGGCAACGTTAATTGCTATATTTGCTAAAGGTGCTGCAAGATCACTTGGGTCGCTTCTGAAAAGAGCATACACGTTCATCTATAACGTCGTAAATAAATCTGTTTCGCGCGTAAAACGAATGGGTAGAACAATACCTGTTAAAATGAAGGCCTTCTGCATCGTCCAATATACTGTTGTAGAATTTATTTTCAAATTGGTAACCATGATTACTTATAACGACGGCCGTTAAATCAGGATTTTGTTTTAAGAAACTTTGTATCGATGCAGGTGGAACGCTACCTTCCAGAACAGATGCATTCAGTGCTTTCTGCAGTTTATTTATCATTTTATTGTTCTTTCCATTGTTGGAGTGAAAATATAAATTTCCTTTATTTAGCTGACCAAATTCGATGACACATTTAATATCGTCAAATTTTAAGTTCACTCCGCCCAGTGCGTTGAAATTACCTTCTTTTAAATCATACACTAATCTACTAGATCCTATGTAATCAAAAGCTTCGCCATTTAATAATGAGAAAACCACGTTTGTGTCTGGAAAAAGAAAGAAAGACGTAGGTAATAATTAGAAAGTATTTACAAATGTATACGTATTACATTATGTCAAATGTACTATCATACGTACTGTCCGGTATTGTAACGTTTTTAAACAAGAGATTCAAATAATAGGCAGTGGCAAGTAGAGTTACTAATCCTGTTACTATGTTACCCGCTCCGGGTGATAATCCATCGAATAAAGACGAAGCATCCAATCTGGCTGTTACTAATGTAATGGAATTTTTGTCTTTATTTATCGGAGTTAAAGGCCAATGTATGTTTCTATCTCCCAAAGGATCGCAAAATTGCATTGGATTGAAGTTTACTTTAGAATCGCTGCGCTTAATGCAAGATTCAGAATTAATTGCGGCAAACATGAATGACTTCATTTCTAGCGCGCACAATGGTCGCGAGTGTTGAGTATCTAAATTTTGCGCATTGTGTTTTTGGAAACAAGACTTTATGGCTTCTATCAACGTTTGGTTCTGAAATTAATAATAAACAGCTTGTATTTTGTTCTAATTTCTATAAGTTACAAATGCAGCTCTCTTGGGTGGAAATTCATTATTTTATCGTTACTTTTGTAATTGATTGGTAAAAGTACACTTTTGAAACAACGTTATTTAAAATGCGACTTCAAATAACGTGTTACCTTATATCACAATTATATCAGAAGGTCAGGATTCTCCACAATGTTCACAATTTTAGTTTAGTAATTAAACGATTTGTCGGGAATCCTGAATCTTTTGAGAATTATCCCAATGATCGAGTTCCTGACATTTTCGGATTTTCGCACATTTGTAATGATTACTGATTTGATTATATGGTACGTATAATCGTTAAACGGATTATATTTTACGTTGTAAACTATCATTTTGTCGTAGATAGCAAATAGTATGACAAAAAAAAATTGAATTCTGACCTCTATGAAAAACATTGGAAAGGGCCAATCTTCCATAAGCAAAAAGGATCCAAATGGATTCCATGGATTAACATCGTTACACCTTGTGTATCCTGAATATCTGTTCGGACAAGTATCTTCCGGAGAATAATGATCAAGGCGTACATGACTGACATTTTTTGCTAATAAAACTCCATTTATATTATTTGTATTCCGTAATCGGAGTAGCATAGGTCTAGTAAACATAGAAAATGGAATGACTACTGTATATGGTCCAGCAGTAGCATTATGTTCGATCCAACTGATATTGTCTTCTTCTTCGATGAAATGAATAACACCAACGCTTCCTGACCTACTTGCTGTAAAAATAAGATATAATTTATAAGGATTCTTATAACAAATATATTATGTATCATGTATAATTTAGATTTAATAATTCATGTAAGCTGTTAATTTTCCATAGAGAATTGTAATAACTATTAATAAATATAGTGTCTGTCATCTTACAAGAACATCCAAACTGATGTGTTCCATTATGTCTACGGAAACAGGCAGAAACTCCTTCAAACGACATATAAATCATATCTTTTATTCGCTCTGCAGTCACTGAAAACACAGTTTCATTTTACGTTTATCGAATCTCATTGCACTCTTCCGATTTCGGGATTTATATAATGAATAATTTGCCCGCGTATACGGACGATCACAAAATATGATAATAAATGACAAATCAAATTTTTTTTTTAATTCATACTAGCTTAGATTATAAGTAAGAAAAATGAGCTGAACGATCTATTTCTGTAACAAAGAACAAAATGTACCTCCTCTAGGAGCGATAAAAGTTTTTATTGAAATTTACGGGATCTCTGTTTCCATATAGGATTCTGTGATTTTCAAAAATTTTGTATCGTCTTACCTAAATTTATAATAACAAATATTACAAGGTATCCCAAATAGAAACATTTTGCCATTTTTTTCTTTTCAATAACACCTATTAAAAATTTGATTTGCTATCACGACCACCAGTGCGGAGGGCCGACAGTTTACGAAAGGTTAGATACTATGACATAAACATAAATGCATCGCGCGAATAAAAGGAGAGTCGAATGTTCCTTATCTTCCTTGGTGCATTTGGCATTTAATGTAACAACGACGCCAACTCCCACCACTAGAGGAATACAAACAAACGTTAAGTCACACAAGTTCTTTAAAATGCTCGATCAAATTATCTCTTATGTTATAAACATGTGTAACTTCCGCGTAGCCAGTGATGCCAGAAAAGCACCGTCGGGTGCACACTCACACATGCTAGATACGCGTACGTGAGCTCGTGGAGTTTCGGAAAGACGACAAAGGCAAACTGACGCATGCCCTCTTTCTCGTTTCTCCGAAGCTGCCCGAAGTAATTTCGGACCGCTTCGTGGGAGTCGAGAGAGAAAGGCTCACATTTGCCTTCTCGCTCTTAACAACTGAAATCCGACCTCCCGTCAACGGCATACGATTTGGATTCTCGAGCCGAGATTCTCGACTGCCCAGGCATTTTTACTTTCCGACCTATGTAGGCGCACATAAGCAAAGTACCCATAATGAAAAAAAAATTTTGTAAAATTTATTTTACGGAAATACACGTTTTAAGTCTTCCTGATCATATTTTAATTACTGAAAAAAAAGACATTTTTTTTTATTCCCATGTATGAGCACACATATGTATATTATTAATACGATTTTTGAAAATCAAAATACTTTAAGATTGAAAATTAATAAATTAAAATGAGATTCCACTCTTTACCAGTATTGTGCACGCTGTGGTATTTTTCAATAAGAAGAGTTCTTACTTTTATAACATAAACAAAACAGTAGAATTAATAATTGCAGAAATTAATTAATAATGATTTTCCTCGATTGTTTTGAAATAACCGTATCAATTGGTTATGACGAACTAAATAGAACTAACTAGAAACAAAGGAAAAGTGATCCCGTTTGCCAGTTTAATACAAAGTATGGGTTGTATCTTAAATTTTAAAAGCACATAGTCGAATATTTTTAAAGGTACAAAACATAGCGTTTCATTGTAGAACAGTAACATAAGTTAGCAGGTAATGTCATAAAACTGTTTTTCCCAGCTATATGCCTTTTTACCTGAAGTATAAGGTAAAAAGTACGAGCTACAAGGTACGACTATCCGAAAATCGTTCACATTTTATCAATGTAAATGAAGCGGCCTTTCTATCAGAGTTAAATACAAAATTTTGTAATTTCTGTGAAAACAAAACTTTCTCGATTCGTTCTCGGGCAGTCAAACCGATCAGACGTGTTGACAATCGCTCGCAAGTTCCTGTGTTTATAATTCAGTCTACTGTGCCGTGTCGGTGCGCGGAGCACCACACAACAACGTTAGTGCTATCGGTGAGCCTTCTAAATACAGAAGACCCGTCATGGAAGTCATGGAATTTGAAAATATAACGAGCCATACCCAAACCAATACAACAGTTCAGCCTACAAAATCGTATGCATCAGCCACGGTAAGCAGTGTTTTTCCAACCAAGGATCAGGCAGTAATAATCGACGTCATAGACGGAACTACTATCAAAGAATATGCACAAGCTGTAGCAAAAATCACTGGACCCAACGCCATACGATTTATCTCCCGCATATCAAACAACAGAATCTGTGTTTACCTCGATAGTAAAGCAACAACAAAAGCCCTCGTTTCCAATTTCAAATCACTGCCCATCAACAATACATCCACCCCAATCAGACCCCTAATAAATCCATCACAACGAATTATTTTGTCCAACGTTTCTCCTACCATACCACATGACTACATCGAAAAAGTACTAACAATCCATAACATCAAACTGACCTCGAAACTATCCTTCCTCAGAGCGGGACTACAAGACCCCGGTCTTTCCCACATAATGAGCTTCAGAAGACAAATTTATATAAACCCAGATGATGTCCATAAACTCCCCGAATCGTTTCTAATCACGTACGACGACACACAATACAGAATTTTTGTATCTACTGACAAAGTTACCTGTTTTTTGTGCAAACAAGAAGGGCATATTGCAAACCAATGCAATACTCAAACCGAGACACCAATATCAAACACATCAGCCAACAAGGAAACGAGAAATAACCTAACACTAAACGATACGGAACCAACGTCAAGCGTCAATAACTCACAATATAACATAGACTACACAAACGAAAATCCAACCACAACCGAAATCAGCGAGACAGGAAAAGATCCCAATGTCAACATTCCAGCCAACCCCACTACGGCTAACTCCAGCGCAGACAATAACCAAATACTTGCCATTGCAAACCCTCAAGCTCAATTAAAAAAGAGACCACTATCAGACACCTCAGAAGAAGACCAACAGACAACAAACAAGCCCATCTCAACACCCGTAAGACCACGTGTTAACGACTCTAATTCAAACGATAAACCTGCACCCACCACTATGAAAAAGAAACCCAAACGCAGCCAATCACTAACAAGAATCATCGAACAAATAGACGACATTCTAAAACCAGCAAAAACAGCTCTGGATGACCCCTCAAACCATCTTATCCTTAACTATTCTCAACTGAAAAGTTTCCTGGAAAATGCTATCGGCACAGAAAACCCAAACATTATCGCGAACGACTACACTTCTGACAAGAAAGCATTAATACATATGCTTTACCTAATCTACCCCCTAATGCAAGACCAAAGAATGAAAAACAGACTACACCGATTAATCAAAAAACTAGAAACAGAATTAGCAACAGCAATCTCACTACAAACCATCCTCTCGAAAGAGGGGAACTCATCCTCCCCAGATCCAAAACCCCTATAAACCCAAGACACCAACCAAACATCCATTATGTCACTACAAATTATCCAATGGAACTTGAATGGTTTCTACAGCCGACTCGAGCACCTCCAACTACTAGTCGAAGAATTTCAGCCACAAATAATCTGCCTACAAGAAACTAACTTCAAAAACCATAATTCAGGTAAAATCAAAAACTATAAAACATATTTCAAAAATCGCAACACTGCCCACGCAAGTGGAGGAGTCGCCACCTTTGTCAGAAATAACATCCACAGCCAAGAAATAACAGTCACATCCAATCTAGAAGTTATCATCACTAAAGTAACATGCCCTAAAGATCTGTACATATGCAATATACATATACCTACCGAACAGCCATCACTTAGATGAATCCGAACTCACTCATCTAATAAACCAAATTCCAAAACCTTTCATTATACTTGGCGACTTTAATAGCCACAATATCCTCTGGGGATCTCATAAGACCGATTCGCGAGGAAATTCCATGGAAAAAATAATAAACTCAGCAAACCTCAGCTTACTAAACACTAACGAACCCACTCACTTCTGTTCGGCATCCGGTCGGTTCAGTTCAATTGACCTATCCCTATGCAGTCCAACAATCACTCAAGACATTACATGGAACACAGTACAAGACCTATACGACAGTGACCACTTCCCTATAATGGTGACATGCAAACTAAACCGAATCACTGAAACTAATAAAGCCCCAAGATGGAAATTTCAGAAAGCTGATTGGGATATGTTTCGGAAAGTCATATTGGACTCATCTTGCCTGCTCATAGAAATAAATCCAACAAACTTGAACTTAGCACTCGAACACTTCTCAGAAGCCATCATCGCAGCAGCCAGTGCAGCCATCCCGAAGACAAAAAACAACACCAACGCCAACATCAAATATAATCCATGGTGGAATGAAGAATGCTCACAAGCTGTGAAAGACTGCAAACATGCTTTCAACCGGTACAAAAAACACAAAACCGCAGAAAACCTTATCAACTTCAAGAAATACCGAGTCGTATCCCGTAAGATCACAAAGGACAGTAAGAGACGATCATGGATAAACTATACCTCAACTCTTAATCCACATACCCCTCCCTCAGCAATTTGGAAAAAGATAAGAGCTATCAAAGGTTCAAACCAACACTCCTCAATGCCAGCCTTAAATAAGGAAGACAACTCTATCTCCACCGACCCAAACGAAATATCCGAAATCCTGGTAACGACTTTCCAGAAAAACTCCAGTGACTGCAACTATTCAAAACAGTTTCAGATCTACAAACAGAAAACTGATTCTAACGCGTCGAAGCCTCCAATCATAGTCCAAGAAACACCTTACTCCTCCAACCTAAATTCTCCTATCCAATTTGATGAACTGCTATACTTCCTAAACAAATGCTCGAATACTAGTCCCGGACCCGATGGAATACCCAACATCTTCCTTACCCATCTTCCACAAGAGGCGCTTAACTACATACTTGCAATATTCAACTGCATTTGGTCCCACAACATCTTCCCAACCAAATGGAGAGAAGCGGTTGTCATCCCAGTCTTGAAACCAGGCAAAACTCCAACGGACCCCAACAGTTATCGACCGATTGCTCTAACAAACACAATGTGTAAATTAATGGAAAAAATTATAAACTATAGACTCCGATGGTACTTAGAATCAAGGCACCTCATCGCTAAACAACAAAGTGGCTTTCGACAATTTCACTCCACATATGACCACCTAATAAACCTGGAAATGAATGTATGCGACGCGTTTGCTAATAACCAGTATGCAACAGCTGTTTGCTTAGATATAGAAAAAGCGTATGACATGGTCTGGAGAAACCGAATCCGAAGAATTCTCCAGAATTTTGGCCTTTGTGGAAACATCCTTAATTTTATCAGTAACTTTCTATCTATAAGAACTATCCAAGTTAGAGCCAACAACGTCCTATCCACTACAAAAATTCTAGAAAACGGAGTACCTCAAGGCTCCGTCTTAAGTGTTTCGCTATTCCTAATCGCTATAAATGACATACTGGACAACATACCAGTCCCGGTCAAAGGACTTTTATTTGCTGACGACTTAACCCTAGTATGCAAAGGAAGGAACCTTCATACTACCCAGACCCAACTACAAGAAGCACTAGATAAATTGCAGAAATGGTCACTCACGTCAGGGTTCAAATTTTCTTCCACCAAGTCTAAAATAATTACCTTCAGCAGAAAGAAACAATATGCGAACATAAAACTAACTCTCGATAATTTGATAATCAAGGAAACATCCTCTATCAAACTATTAGGATTAACATTTGACTCTCAGTTAACATGGACACCTCATATTAATAAACTCAAAACTGATAGCTACCAACGACTAAACATACTTAGAACAATAGCTGCAAATAACTGGGGAGCCGACCTCAAAACCCTACTCCTAACGTATAAGGCAATAGTGAGATCAAAACTGGACTATGGATCAATCATATACAACTCAGCCAACACCAACATAGTAAAGAAATTAGACCCTGTACACAACAATGCTCTCAGAATAACAGTGGGCGCCTTCCGCACTAGCCCGATCAACGGCATCCTTAGTGAAGCTTCAGAACCTCCATTACGAATTAGAAGAAAATACCTAAGTATCAAATTTGCAGTCAGAATTGCCTCCCACCCACAGAACCCAGTCTTCCATAATGTATTCAGAAAAAACAACCTAAACTACTTGCAACAAAGGAAAAGAACACCCCATCCACTCTGCTACAGAATCAGTAATTATCTGAAGGAGCTTGGCATGGAAATCCAGCTCACATCGAGCAGATCCATCCCCAGCATCCCTCCGTGGACCTTTCCAAGAATTAGCACTAACACCTCTCTACTGAACTACAGTCAAAAGAAATCTGATCCAATCATGCTAAAGGCTATGTTCCAAGAATTGGAAGCGGGACTCGCAAACCACGTGCATATATACACAGACGGGTCCAAGACACCATTCGGATCCGGATACGCAATTGTCAGGAACCAGTCAACCGAAAAAGTTAAACTCCATCACAAAACACCTATCTTCCTATGCGAACTTCAAGCAATTAAACACGCCATCAAATCAACTTTAACCGACCAAAATACAAATTTTGCAATTTTCTGTGACTCCACAAGCGCCATCTCAGCAACACAAAAACTATGGACAAGCAACCCTGTCATCCAAGAATGTCAAGAAGCCTACACCAGATCGAGCCAGAAGAACAACTCAATAACAGTAATATGGATTCCTTCCCACATTGACATAACCGGCAACGAAAAAGCGGACCGTGCAGCTAAAGAAGCAGCCAACTCATCCACCCCCAACCACCACGACAATGGCACTCACCTGGAAACGTTACTCTCCATTCTCAAAGAAAAAAGTAAAAACTGTTGGAACAAAGAGTGGAGCACATCAACCAAATCCCGTACAAAATTAATCAAAAATGACTTCTATGAAAAATCCATTACCTGGAAATTACCCAGACCAGACCAAGTGAGAGTATCACGAATCATTATAGGCCACACCAAACTGACCCATCAACACCTCCTCCAAAAAACAGGCCCACCAATATGCGAAACATGCAAAGACCTCCTAACAATAGAACACATCATCATCCACTGCAGAAAATATATTCCAATCAGGCAACGGCTCAACATAAAACCAACCCTAAAGGATAATCTGAAGGACAACACATCGACCCAAAATCTATTACAGTACCTCAAAATTACCAAATTGTACAACAAACTCTAAAAATGTATTCTCCGAGTCGCTAATAACCCTTAGCGGTTGATGCGACTTTAAACAAATAAATAAAAAAAAAAAAAAAAAAAAAAAAAAAAAAAACTTTCAGTAAATGTACGTGGTGCTTGAAATTTTTATGTTTTGACTGTTTTTATGAAAAGTACCATCCAGATTCATGTACTTCGTACATTGAAAATAACATATGTTAAATGTAATCGGTTAAATTTAACTTTAAAAAAAAATATTCGAAGGTCAGACAAAAATATAATGTCATATTTAGTGTACGCTTAAAGTATGATTGAAAAAATAAAAAAAAAAAGTTCAAGCAGGGTTCGAACCAGCAGAGCAGAAGAAGTTCGGAACTTGCAGACAAAGACCTCATCACTCACGCCACGCTGATTAGTGGTGAACATAGTACTATTTCTGAAAATAAGTACCTGTAATAACTTTAATAATATCTCAAAGTAAAACCTAACCCAAAACCTGGTACCATTCCAACTTTTCCTTGTTAGAAACGAGTTTTCAATTTGTCTTAGTGAAAATCGCAATCACATTTTGCACATTATTCTAAAACATTTGTGGTATTCGTTTTCAATGCGATTTAAGTAAGCATGTAATGTATAAGATTTCATTTAATGTTTTCTTTTCTAGAGAAGATAGAGAAAAAGTTTATATAATTTTTTTTATATGAAATTTAATTCGTCCTAAGATTTATATGAAACATTTAAAAAATTTTTTATACATTATGTCTATATATCGGAACAACTATGAAACAAGAGGTATAATCTGTAAGGAGTGTATGTGTGTGGCTAGGAGAACCGTTATCGTTTGCGTCGATAGGAGTGTTTAGTCTAAGCTAGAGTAGGTATCGAGTGAGGTGTTTAGGTTTAAGCTGAAATACGTTTTAGAGACTGTGTCTCGAACGTGCGTTTTGTTTAGATCATTATTATAAGATAGGAATAAGGAAGGGTCGACTTTGACTGCAGGAACGTCACTCTGTATCGAACGTTAGTCGAGAGCAATCACAGTTTTACGTTTATGATCTTTTACGTTTACGTTTTATGTTCTTTATGTTAAATAGTTAGTAAATATTAAATAATATAATTACATCGTTACGTTTAGTGTTCACGTATTTGAATCCGTCCACACGCCTTTGAAATGAGAACATAAAACTTAAATGTAAAGTTTCATTTAAATTCATTCAGCTATTTATATTCAATCGTATTAATAATATACATATGTGTGCTCATACATGGGAATAAAAAAAAATTTCTTTTTTTTCAATAATTAAAATATGATCAGGAGGTCTTAAAACGTGTATTTCCGTAAAATAAATTTTACAAAATTTTTTTTTCATTATGGGTACTTTGCTTATGTGCGCCTACCTCGTGATAAAGGCGGGGGCAGAGATGCCAGAAAAGCACCGCCGGGTGCACACGCACACATGCTAGATACGCCTACGTGAGCTCGTGGAGTTTCGGAAAGTCGACAAAGGCAAACTGACGCATGCCCTCTTTCTCGATTCTCCGAAGCTGTCCGAAATTACATAGATTATAAGATAAAGAAGCGTTCTCCGGCGTTTTATTAAATACTACCGAAACGTGTGCGTACATTTAAGTGGGATTGATTAATATTAAGGTACATATTAGTATTCTAATATGCAAGGTCCATACGTGCAGTTGCACATTCCAGTTTCGTTTCTAGAAAACATGTGATGGATTATCTCACATGTATTAACATTTTGTTAGATTTTTTATCTCTTCATCAGTCAGAGTTCGTACGTGCAGTTGCACATTCCAATTTCGTTTCTAGAAAACACGTGGTAGATTATCTCACATGCATCGACATTTTGTTAGGTTTTTCATCTCTTGATTGAGTAGTTCTTTTAGGAACTCTCACTTTGTAGCTTATTTCTAACTTTTCGATAGCTTCTCTCTTAGATAGGTATTCGAATTCCTCGCCAAAGGAAGGGTGGTTAAGGCGAGGTTGGGGCGGGTCTCCTTACGCAGCAACCTCCACGCAGTGAGACCTGGGGATTATTATTTACTATGTAATTAATATAACTATTAATTACACAGCAAATAATATGAGCTAATGGCTGCGTTCTTCTTATAGTTCCACATACGTTCTTCGCCCCAATGTACGATCTGATAATACCGATTTCGAGCCACGAATACGTTTTTGCAGAGTTATTTTGTAAATAAATGATGTATTACAATTTAAAATAAAAAATAGAGGATTTGCGGTGTACTTATCAATGAGGTACTTACGTCCTAATCTTTAAATAATCTTAATCGATTGGTTATTCCAATGAAATTAATCGATTGATGCTCAATTCTAGACTGTACAGCTTTCATTCCGTTAAAAAATACTAAAATTTATGTAATTTTATTTTCTGTCTCACTTCCTCTTGTGTTTATTTCTAAATCTGTTGGTAACGTTGTGAGTGACACGAAAATGGTAATGGGACTCTAGAGTCCCAGAAAAATGGGCCGAAAAAATACATTATTATATTATTATAGTATATTATTATAATATAATAATAAATTGTTCAATTTTTGACATTAGATCCCTGATACTTTTTTAAAGAGAATACAAAAATATAGCAAAGTATATATTTTTATTTAAAAAATCGAAGTAATTTTGAAAACATGACATATCAGATTTTGCTATCTGATCACAAAATTATATTTATTATTATATAGTAATACAACAGAAAAATCATTTTCAGGGTAGTCCATAGAGCCGCACAAACTGCTTTTACGCATCAAAACATACCATTGTAGTGAAGGGTTATATGTATGAACAAACGCTTACAGCGCGTGAACGTTTACACCGGATGTACCTTTTTGCACCCTACACGGTGTAACTGCACCCAATAGCACCCTCCTGTTTAACTCAGTGCTTCCAGTTTTGTTTATATGTTTGTATACCGGTACGAGTAACTTCGGTAGTCGAAGTTAATTGGAATCAGCCGCATGTAAACAGTGGTGTATGGATTCGTATGACTATTTTAGCGATGCCAATCGCATGTAGACTCTTTATAAATATAATGAGCACATGGAAATTATTACAGCGTCGATGTTACGATCTACTCTCATACAAATATTCGCTTCTTATGATATTAATGGCATTTACTTGTATATTTATCGGGATCATTCATTTCGGAGAGGTTAGGAAACCCACGATTTTTCACTATTGTTTTGATTCTGTAGATCGTATTTGTTAATCGTTAAAAATCTGTATTTCATTGTTTCTCGTTGAAACTAAGTCGTTACTCTATCAATTATTTAAATGTATCTTTATAATTGACAGAATTTGTTGACGCGATTAAAAATATACAAATGTTTTAAATAGCGTTTTCATAACTTTTTGTACATGTTCTGACGATAATACACCTTGAACATAAACGAATATTAATTAGGCTTGTTTTAAACGATTTAACGATCTAACGTATGTGAAAATTGTTAAACTTTATTTAAATATATTTTTCCAGATATGGGTGACTTGGAGTAAAGAAAAGTATGAAGCTGTATTTCATTCTTTTAACGATAATATATTAGGTATCTCTTTTCAAAAAAAATTATGTCAACATGTTCCAATAGATGTTGTATATACATGGGTTAATGGCTCTGATGCAATTTTTTTAAAAAACCTAAAAGAACATGTTCCTATTATGGATATTAACACTGCAGCATCTAGATATAGCGACAAAGATGAATTACGATATTCGTTACGTTCTTTAGAAATGTATGCACCATGGGTTAGACATGTGTACATAGTTACCAATGGCCAAATACCAAGTTGGTTAGATATGGATAATCCTAGAGTTACTCTTATTACTCACGAAGACATTTTTTTAAATAAAAGTGATTTACCAACATTTTCTAGTCCTGCTATTGAAAGTCATATTCACAGGTAATATAAAATTTGCCTGTTTTATGTAGATCAGTGATTATGTCTATTGACTTTTACATATTAATTTTTATTTCTACAGAATTCCTGGAATTTCAGATAAATTTTTATACTTTAACGATGATGTAATGTTAGGAACTGAGGTATGGCCGGAAGATTTCATTACTCAAGCAGGTGGCCAGAAAGTGTATCTTGCATGGTGGGTTCCTGATTGTTCCGATGTCTGTCCTTGGGCTTGGGTGGGTGATGGGTCATGCGATCCTGCTTGTAATACAACATTATGCGAATTTGACGGTAATTGTTACCTTTTGTCTTTGTCTTTAGATTTTGTACCGATAATTTGGTAACAAAAATATTTTAGTGACTCTGAAATAATATTAATAATTATGTAGGAGGAGATTGTGATAGTACACCAGTTCCTACAGATAGCGAAGCACTCGATGAAGAAGGAGATTATTCACAAAAGTTTTTACAAGATACTCAAGAAAATACTTATTATGGATTGAAATTCTTAGATATATTAAAGAATAAAAGCAAATCTGCATGGAATAATACAGAAGCATTTACCCAACAAATATTGCCAAATGAGTCTACACACTTGAAGTCTGATGTAAATAAATTTTATAATTTTAACACTGATAAGTATATAAATCACGTTGAAAAGGTTTTTAATGAACGTGAACATAATCAAATTATATCTACTCAAAAATCGATATTATCGAAAATGATGCGTAAGATGAAATTTCAGAATTCAAATTTTACCGAAAGACGTATTCAACTTAAACGTTATTTAAACGATGACAATATAAATTTACCAGAAGTTAGCAGTACTGTCAAGATTAATAATAAACCCAATTATTCCGATCAATGGAAACTTAGAACTAGACAGCTGGATACATATGCGGAATCTTTGTTGTATGTAAATAGAATATATAACATGGCATATGGATTCGAACGTAGGAGGGTACCTGCTCACATGCCTCATTTAATAGATAAATGGATCGTCGCTGACATGCACAAAAAGTTTGAAAACGAATTTAAGAAAACGTCTAGTCATAAAGTTAGAAATTCTGAGGATATGCAGTTTGCATTTTCTTATTACTATTTTTTGGCAAGCGAAAAACGGAAAGTGCCAATTGAAGAAATATTCGACACATTTGACACGGATAAATCAGGGTATAATATTTTACGAAACAGAAATCTAGTTTTTATTAGTTTTTACTTTTCGTTTATCATTTACTATTATTAAGAATTTAAAACTAATACCAGTATTATTTTCAGGACTTGGTCAGATAGAGAAATTAGGACACTTTTGTCCAGATTATATCCACTACCTCTCGATTATAGTCTAGTTGTAGAGTTTGAAAATGCAATAACAAACTGTTCAAATCACGTAAAAATTACAGAAATATCGAATCCACCGCAGGGAGAAAGATATTTGGATTCATCTCTTGTGAGTAAATATTGTTTTTATTCATTGTAACCAGCATAATTAGCAAAATAAGCTAGATCCTATTTTTGAGCAGCGGGGGAAAGCACTATGGCATGGAGAAACATGCGATGTAACAACACCGCATATAACATATATCAAAGCATCAGACCGATTAGTCAAACCGTCAGACCGCCAGCTCAGTCCGAGTTCACTTACGACACTACACTCATAAACTACACCCCATAATCCAACCTCAGCTATTAGAATGTCACATAGTATCACTTGGTATAGCTAATTGCAGCCGTAGATCGTAGGACTGATGACATTATTGCCAAATTTATTATGTTCTGACCTGTATTAGAGAAGACCGTGGTCCATTACTACTTCAACTCGTGTGAGCCCTCACGTTTATACCGCTTTCCTCCACTCCTCAACAATGGGATTTAGCTTATTTTTCTTGTAACTAATACTTAAATGTGAAATAACGTATAAATCAAATTATGGTGTCCGGTACTCGTCTTATAGCCAATTGTATCTAAAGAATTAATAGCAAAATGCGAATCAGTTTCAAACAAGATTGAAGCTAGGTTCGGAGAAAAGAAGCTCTATCCACATGAAATAATTAGAGCAGGAAAAAATGAGATATTCGAAATGTTGACGAGCAATGTATCTCTAACTGTGCAACTCTTAGATGAAATTCGCAGAGATCCAAAGTAAGTCAACATATTAATTTGTATTAATTATTTTTATTAATTTAAGAAATAAATGAAACGATTTCAATAAATTTTAGAAAATTTATATGTTTAAACGATGACATGGATCCTCTTCGCCGTTCAGAAAACGAAATTGTTCGAGCATTGTTAAACGATTTTTATCGTTCGCTTTATCCATTGCGCAGCACATTCGAATTGCCTTTGCAATACCGAAATCTTTTCACTCATCGACATGAACTTTTTGAGTGGAGAACTAACCGTGCAAAAGCTAGAAATTTATTATTGTGTCTTATTGTTTTACTTCTTGTTACGACTTTTTATCATTTATTTTACAGTCAAATGCGACGATTATTCAGAATGCGAGCATTGCCCACTCTCCTCATTTAAGGTGACTAAAAATAGTTGTAAAATTAGTTCTGCAATAATCTAAAGAGAACAGTGACTGAAAAAATTGATGAGAAATCAGATTTTGTACATAAAACTTTTTATGTGCACGTCATTTCTTTACAAAATGTTACTATTTTTACAATTGACATATACAATATATTTCCTCTGATAGGTGTTTTAAAAAAAATTTAATGCGACTTTAAATAATGGATCACTACGATAATTTTCATATATATTATTTATGTAAAAAATATGAATTATTGCAAAGAATTAATATTTTGTTTTTTAGAATTTAATGTAAAGAAATTCAAACAGTAGATTTTTAATATCATGTTTTAAAATTAAGTAAACTATTCCTGTGATATTGACTATGTACTGATTTTTTCTGTAACGAAATGGAAGTGTGGATCTGAGAAATTTTTCTACAAAATAATTGTACAATGGTAAATTTATTACCTATACATAGATTTTAAATAAGCGATGTGATTGATCGCTGTTATATATTTTTAGTTAATATTTAATTTAATAATATTTTCTGGTGCGCATTAAAATTTTTCACTAGAAAAATCGTTCATTCGACAATTGTTAAAGACTTACTATATACCAAATTTATACTTATTAAAATATTATAGGTATAATCGATGAAAAGTGCTAGTACACTGAATGTCTTTTTAAATTCAACATTTCTATTTATTTTGTTTACAAAGTCATGTATATAACTTCCTCTAAGTAAAGCGGTGTAGTACCTCGTATGACTGAATTGTATCTATCATGGTACAGTTAGGGTATATAATTATCACTAAATGTGAATTAAATAACTGCTCACAATAATGTTATGATAATAATACCATCCAAGTATGCTAATCTTGTATACGGTATTGCATCTTTTATATTTAACTATTCTGTATATTATTGTTTTAATAAAAAGTTCAAGTGTCTACTAAAAAGTAAAAAAACATTAAAATAAATGAAGTAGGATAATAATATCATCTGATAATACTGTGTAATGCATTTCTGGTTTTCCTACAGTGTTTTCTATTTTACTGGCAAGTATAACAATATGTTCCACGTCCACTAATTATACATGACTTAACAATAAACGTAAATTTTAAACATTCTAAACAAAACACTATTTTACATACCTTAACAATTTCAATTTTTGAACATTTATGTAAAGTTATTGCAATTGTTTTTTTTTGCTGTTTTTAATAGAGAAGTGACGTGCGTTCAATGCATTATTATTGATGCAAAATTATTTGCAAGCTCAGAGATTGCGAAAATTTATTTAACGTCATGATTCCGATATTTGTTGTCTGTCTAAAGGAGGACAATTCATATGCCGAAAATTTCGTGGACCTACCATACCTTCCTGTATTCTTGCACATTCGCTCATCCATATCGCCACACTGGCTACCTCTTCAGCCGACAAACGAGGTCCAATACCTAAACATAACAAAGTTGTTAAATTACGTACATAATAAATTTGAGCAAATCGTAAAATTTTTCTTCTTAATCCTCACCAGGAACATTCGGACGATACTTAAGCGATTTTGGATCTAGGATTTTTTTTCTTCTTTTACCGCTCGAAGCTTTACGATCTATGCTACGAACACTTTGATCTTTACTTGCATTTCCGTCTGGAGTATTGCTGCCAGACGTACACTTGTCAGATATATTTTCACTTTTGGTCGATTTTTTCCCGTCGCTCGACCGAGATCTTTTACTCAATTCAGCATCCGCGCCAGAATTCTCATTATTTTCTTCTACTTTCAAAGTTCCTTCGCTGGAAGAATCTTGCTCGGTTTTATCGTCGACCATTTTTCTCTGATCGGTATAACTCTCGCCTAATTGTGGCGTAATATCGGCTGAAAGAAAATAAAGAATATTTCCTGTTAAACTTAATTTCCTATTAGCTTAGAAATCAATTTACTTCTTGAGGAGTCAATGTCTTCCTTTGACACCAGCTCCAAATCCAAATTTACGTCCGCTTCGGTGTCTTGGCTCGCGATAGAGCAAACACGATCCACGGAGAACTTATCATCGCTAGGTTCTTGGCTCGCAAATGATCTAGAATCGTTGGATTCGTTGCATAAAATGAATTCTGTCGGATCTTCATCGGAGGAGTCCCTTTCGCTACCGTCGCATCGAAGTCCTGCCAAATACCTGGACATTTTATGTAAAACATATGTATACCCCTGGGAAAAATTTTAATGGGAGATTCTAGAGGCCAAAATAAGACGAAAATCAAGAACAATAATTTGTTGATCGAGGCTGTGTTAAAAAGTTATTAACGTTTAAAGTTCCTCCTGTGGAACGGCAATCTGCGAACAGCTGCGCGTGCGCGGTAGTGGTTCTCACTCACAAGACTGTGAGGCTGTCGATACGTCATTAAGTAGAGTTTCTCATACTGAGTGAGAACCACTATCACATGCACGCAGCTGTTCGCAGATTGCCGTTCTATAGGCGGAACTTTTTAACGAAGCCTCAATTAATAAATTAGTATTTTTGATTTTCGTCTTATTTGTATTCCTAGAATCTTCCATTAAAAATTTTCCCCGGGATGGTTGAACACCCTGTATATTGTAACATATGAAATATGTGTTTTTTGTTTTGCTTGAAGCAAATATTAAAAATCGTGTCTGGGTTAGGTAGCAGGACGATTTTATAAATGTATAGCAGGGAGCGCGAAAGATTAGCCTTGGAACTAGATTAACAGAATTTCTTATTAACAAAATACAAAATATAATTGTGTAGAAATAGATATTTGTGATCATTACTGTTTGTTTTACGATCTATATTTAATAAACTATAAACTATATAATTGTCTTAAGTCATTAAAACGCCACCTTAGTCTCAAGATTTAAATATAACAGAAAGTACAGGGTATTTGGCTACTCCTGGGAAAAATTTTAATGGGAGATTCTAGAGGCCAAAATAAGACGAAAATCAAGAATACCAATTTGTCGATTGAGGCCTCGTTAAGAAGTTATTAACGTTTAAAGATCCGCCTGTAGAACGGCAATCTGTGAACAGCTACGTGCATGCGATGGTGATTCTCACTCAACAAACTGTAATCGTTAATAACTTTTTAACGAAGCCTCAACCAACAAATTAGTATTCTTGATTTTCGTCTTATTTTGGCCTCTAGAATCTCCCATTAAAATTTTTCCCAGATGTGGCTGAACAACACCCTGTATATGTATAGCAACCGAGGGGTCGGTCGAGCGCTTGTGAGAGCGTGGCCCCTCTAGTGGCGAGCATGGGAGGCGACACCACAAATGTATTTTTTATTTTGCATATTTTACATACTGCATATATTTTGCATATTTCTTGTATGTATTATAAAGATATAAGAATTTCATTCAAAGTAAATAAATAGTTGTAACTCTGCGCATCTACTTAAAAACTTCATCCAACTTACCCATAAATCTCCATGAACAACGTAACAGGAACCATAGCTGATCCTCCTTCGGGTTCGTGAGTGAATAATTCACAAATCATGATCATCGTCTCGAAGAGACTCGATCCTAAGAGGCCCACCGCTATAGCCAGAAACTTTTTCACCTGACACCTTCGTCGAAATTTCCCGATCATCATGATCAAATTTAAATCTCGTCGGTCCAAGCACAAGCAATCCCAACGACGTAAAATCATTTCCACGGGCAACGATTTGTTATAATCTACCCAACAAATATTCAACATCGAAATAATACGAAGAATTTCAAATTGTTTTATCGTTTTATTATTTCGTTATGATTAAAATAAATATAAGGTGTTTTAGAAATATAAATACTCAAGGAAATGATTCTACGCGCTAAAATAACTAAAAAGTCTATTGTATTTAATATACATATACAATACACATTTAGGTCAAAGCGATTAAACGATTAAATAATGGTTTTCGAATGATTTGCACGCTTGCGTGAGTACCTCCGAATTGCCTTAGCAAAATTCTAAGAAAACCAAGCGTCAATCCGGAAGCGGTGCTCGGTGGTGGATATTCGAGTCTCAGTTTTGTTGGTGGGTCCTCGCCGTCAGCCAACGCTCGAAAGTACGAGCTGGACCATTTAAGTAAATCGTACGGTTGGGTTCGTATAGCTGCCTTGCAAAATTGTTTTAAAATTATCGGTAAACTTGGCGGGACGATGATCCCCTGGCTCGCGACCGATTGTTCGACAATGGACATTTTTTACCGTAAAAATTCACCGGGCACTCTTTCCTTGTTAAAATGAAAGCTTTCGTCTGATAACAATGAATCACAATTAGCGAGAACAGTGTACTACGTTGTATAAGGTGAAACCTAGCTTAACTTGAATATCGTAGTACACAGTATCGAGTGTGTTGCTACTTCGCGGGGTACCGTCGTCTAGGAAACAATATCGATGGACATACATACTTCGAGCAGAAACGAAGATCTTTCTGGTAAGAATAATAATGTTCTTGTTGCACAGTTGTATTATTTAAAAACTTTAATTGCTGTTTAAATGTGATTGAATAGTAGCCACGTGTTTCTTCATTTTTCTTTATTTTTCTTTTCTCTCATTTTTGATTAATAGATAAATATAAATATGAATGTAACGCGCAATTTTAAGAGGTAAATAGGTTTATTTTTCAAATTATACGGAAAGATTGTTTATGAATATACGTTTTAGAATAAGGTTATTTAATTACCGCAATATAGATAAATCACTTTAAATATTCTCACGGTGTATCATTTATTTGTTTGTAAAATTTATTTACATCATCGATAGAACTGTGTTCGCTGATACAAAGGTTGATCAAAAAGTAAGGTTCCCTATGTCAAATATTTTTATTGCAATTTATACTGTTTCTTGAAACCCGTTGCTTCCCTACACGATGAGTCCGTTGCTCTTAGATTTCACAAGAATCTGAATATGTCACGTTATAAACAATATATACACGTGGAAAATTAAAATTTCTCCTAATATATTGCCAAGGGAATCTTACTTTTTGATCAACCTTCATATTTAATGGAAACATATTTAAATGTTTCTGCGATTACCGCGGATGCGGTCGTGATCAAATGCTTACAGATGGCACTAATAACGTACTTTTGGAGGGATAACACAATCCAACATGGCGGCGATTGGTGTTGTGCGTTCGTGAACGTCAGGGTTGAGACCGGTATTTAAGAGACAAATAGTTGTAATTAAATCAAGTACGTGTTTACGTGGGCGTTAGTTCGACTATAATTTCATTTACACTCGTAAAGGGTAGTTCTGAAATTAGGGAAAATGTCGAAGCCAGACGAAAATGTAGACACAGGGGACACGGGAGAAAATTCGAATGGATCTTCGGCAGAGACCACGTCGTCTCGTGGTGGTGACTTCGAAACAAAGCTTGAAACTGATCGAAGTAAGAGATTCGATTATTTACTAAAACAGACTGAAATATTCTCCCATTTTATGACGAACAATCAGAAGGATAAAGCTGGAAGTCCTTTGAAAGTCAAAGCTGGCAGGCCCAGAAAACAACCAGCAGAAGCTCCTGTGAAAGTCGATCTCATTGATCACAGGCACCGTAAGACAGAACAAGAAGAAGACGAGGAGTTATTAGCAGAGAGTAACGCCAATGTTGCGACTACAACACGTTTTGAATCGTCACCACACTACATTAAATCTGGTGAGTTACGAGATTATCAAATACGAGGTTTAAATTGGATGATATCCTTGTACGAACACGGTATCAATGGTATCTTAGCAGATGAAATGGGTCTTGGTAAAACTCTACAGACTATTTCTTTGCTCGGATATATGAAACACTTCAGAAACATTCCGGGTCCGCATATAGTTATAGTTCCAAAGTCCACTTTGGCTAATTGGATGAACGAATTTAAGAAATGGTGTCCTACGCTAAGAGCAGTTTGTCTCATAGGAGACGCAGAAACTAGAAATACCTTTATTAGAGATGTTATGATGCCCGGAGAATGGGATGTTTGCGTAACATCTTACGAGATGGTCATAAAAGAAAAGTCTGTATTTAAAAAGTTCAACTGGCGTTATATGGTAATAGATGAGGCTCATAGGATAAAGAATGAAAAGTCAAAACTATCAGAGATACTGCGAGAATTTAAAACAGCTAATCGTCTATTATTAACTGGAACACCTCTGCAGAATAACCTCCATGAATTGTGGTCCTTGCTCAATTTTCTATTGCCAGATGTGTTTAATAGTTCAGACGATTTTGACTCTTGGTTTAATACCAACAGTTTCTTAGGTGATAATTCGTTAGTCGAGAGATTGCATGCAGTTCTTCGACCATTCCTTTTGAGACGTTTAAAATCTGAAGTTGAGAAAGGTCTTAAACCAAAAAAAGAAATCAAGGTGTACATTGGTCTTAGTAAAATGCAAAGAGAATGGTACACTAAAGTGCTCATGAAAGACATAGACATAGTTAACGGCGCTGGAAAAATTGAAAAAATGAGGCTACAAAATATTTTGATGCAATTGCGCAAATGTTGTAACCATCCATATTTGTTTGATGGCGCAGAACCTGGACCTCCTTATACAACCGATGAACATCTGGTTTATAATTGTGGCAAAATGGTGATTTTGGACAAATTATTGCCAAAATTGCAACAGCAAGAATCACGAGTTCTTGTATTTAGTCAAATGACGAGAATGTTGGATATTTTAGAAGACTATTGTCACTGGCGATGTTTTCAATACTGTCGTTTAGATGGTAATACAGCACACGAGGATAGGCAACGTCAAATCAATGAATATAATGCACCTGGAAGTGAGAAATTCATTTTCATGTTGTCAACTCGTGCTGGAGGTTTAGGTATAAATTTAGCAACAGCTGATGTAGTTATTATTTATGACTCTGATTGGAATCCACAGATGGATTTGCAAGCAATGGATCGGGCTCATCGTATAGGTCAACAAAAGCAAGTTCGTGTATTCAGGTTTATTACAGAAAATACTGTAGAAGAAAAGATTGTTGAGCGTGCCGAAGTTAAATTGCGTTTAGATAAGTTAGTTATCCAACAAGGGCGGTTAGTTGATGCAAAGCAAACAGCACTGAATAAAGACGAAATGCTGAATATGATCAGGCACGGTGCAAACGAAGTATTTGCATCTAAAGATAGTGCTATCACGGATGAAGATATAGATACTATTCTACAAAAGGGCGAAGCGAAAACCGAGGAGATGAAACAGAAACTTGAAAGTCTGGGAGAATCGTCGCTGCGTAACTTCACCGTGGACGCACCTACAGATTCGGTGTATCAGTTCGAGGGCGAGGACTATCGTGAAAAACAAAAAATTCTCGGGCTCGGCAACTGGATAGAACCGCCAAAACGAGAACGAAAAGCTAATTATGCAGTTGACGCTTACTTCAGGGAAGCTCTTAGAGTATCTGAACCGAAAGCTCCGAAAGCACCCAGACCTCCGAAACAGCCAATAGTTCAAGACTTCCAGTTCTTCCCGCCACGATTATTTGAGTTACTCGATCAAGAAATTTATTACTTCCGTCAAACCGTAGGATACAAAGTTCCAAAGAATCCTGAACTTGGGTCCGACGCAGCCAGAATTCAAAAAGAAGAGCAGCGTAAGATAGACGAGGCTCAACCGTTGTCCGACGAAGAAATTGTGGAAAAGGAGAAATTGCTCACTCAAGGCTTCACGAATTGGACGAAAAGAGATTTTAATCAGTTTATAAAGGCGAACGAAAAGTACGGTCGTGACGATATCGAGAATATTGCCAAGGAAGTGGAAGGAAAAACGCCAGAAGAGGTGATGGAGTACTCTGCAGTTTTTTGGGAACGTTGCCACGAGTTGCAGGACATTGACAGGGTTATGGCTCAAATCGAACGCGGAGAGGCGAAGATACAAAGACGAGCTGGAATTAAGAAAGCCTTAGATGCCAAGATGGCAAGGTATCGTGCACCGTTTCATCAGTTGAGGATAGCTTACGGGACGAATAAGGGAAAGAATTACACCGAAGAAGAGGATCGTTTCCTTGTGTGCATGCTACACAAATTGGGCTTCGATAAGGAAAATGTTTACGAGGAGCTACGAGCTACGGTCAGATCAGCGCCGCAATTCCGTTTCGATTGGTTCGTCAAGTCGCGCACGGCTTTGGAATTGCAACGACGATGCAATACTTTGATTACATTGATAGAACGCGAGAACCAAGAACTCGAGGAGCGGGAAAGACAAGAGAGGCGAAAAAAGGGCGGCAGCATAGGTGCAAAACCAGCGTCCAAGCGAAAACAAGAGAATTTACCAGCGCCACAGGACAAGCCTCGAAAAAAGAAGAAATAAACATCACACTGTGAAACGTTTTTCGACCGTTTTTTCGTTTTTTCGTTTTTTAAAGAGCACGGACTTGACTACAACAATTCTCTTTATTCGTTCATCATTCATTTTTCTTCGAGACATTAACAATACCATCGTTCGAGTTCAGGTGAATATTCGTCGCAGTTTTAACCTTGTCTCATTCTCTGCGAATGAAGTTCTTTAGTACAATTATCGTCCTTCCACGAGAAGAAGGCACGGCGTGTTTACATCCCCATTCTTGCTGCAGTCCGCTGATTGGCTGTCACCGATCTTCGTCACCGTTTTCGACCAATACCTGTGAGTCGGCGGACTGCAACAGGACTGGGGATGTAAACACGCTGTTGTGCCTTTTTCTCGTGGAAGGACGATACGTTCCTCTCGCTTTTTTCTCGATAGTCATCAATAGATCTTAATCAAGATTTTCGAAACAAATAATTAACAATAGGTAGAGGAACTTCTTTATTGATGATAACGAACATAACCAAATTACAGTGATTTTTTTAAGGATTTTGAATATAACATCGAATGATAGCTTTTATATTTACATACACAAGGTGACGCATTTCAATCTGTAAATGAATGTATTTGAGAGACTGTAAAATTAGAAAATTGAATATATAAGGATTGAAGGGCATTCCACAGTCACTTATCTTTTTGTAAATGGCATTTGGCATATTTTTTGTCACCGACTCAAAGAGCGTAACTAGAGTTCGAACAAGATTTCGTTTGTCTTATTTCTAAATTTTGAATTCTGGTCACGCTTTTTGGCCTTGAGATATCCTACACGCCTCTGCAACCAAAATTTTCCTTGACATATTAATGTGGAATTTCTCGTTAAGACCTACTCTTTGAAATAACAACCACCTACGCATAAAAGGGAATCACTCGGTACACATGTACGCCTAAGCAATTCTTCTCGACTTTACTAAAATTAAATGAAAGCGAGACGATTGATACACCTAATTATTAATTATTACGAAAACATGTTACTCTCGCTTGTCACGTGTATATATTTTGTACACGCAACACGAACGTACCTTGACTTAATTTTACACGAGAATACTTGTAATGCAATATTACGTGAACGATTTTATTTATTTGCTACGATTTTAAAGGCATTGTAATTCGTTTTACGAATAAAACACCATATGCCGCGTCATATAAAGCATCTATGTATATTGGTGTTTCATTGAGATGGTGCAAAATCAACTGGCCGCTGAAGGTCATTAAGAAGGACAATACCCAAACGTAATACGTGGCTGTTAACATTATGTAAAAGTAAAAGTTATACCTGATCTGATATACAGTTTGGTAAATGGTCTTGAGTGGCTAATTGATAATGTGCCACTTATATTATTTACTACCCTCATACAGAACCGAATAGAAATAAGAGGAAACGCGCCAATACAAAGGACAATGTTAAGTCATAGAGGGGTTTACTGACCCAAGAGCGTACAGCCTATGCTATACACCGTTGGAAAGGTGTCGCCAAGGCGAATCGACTGATACCGTTTTTAACTTCGATATCAGATGGGATCATGTCGAAAAATGGCCTCAAAGTTCGAGATTTTGCGGTTTTGAACAAAAGAATCCGGTCGTAAAAGCCCATCCGGCCCGAGGGACCTCGGGTAGGCACCTGAGGGAAAACCGAGCGGTGTAAGCGATACTCTAGCAGATTGGGACGGCAAATGTGCCCCACCACCTTCATTTCAGTGCCGTGTTGGGCCTGCGTTTGCCGCATGGGCCCCGTTCGAAATGCCCAGGGCGAAATCGCCAATGGATCAGTTGTTTTTCATGAACATAATATATTCATGATAGACGATTCGCAGGTATGAGTTGGGAATGTGCAGATTAGTATTCAGTATTCACATCATTATGTTTCGTTCAATCAATAAAATGTCACTCCATTCACTATTGTAAGTGACGCATTAGTCTGAATACTAACCTGCACATTCCCAACTTATACCTGCGAATCGTCTATCATGAATATATTATGTTCATGAAAAACAACTGATCCATTGGCGATTTCGCCCTGGGCATTTCGAACGGGGCCCATGCGGCAAACGCAGGCCCAACACGGCACTGAAATGAAGGTGGTGGGGCACATTTGCCGTCCCAATCTGCTAGAGTATCGCTTACACCGCTCGGTTTTCCCTCAGGTGCCTACCCGAGGTCCCTCGGGCCGGATGGGCTTTTACGACCGGATTCTTTTGTTCAAAACCGCAAAATCTCGAACTTTGAGGCCATTTTTCGACATGATCCCATCTGATATCGAAGTTAAAAACGGTATCAGTCGATTCGCCTTGGCGACACCTTTCCAACGGTGTATAGCATAGGCTGTACGCTCTTGGGTCAGTAAACCCCTCTATGACTTAACATTGTCCTTTTACGATGAAAATGAATTTATCTTTTCGTATAGCTATATTTATTGAATTTCAGAATCCTTAGCATCGAGCAAGGAAAAAATATAAATCGGAATACTTGTTCCTAAATCGAGTCTTAGTGCACAATTATTAGTAATAGTTATACATATATATTAAATATATAAATAGCGAATGTATTGCTCGATAGTTTAAAAACAAATGATAATCGAAATTAAATCGATCATCAATAGTTCTTGACGGACAATAGATATGCATAATTTTTATAAAACGCATAGAACATGCATAAACAATAAATACTTGATACAATATAGATTATACATTTTCAGAAGGTCACCACCCCCCACCCCCCACCCCCTTGTACAGTGACTTAAAAAAAAGTAATTTCATCCACATCGACGTATATTCTAAAATGTTTAAAATAATCGGAAACAAATATCCTTTCTATCAGGACTCCTGTTCTTAATTCTCATTAATAGTGTACTTTGATACTATTCACATAGTAATCGAAATTCGTTATTTATATTAAATCAAACTACAAAGTGAATTGTCAACTGACACTTAAAACGTAGTTTTATATCAATTATAAAGTTACCGTGGCGAATTTTACTTACAACAGTGCTATTAATATCTCAATTATTAATAATAGTATCTGATATTTTAGACTAATTCAATGATTTAGTATAATCTCGATGAGATATTTGTTTATTATGTATCGTTATAAACAATTGTAATTTTGAAAATATTTTGATTAATTATTGTATTATTTTATTAATACGTAGTGAAAATTTCGTTGTAAAAAATTAAACAACTATTACGCTTGTACAGGTAAAAAAGTATATTCATTCGTGTATAGTCATCTCGTAAATTCGTACTATTAGATTCGTTTTCGTTGAAAATTGTAAAAGTATATTGCACAATGCGGAAATAAAAGTATAGCAACATAGTCATACAGCAACGTTCTGTTTACCTTTTAAATACAATCAAGCGGACGAATAAAAACATTTCTCCAACATAAAAATAAATGCACGTCTGATCCTTACATTATACTAATGTCATGGAAAATAGAATCTTTGAATGAATCTCGAAAAGTAAGATAGAACTATTTATGTAATTTTTTTAATCACTTTGTAAGGCCCCGGAGTTCATTAATATCACCACGGGATATAATATTCTAATTATATAATTTATATTTGGTGTTATCATACTTCAATGTCACTTAGAGTAATGTTGTCCTTTTATAATAATAAAATTTCATTTAAATGAATCGCGATTTTTTTTTTTAAATTGGTTAATAGAAAAAGCGATTTGCCTTTAAAGTGAAGCAGTATATACAAAACGAGTATTTTCTGTTCGATTAATATATTTTCCAATGTCATGATACATCTTCAATAACTATGTTAGAAGGCGTTTATTGCAACAATGGAAAATATATAATTGTTCAAATAAATGATACTTTTGATTTCAATAAATCGTTTTTATGGATGACTCATTATTCTATTATCGATGAAATAGAGCCAAACAAATTAAATGTCACACTGTAAGTAATAACAAAATAAGCCACAGAACTATCGTTTTAAACAATAGTAATTAGACTTTGATTTGCATCTAAAAGAAGTTATATATATATATATATAAATGTATCTTAATAAATCTTAATTTTTATATGATCTTAATTCCGCATTTTTAAGAAATTACGCGCAATGACCATGCATGCAGTCGATATTACCGATGAAAATACATATATGTTACATTAAATGATGTACAGAAAATTCGCAGGCAAACTAAAGTACTCCACTTCATGGTGATTACTTATTCTACTATTTTTTTCATATTTTTATTCATTTTTAATATCTTTTTAATATACCGCTATCCTTATTCTATTACACATACTTTCGGAAATCTTACAGCAAAGTTGTTCTGTCTGAGATTAATTGGTAGTAGAATACATTTAGTTTACAGCGAATACAGTATCTTCTTGTAATAATTACAATTATTAGAAATAATATGACTCATGCATAGTTCATATAATTATCTATGGCAAGGATTGGCCCAACTGCAAATTATTTCAATGTATTCATAAATTCTCATTAAACATATTCAATTACTAAAATGAAAAACCATTAACAAATATATTAACAGTACATTTTATGCCTAACAAAATGATATTTAAAAATAATAAATGAAATTCAATGAGACCAGTGACTGAGAAATATAATAATGGGCCCAAATAAAATATGAAAATATAAAATTTATATTTCCAGTTAATTACACTTCTTGCATCAACAATAGTCGGCATTTGTAATTATCATGACAATTTGGTGTTTCTATTGATTCATTGTCAAAACACGCACTCGAGCATAATTGTTGAATGTACATCACTCAACACGTTAATATCCTAATATTTTAATGATTACATCTGTCTACACTTTAAAGTTTGCAATAATAGCAATAACAATAGTAATACTGGTAAATTATATGGCGCGGTAAGCAAATTTTATCCCGCTTAGATATCTAGTACATGTATGTGTTGTGTATATATATATATATATATATATTTTTTTATATATATATATACTAATATATTTTTTACCTACCTAATACATCTACTGAAATTTATTATCCAAAACCTACAACTTGATAATAATTTGTAATACTAAAAGATTTAGTATGCACACAGTTCACTTAAATTTCAGAAACAATGTATCTTTTCGCAATTAACATTGTATTAAACATTTGACGAACTCCGATTACATCATAGATAATAATTATTACCGTGTACGCTCAAAATGGAATTTATTTTGAATCTCTTGACATTTTCAAGTAAACGTGCACATAAAAATCCTTAATGTTTCTGTTGTATTCCTTTTTATTTTAGTGCGTTTGCAAGAAATTGATTCTCCTGCAAGGATATATCACTTATTACTTTACCGTCCTTAAATGCGACATCATCAAATACATATTAAGAGAAAGAGGGAGAGGGATTTTCACTCAGTTGCGGTAATGTTTGAAAGTAATTAACCGAGTTTTTCTACTGTAACGTTATAAAATATACAGTTTTAAACTACTTGAACAAATATTGTTAGCACATGATCATAGACTTAATGACAACAGTAATGTAACAATCGTACAGTACTCACTAATAAAACAAAAAATATATGAGCTACAGTATACTTAATAAATTAAAAAATGTATATTATCTTGATACTAAAAAGAGTATATGCACATGTAAAAATAAGAAGTAAGATTATCGATATTAAATCGCAGAATTAAATTTTAAATTAAAAAATCGAGTTTACATTAGTCACGTTTTATATTGTAAGTTAATTTTATACAAAAATATCGTAATACAAACGTTATATTGCTACAAAGATAATAAATACAATTTTTTTTTACGTGTATTTACAAATTAAACGTTCATAAAATACACGTAACGACGTACGTGTTACATTATAAAATAAATTGCCCTGTGCAATTGTCCAAATGATAAATTACAATTTTGTCATCGACAAATTATCCAAACAACGGATACATTTATTTTGTGACCATTGTACGCTCGATAGAAAACAAAACATTATTCGATCGTAAACTAAATAGTATACGTTAACAGGTACTTATACTGCGATGTAATAGTAATGTTCGCAACTGTACCGTCGTTAAAACAAATTTTGATGATTCCATATTGTAAACGGCACACGCTGTGCATTTGTGATTTCGAGTGCTACGTATCTCTTGCATCGGATCACATAAATATAATATCACGCTTTAAAAAAAAGGAATATCCTTAAAATTGATAATAGTGACTGGATGAAATGAATTTAACTGGAGAGGAACAAAAAAAGTAATGCTGTATACGTAAAAATTCAACACCCTGTCCGTATTCCTCTATAAGCAAGAAGAGAATCTAAGTGAAAGCTTTATCTTGAATCAGATGCCTCCAAGGGGGTGGATCGGGGGGTGGAGGCAAAGGGACTGGTTACGGCCGACAATGGCCTCGTTTCCTGCCACCTTCGTTGCCGTCTTCCTCTTCGCCACCTCTTCTCACTTCGGTATAGCGTTCACCTTTTACGCTCACGATCTTGTTATCAAGATAACGCACTAACTTTTTTGGTTCCGTTTTCGGAGCAACTGGACGGTGCTCACGTGAATCATCATCTCTATCGACGTAGCTATACCGTGCAATGATACGTGATTTCAGTTCCTCGTCGTTCACTCTGGCCTTGTTGCGACCGTTCGGCTGCCATAAGATAATTACGCTATTTTATATCGTTTAACTCGTGATTGATAATTAACTCTTTAACTACTAGAAGAATCTATGCACATGCATGTGTATGTTAATTTTTCATGATATACCGTACGTACACATTTTATTTTACAAGATATTAAGAAGAAATGAACCTATTTTGAATAATGCAAAATATATCAATTGAAATAGTATGACTAAAGTCAGATACTTACTGTTAAAAATGTTAGATTACTGACAATGCTCTGTCCTGCTTCCTGTCGATGAAGTGCAAGTTGAGCTGCTTTTGCTATATCACCACCAGCAACCGCTAAGCAATGTCTGGCCTCTGCCGAACTTGCTGCTGGAAACATTTCTTGCAAAAGTGCTACTTGATGCCAAGATGATTCCTAATAAAACAAGTAAATCAATGTTTTAAAAATGTATGCCCAGGGAAATAGATATACAGCGTGTACATGTAAATGTGTGATAATATGTGTATGCATGTGGTGATAGCCTATGGCATAAACTATAGATCGCCCTGAAAGGAATGCATTTGTTTTTTCGATCGTCAGCGAACGTGTCTTTAGCAACGAATTAATCAATTTATGTCCATCTCTGATGTCGCGTCGGTCTATAATATCAGAAGTGGGATTTAATTAACGTGCGGTGCGCGACGTTAAGTACCTTTTCGCGACCATCGGCACGTACTTTTTATAGTTAAACATTTTGTGAAATATTGTAAACTTTCTGTAATTTTGTGTTATTTAATGATGCAGAATGCAACCAGAAAGAATAGGATCGATTAAACAATTTAATGTTAGTAAACTAAATTTTTGGTAACTATTTACTTTAGTGACTTTACCCTAAATCTATTTATTTTTTTTTTAAAGGGCTGTATTTCAGCATTAAAAAGAAATGTAGATTGAGTAATGTGCTGTTACGTTTTCTTTTTATGAGATTGTAAATAACATTTATCTGAACAATTTTTGCTGCTTGGCCTCAGTTTTCGAGATATTTGCCAAATATACTACCACATTCACTCCGCTTCTGTAAAGTATTGCCGATTACCTTGTGTATAATAAGCGAGCGTATATAACTAAAACCAATTGTCAGAATAGCAATATTAAATTAACTAATTAATTTTAATGATTAGATTAAGTTTGATTATATTTTGTATTGTTGCGACACTATGAATATTTAAGTTACGATAAATTAGTATATTATTGAAACTGGTTAAATTAAATTTTTTTGTCCATCCGTTATATACGCTCGCGTGATTGTAGAAACACAAGACAATCAGCGATCCTTTGCAGACGCCGAATAAATGTGGCAGTACCAACGAAAACTGAGGCTAAGCAGCAAAAATTGGTCCATGGGTACTATAGTTTCTTAAAATATTAAGTCTTTTTTTTGTAAAAATAAAATGTAACAGCACATTACTTTTCACCCTCTCTCATATACATTTCTTTTCAATGCTGAAATACAGCCTCTTTTTTAAAAACCATACAAAAATAAATAGATTTAAGGCAAAGTCGCTAAAGTAAGTAGTTACAGAGTTTTTCAAACAATTTTTAACTTACTTCTGAGAAGTATTCTCCGCTAGAATCACTTCCAGCATCACTTGTTTCAGAAAGATGATGAACTCTCATTCTTTGTGTACCCGGAGGTAACAGGGCAGTTAAGCTAATATGACTTAAAGGATCATGGGGCTGGCAATTTTCATTCTCTTTACTTTCTTCTCGTAATTTACTTTCAATGTCCAATAACCATTTGGATACTGCTTCCTTTTCGATTGTTGAAAACTCAGGCAGACAAGCAGAAACCATTTCACACAATCCATCAACATCCAAGTCTTCCTCAAGTGCATTTTCTTCTACCATACTCACCACATAACTGAGAACAATATCATCTATTAAACTGAAAAAAAAAAAAAAAAATACTCTTTATATGAAGAGATAAGATACAATTAAATGTATTCAATTACAAATTTCTTTCTAATCAAAAATAACAAAGCCTATCTGAATTTATTTACCTCAATTGAGCAGTAGGCACTTCCTTTCTCACAAAACTAAATAAGGACTTCTTCACTAACTCTTCCTTTTCATCCATTGTTCGATTCATCCTAGAATAATTATGTCAAAGCATCTGATTTAAAATCCTAGTTTTACAATGATATTTTTTAGACATTGAAATATCACAGCCAATATAAGGTAAATTTAACATAATTACAATAATTTTATTTTTTAAAATGTAAATATATTAAAAATTCGCTTTGGAAAGAAATTAACATTTTCATGAAACTTGTAAAAAATATGTACACTTGAATTGCATTTAATCACATTTAATCGAAACATAGAATATTATCTGAATAATCTGTTCATTGACTGTGAATTCTTTAATACGAGAGAGCCTGAACCGTTCAATTTACGATGCAGTAAATTAACTGCGCCGACTAACTGGAAATTGTCGATGACTTACGACGGAGTGAAAATTTTATTTCAGAAATTTTAGTTTTGAAAGCTACTCGCGGTTCAGTGATTTGCTTTCTAGTTAGGTTAAGAGAAATAAGGCAAAATGGAAAACAGAGTGCCTATAATAAAATCGCGTTAGGTAAAGATTCACATAGGGCTCTCTGTTTTTTTATGAAAGAAAAGGAATTATTTTTTCTAACGCGGTAAGAAGTAAAAAATGTACGAAAAAGGTAGCTAGGAGAAATGGAAAAAGGACGAGGAGAAATTGACAGGAAAGGTGGTAACAGCGCCGGTCAACTTCAGTTCTCGACATTTTCGTTCGTCTGCATGAATGAAAGGATTTCGCGGTATAACATTGACATATACCATCACGAAAACGTAGACAAATACGAACCTGATCTTATACACTTGCTAGAAGTCCCCAGATCGTAGATGAGGCTGAAAACTGATAAAAATTTCGTATACAAACAACGTTCCTCGATTTGACAGTTCGGCAAGGGGAGGGGTAACGATAATGTGGCGCCATCACAGTTCGCGACCTACTTCGGGATCAAATCAGCAATTTTGCATTGAGAATTTTATTAACAAAAACACATTTCTTCTAAAGACGAATGAGTTCTCAGGTGAAATAAAATACTATTCAATATTCGCAGGCAATTAAAAAATTTATATATTTCTTTATATTACAATTGTTCCGCATACATTACGTTACGAAAAAACACGAAAGTTCGATTTATATCGGTGCAACTATATCGATAATGTAACCCTTAAATTTAGAGGGGCGCGAAAATTATTCTGAACTGCACCCGCTGTATTATAAATTCCGTCTGTAGGACAACCTAACCTTATTTCGTTTCACTCAAAGTGAATAACTAATTTCATTTATTTGTCATATAAAATATAAAATTTCTTAAACTCACTGTTAAGTTCACTTAAAACTCATTAATTAACCTTTTATTGTATGAATTGTATTTTGTCTTTTAAAGAAGTAATTGTTTCTTGGTTATTTATACGTCCATAAAATAACCAATTATTCGCAAACTAAACAATGAATAGTGAATCTGTAAGTACATTAAATGTTTCTATAATATAAGTATGTATAATATCATAACCGACTCTAGTACCTACTAGCCATTATGAACGAAAAACTGCAACATTGCAAGAATTTAATTTGCACTTATTAGAAAGATTACGCAACATTTATGCATCTCTGTTGCTATTTCTCGTTCAGTATAGTTTATACTATACTTACCCGGTTCAACGAGAATTGGCAGGAAATATAAAGAAGAAGTTCACGTGATCGACGTTGCAGCCGCAGATAAGTGGCTGCTGAACGTCACTGCTCAGGGCCGCTTTTTAGCGACCCCTGAGGAGGGCCCTCGCATATAGTATACACAACCAGGTAAAATTTTAATCGTCTGTGTATTTGAGCTTATGCCTGTATCAACTCGGTCCCAAGCTTGATTCAGGTACCTTAGATTTGGCACCATAAGATTTAATGTTTTCCAAACCAAATCCAATCGAGATGATTTGGTCGCAAGTTAAAAATTATATTCTAGGAAATAATACAACGTTCAAATTAATGGATGTAAAAACTTTATTTCGTAAGTCATTAGAACATGTTACGGTTGAAAACTAGAGAAAATATGTTGAACATATTGTTCAAGTCATTGAATACAAATTTTAGTAATTAAACAACAATATTGATGCATTCATTTATAATTAATTTAAATTCTAACAGTTCAAACAAAGAATCAGCATAAATTGTATATAGTTTAATTAATATAATTAATATTTTATTAATATATCATATTAATATTGAGGATGAGTACTTTTTGTTTAAAAAATTAGCTTCTTTCCTACTATGTAGGGATTTGAACATTACGTTTCGGCCCTGGTCTGATCACGCGTCGTTCGCGTGCAGCTGTTATATTTTATATTTCCTGCTAAGTCTCGTTGAACCAGGTCGAGTATAGTGTCGACTGTGATAATATACATGTATGTACAGTGAAAACTCGATAAATGTCGCTACTCCGGGTCCGGTCAGCAACACTTACGGAATAGGAGAATCGTCTTTCGAATTTGATTGTAGTTTGCCGACGCTTCGAACGTAGAAAGAGTCAGTAGCTAAAGAAGAAAGAGGGACTGAAACTCGGATTTATCGCCCCAGTTTAAATATCCGCGTCAGTGTGACCACACTACTGCACAGAAGAAAGTTTTTTATTTTTTACTTTTTGTTAATAAAAATTTCACTATCATGTTGGGGGGATTTCTCTGATTAAAATGAGGCTAAACACGATATAAATCGGTCAATATTTGGTAGCATAATATTGAATTAAATATTGTACTTGCGAGTCTTTCTCTCTTTATTTATCCTTCTTGTGCTGTCCTTTTCTATGTTCGGAAATATCAAAGAACGACGCATCGAGGTGCTGGCTACATTTATCGAACGGGAGGTAGCTATTTTCAAACGGAACGGTTTCACCGTTTCGTAAGTGATCAAAAACTGCAACACTTATGAAATAGGGGGTTTCGTTAGCTACCACTGTTCGATAAATGTACCAATCCACTGACCTTGCGAAGATATGAGTACACAATATTTAATTCAATATTATGGTAACAAATATTGGCCGATTTATATCGTGTTTAGTCTCATTTTAATTAGGAAAATCTTCCCCACATGATAGTAAAATTTTTATTAAAAAAAAGTAAAAAATAAAAAACTTTCTTCTTGTACAGTAGTGTGGTCACACTGACAGGGACATTTAAACTAAGATGACGAAGGCAATAAAGATTTTTAAAGAAAGCCGCTACGTCTCCGGTTACACTTCGCCTCACTGGTTCAAGGGGGATCCCCCTAGTGGTGGGGATAAAAATGTATCATTAAATGGAACAGCTCTTGAGGACATTTATCGAGTTTTCACTGTATGTATAAATCCTATAAAATGTTCTCAAAGAACTACACAAAAATTGTTTTTATCGAATTCCTAATGGGACACATTATGCAACAAAGAGTTAATTGTTTCTATAAGTAATTTCAAGGATATTAAAATTAAATAATATGAAGAAACTAATACTTATCAATGTAAAATAATAATATAAAGTGAAATGCATAATAAGATATTTACATTAGACTTTTGCAAATGCCATGAATATGCAATGTAATTATACACACTAAAATTATTTTAATTCTTTCTATTCATATAAAATACATCACTACTAATAATAGGAGTTGATAAATTTAAGGAATTTGAATATTCGTACTTAAGAGAGAAATAATTAAAATTTATGTATAATATAATTATAAAACGTGTCAAAGAGTAGAAAAAATTAGAAGATTTGTACACGAGAAATAAAAAAATAGTAGGACACAGATGTATGAAAGTAAGATAGACTGGAACTAGAAAGTAAGGTTAGGAAGAAAGGCAGTAGTTACGAATGGGTTGTTGGTCTGAGCGCTTTTGCGCTTGCGCACCAAAATATACTACTATTTGAAGCTATTTAGTTTCAATTTTAAGCGCGTTTTAAGACCAAGTAGTGTTGAACGCGTCAAAATGGAGATTAAACATGAAGAAATAATGCGAGTTATGCAAAAAATGAACGCTCAAACCGAACGTTCACTACTACGCATATAAATGCAAGAAAGTACGAATATGTGAGATAAAAGGGGTTGACACATTAACAGAGTCAGAAGACAATAAACCAGAGTTTATATTAACTTATTACCATAATACTAAATTTCCATATTATAACAGACACGCATATAAATATGTATAATTTTAATGTAAAAATATATGTCGTTTTAATATGTATTTTTTACTTTTATTCAAATTTTTATTTGATACAGTTAAAATTCAGAAATTTAAAAAAAAAAAGTGGAATATTTAGTTAACTAATAATTTTATACACACGCATGTTTCAAGTGGAACATTTATAGAAGAAATACAACTGGCCATTTTGCTACACATTTTTATAGCAATTTATTTATAAGACATAATTTTACATGTTATAATGTACACATACTGTCCAATCATGCACATATTATTACAATAAACATGACTTTGTAGTTACCTTCGATTTGATACGTATCATATACGCGTTTACTTTAATAAACTTGTACATACAATTTTAAACAGAACATTCTGTGCAGGTTTCTTCTTGAATGAAATTTACAGAAGATTCCTGAGAACTAAAATTGGAATTACAATAGAAAGTATGACGATTATGAATTCTCAATCTATGTTTCAAAGGATCGATCTTGCAATCTTACTTAACAATAATGAATGTGTATGACTAACGTATAAATGCATTGATTCTTCATTTACTAGTAAAATCAGACACCTACTTAGTTTGTATAACGTATATGTATGTAGAAGGAATATAATGCCAAAATAAACAATACTTTACACAGCACAAATTATGAGAGAAAGATTATTGTAAAGTTCTTTTTACATGATTCACAAATACTAATGTTGTACTGAGTTTCATTAAATCATACTGCAAGAATTGACTGAAATTCAACAGGTACAACTAACATTTCTTTTAAGAAATGAGTTTTTTTAATTGTGTTTGCACCAGGGATTGAAAACTATTGTGAAAGAAAACGGCACCACTCAATATCGATTCTGGTTAACGATTCCACAACTCTTTATTATATCGGTTCTGAAATGGTTCTTTTTCAGGTCTATATAGGTCTGAAAAGGAAACAATTTTATATTTAAAATTTCAATAGTATTGTATATGAACGATAATTTAAAAAATTTTTGTCTACAATAATTGTAGCAATTTAAAGCTTCGTTTTCAATTGGCGTTCTTTTATTCAAAATTACCAATTTTAACATTCGCGTAGCCTTCTTTTAGTCAGAATCTCTCGTCTGCATCTGCATCCATCAATATCCCTTTTTATTATAGGTCCACGTCCTTATCTTCAAATATAAACGGATCTTACTCCTCGGAAATGAGGTTGTCCAAATATACTTATAATATATTATAACATAGATTCCGAGTACCGACATATATGTACATAAAATATTCTGTGTATTTTAATTTTTTTGAAACTGTAAAAGAATTACTAAGAACCGATATTAGGATATATTAATATATGTGTCTTTTGTAATACAGAATTAAAAAATAATTGTTACACAACCGATATACGTCCTGACCTTTATTTGCTATAATTGTTATAAGACCATTACGATTTCACATAACTGTTTTAGTCAGAACCGATATATAACAGTTTAAAACAGTTATTTTCGGAGCCGTTTCAATCCTTGGTCTACACACGTATTAAGGTAAAAGTGTTCTAATTTTGTATACAGTTAAAATGATAAATAACTGTTAAAATTGATTGATCAATGTTTACGTAATTTCTAATCGATCGTTCAAATGTATCTTCAAATTATAAGATTAGATCAATATGAAGATATTAAAAAGAAAAACAATTTATAATTAAAATCGTAGAAGTCATGTACCATATACAAGCTTCCATAAATCACACAATAAACTTGGTTATAGGTACTTTGTAAATATATACAATTAATCATTACATTATAATTTAATAATTTTCATTTGAATCATACTAACGTAAACGTTTGTATGGAATATCAATTTCAAATAGTGAACTTTATGAAGACGCTCGAAAGATATATATTGCCGCTACGATACGCACAATAAATGGTAAAAATAATTTTACTTTTTAATTACGTATGTTCTATTTACAATTCAATAATTATACTTTTCTGAAAACAAATGACAAAGTTCCAATGCATTATATATTTTGTTCTGCGTTTCGGCAGATCAACGAGAAGTAAAGCTGCAACAGCATATTTACTTAAAAGTTCATGATAATAATAGTTCACATAAAACTATCACAAAAATTGTGTATATGTTTTACTTTGAAAGACAACCATTAAAATCGATGCTATGTTAAAAAATACGCATTTCAGAGTGAAAGTATATAATTCTACTTTCATAGCAATACTGTGTTATTTTAAGAATTCGTTTAAAAAATGAAAGCATTGATATCGTTATGTTCGTTCACATTTTTCAATAAACAATCCAATATATATCCAATAAATAAATTTAATTCAAATTCGTTGACCTTACTAAACAGGTTTCTTCTCCTTTGAAGATTGTTCCTTTTCAACTTCACATCTTTCACCATCTTCAATCTCAACTGAACTATAATCTCTAGATTCTTCTTTACTATCTTTATTGGAGGCCGTTTCCGTTTCCTCGACAATGTCTTGTTCCTGCTCTAAAAAGTCTGTAGGTACAAATTCCATTTGATCCTCACTGTCATTTATATCAGGCGGTTCAGGTATTTCGCAGAAATTAATTTCTCTTTCACCATCGGTGGTTTCGTTGCCACCTGGATCATCATCTTCGTGTAAACTCATCAGCTTGTCAAAGTTCGAGGGAGTCGAACTGTCCTCATTATTTTCAGGAAATATCGTAGGACTAAGAGGTATATCTAACGGTTCCATCTTAACTATAGTATTGGGCGATGTTGGTGTGACGGGTCGTTGTAAGCGTATTTTTGTGAAGGGTTTTGGTTCAATGGCTTCTGAATGTTGTCGTTTTTGCCCACGTTTTGGACTAGACGGTGTAGAAACTCCGGAAGTGGAAGCTTTTTCTTTGGTTTCTGAAGCGGTTCGAGGAACTGGTTGAGATACTAATGGTTTCGACTGCGGAATAAGCAGCGGTGGCTTTGGATTCTGTAAAATGGAAAATATGGTCGAAATAAAACGAATATCGATGAAACCTTACGGTTATTTTAGAAATAAAACGTGTTTCTCACCTGTGAAGAAGGATTTGGTCCAGCTAATCCTTTTACCTGCAACGCCTCAGCCGCGTTTAACAGTTGCGGCAATTTATCGTGGGCGACGTTAACTTCACCGCGGTACATAAATTTGACTAGTGCTTCGACTTCCCAGAATTTAAGATCCTTCATTAAAATAATTGGATGTTGACACGGATTTTCACGTAATAAATCTGCAAGATAATCACTACATGACGACAATATCATTTTGTGACATTTTAACGAGCGGCCTTCGCAGGCCAAGGTTACATCAACAAACTGCTCAGAATCTAACAAAGATGGAAAACTGTTTTGCATGTTACTGTGATAACTGTTCCATCTTAAACAGACCTGAAACACACAAGTAGCGTACATTTAATCAGTGATAGAAAAACGAGAGAGATAAATAATATCTTTTATTTCTATTTAGTTGATCGATACCTCTGTAGGTTGTTGATGCACAATGTTATGAGGTAATCCTTGGCTGGTTTGTCGAGGTGGCATTTTAATAGTTGTTGGTGCAACTTGTTTTACTTTTAAGGGTATGGTTTTTAACACAAGAGTCTTTGGTTGTCGTTGCTGTTGTTGCTGTTGCTGGTGCTGTGGTGAAGGTGCTGGTGCAATGTTTCGAATGTGAGGTCTCACTAGGGACTGTGCTGCTATCCTAATAGTTTTGCCAGTTGTATTTGACTGAGATGCTGATTGTGATACTGTAAAACACAATGTTCTTTACCTTTAACATAAACATCAACAACAAAGTATATAAAACGTCTTTAGTACAATCAAAGATGAAGTATTGCTTCTTTCCCTATACACATCATTATAATGATTCTCCAGAAGAAGTTGAAGAGAAGTCCTAATAATACAATACTTGTACAAACTATTTAGCATTTTGAAAGACAAAAATCCCTTCAATTACAGACTCCAACATCATTAAACTTATGTACAAAAGTACTTGTTAACCTTTAAGTACCGGTCGCCGGGTCACTTAGTCAACATCAATTCCAAATTCCATACTTTTGAACGTTTTAGCTTAAAATCAAGTCATGTGTTTACATTCTATGCAAGTCACAGCACTGCCCATTCACCTGACACTTCAGACTTTAAAGCGATCGTACTATGTTTCTATTTTGGAAGACCATTTCTTTCTGTTGGCAATTTATGCCATAAAATCAATTAAGAAAGATGTGTCTTTGTACAATTTCTAATACAAATAAGTCTAGAATCTCTAAATAAGTGTGTGAAGATTGACATTTAATATTCTTTATACATGTTGTAAATGAAATTGAATGTAAAGACATAGAACTACTAGGGATAAAAATAATTTTGAAATCCCAAAAGGATTGAAGGTATTATACTATATACAGGGTGTTCGGCCAACCCTGGGAAAAATTTTAATGGGAGATTCTAGAGGCCAAAATAAGACGAAAATCAAGAATACTAATTTGTTGATGGAGACTTTGTTAAAAAGTTATTAACGTTTAAAGTTCCGCCTGTAGAACGGTAATCTGCAAACAGCTACGTGCGCGTGATAGTGGTTCTCACTCAGCATTAGAGACTCTACTCACTGACGTATCGACAGCCTTACAGTTTTCTGAGGGAGAGACACTATCGCGCGTACGCAGCTGTTCTCAAGTTACCGTTCTACAGACGGAACTTTAAACTTTGATAACTTTTTAACAAAGCCTCAATCAACAAATTGCTATTCTTGATTTTCATCTTATTTTGGCCTCTAGAATCTCTCATTAAAATTTTTCCCAGGATTGGCCGAACACCCTGTATATGTATTGGAAATTACAAGAAATGAAACACAAGATAAACAAAAAAAAAACATTGAAATAAATATTGTTCATTTGCACTTTACAACTACACTAAATCTTTACTATTACGTTTTTGGATAAAAATAACTTTTGGAATAAATGTAATGTAAAAATTCGACGAAAAACTTGCTTCTAGAATGTGTTCAGAAAAAATGTTAGTACACGTGATATTGACCCGGCGTCCGCCTTTTAAGCGAGTATTATAGTTCGTTATCCGCAAATTAACAACTTTAAACTATTGTGATATTACGTAATGTCATTTCCAGCCAATTAATATCATTAAAATCCAATCATTCTCTAAAATCAACTATAGTATGTTCCGTGAGACGATAAAGTGGATTCAAACAAAACCACGTGACTGCGACAGGGCCGTGTTGGCAAGAAGCTATTTCTTGACTAATACAAATGCAATAGAATTTATATTTTACTTCTTCGTACATAAATAGCAACGAATCATTATACAATTCTATATGCGGTATGTCGAGAGAAAATAAATGAAAGTGTCAAATAAAGTAACAAAAATAAAAATACATTTAAAAACACAGACACATGCGAAAATAAGAATACAAACAATTCTTAAAAAAAGAAACTAATTGTTGATCAGAAAACTGTTTTTGTTTATATTACTAATAATATTAGGTTCAAAGTTATCAATAATACGGATCCAATTCCCAAAGCTGAATCTTTTCTTCTACATACCGGATATAATTACTTCATCTTTTTGTAATTATTGAATTTACTCTAACAAAGAACTCTTTATGTATAACTCCGACTAATTAACGAATTTATGCGCAATAATAGTGCTTGAAATAATAAAGTCAATTATATGAAGCTTTCGAGGTATACAAATAATAGTTTTCGAAATATTCAATGTTAAAGTGTATACGTCGGTGCGAGTTTGGCTTCTACAGTATCGTCCTTCCACGAGAAGAAAGCACAGCGTGTTTACATCCCCACTCCTGCTGCAGTCCGTTAATTCACAGGTATTGGTCGAAAACGGTGACGATGATCGGTAACAGCCAATCAGCGGACTGCAGCAAGAGCGGGGATGTAAACACGCTGTGCCTTCTTCTCGTGGAGGGACGATATAATTCAATTTTATAAGTAAAAAGCATTTGCTCAAAATCATATATCATCGACTTTAGTATTTCAAGAATTATTACTGTGAACCTCGTTAAAAAGTGAAACTTAAACATACAAATTTCTCCAGTTACGAATACAAAGAGGGAGTGAGCTACATAGTGTTGAGTTTTCATCATTGATCAAAACAAAACCTGTTATTGGAATTTCAATCGTTTCAAGCGATTTCTTTAGTCCTTGACAAATATTAATCATCAATATTTTTATATTTTAATTTCTATTTATTATTTCTGAAAATTGGATTTTTAAATCTTCAAACTCTCTAATTTTGTTCGTGAGTTTTTGTCAGCCCCTTCCCCCTCTTTGAGTTCCAGATCTGCTACTGGATTTCTCCTTACAAAAATACATCTTTCGCGATGTAACTTTTAATTTGCGCCCAGATAAAATTAATTAGGTTTCAGTTTTCAATGGTATGGCAGTAGTTGAAGTGTATAGTTTTATTATGACGTCTTCAATTGCGTCGACCCTACGATGCATCCTTGATTAAAAGAGCGTCGAGTTGATGTAACGGACCAACGAGATTTTGGTCACGTGACATGCTTTGTTTACATGCGACTTCATCGTCTCATGGAACGTGTTACATCATTACCGTGATAACGACTGCCAATGAGTCTGCCACCATGATGTACCCTAAGATGTCGATGAAGATTCGTCGTACCGCACTGTCGAGGGTTCGCGCCACCTCTGACTACGACCGCTCCACAGATACGGCACTGCGCTCGCAGAGGATCGTTCGCGCACAAGTCGAAGTGTGCCCAAACCGCGCTAGGGTTGGTCATAGCTCGAAGGCTACGTGCATGCGAACGAACACGATGCGTGGCTCCCGCGTGACGATTGGTCGACGACGGCGAGGGCATCTCGGCCGCCTCGAAGTAACAGTCTTCCTCGTCTTCTGGTTCCTGCTTCATCACGACGTCCTCGAGCCTGATACCCTCCACGATATCCTCGGTGGAAGACGTGGCCGCGTCTCGATTTCGGTCGTGTTTCTCCTTCAGGAAACGGCGGGCAGTCAACTTCAAGGTGTCCTTGCAGGCCACCAGTACAAGCCGACCCGCCGTCGCGGCCGTTGTGCTTGATTCTGTCGCGTCGCTTTAAAGTCCGATCCTACGCCGATCGGTGCTTCCGTTTCTTCTGCGGACTGTACTCTCTGCGGGACGAAAACGCGACATTCTCAGATACCTAAAAAGCCACCGCCATCCCATGCGGTCTCGAAAAGTCGATTATTTCACGGTGACTTGCGACTGCGTAGGCGTCTCGTAACTAATTGCGCCATTTCTTTTTTACCAATAAAAGAAATATTGACGAAAGCACGAAGTATCGAGTAACTAATACGAAATACGAAGGACAGAGAAAGAGGAGGATATATCGCTCAGTTAAATTAGGTCTCGGAATGTAAATTTGTGCCGGTAATTTAATTACGCTCCGATCGTAGATACAGGGTGTTCGGCCACCCCAGGGAAAAATTGTAATGGCAGATTCTAGAGGCCAAAATAGGTCGAAAATCAAGAATACCAATTTGTTGATGGAGGCTATGTTAAAAAGTTATTAACGTTTAAAGTTCCGTCCGTATTGAATTTTCTTCTCGAAAGTCAGTAGGATTTCGGAAATATGTGTATTCATAAAAAATGATTGCAATTAACCCCTACAATCGAAAATAATTTTTCCAGTGATTTGAAAATTTTCAATTTCGGCAAAAAATTTAGGCAGCTACCAAATCAATAAATTTTTTAATTCCACAAATAATACCAATAAATTGAATAAATTTATATATTTATACACCCCTTGTCGATTTTACTTAAAAATTCGTTTCTGATTTTTAGTAATTTTGTTTGACGCCCTACAGAAAAGTAGTTTAATACTTTTTTATAGGTACCAATGAGCTCTACTTCAGAAAAAAGTTTCATTGAAATATATTCACTTTTGTAGGAGTTATGGCTGTTTGAAAATTGGACCATTTTTATGGTGTTTTTCTCATTTTGTGGAGTCAAGGAATAACTTTTCCAACATTTTTAGAATTTCTACATATTCTTCATTAAAATACGCGTTGATTGCTTTCTGAAACATTAAAATCCTCCAATCCGTTCAGGAGTTATAATGTTATAAACATACGCAAAAAATTTTCGGAAACCATTTTTGGCCTCACACTAGATTTTCGGTAAGGAATTTTTTTCTCGAAAGTACGTAGGATATCGAGGGTATGTGTATTGACAAAAAATGATTGCAATTGACCCCCACAACCAAAAATAATTTTTTTAGAACTATTTGAAATTTTTTAATTTTGTCGAAAAATTTCATACCTTCTCGATTTTTTTCTAAAATGTGGGTACGATTTCCAGGGTATGTCTATTCACCAAAAATGATTATAATAGACACCCGCAACCAAAAATAATTTTTTCAGAATGATTTGAAATTTTTTAATTTAATTTTTCAATAACTTTTTAACGAAGCCTCAGTCAAGAAATTGATATTCTTGATTTTCGTCTTATTTTGGCCTCTAGAATCTCCCATTAAAATTTTTCCCTAGGGGTAGCCGAACACCCTGTATAGTGCACATATCGGGAGATATGCCGTATTGCCAGCCCTCGAAAACTGTGCCACACAATTTAACCCAATTTAGAGTACACCGAATTGAATGAAAAATCATACTCGACGGTTATTGTTAAATGAATCGATGATCTAAACCAGTGTTTCTCAAACTGTGGTCCGTAAACCCCAGGGGTCCGTGAATTCTCGAAAGAAAAACAGGACATTATTTATGAGATAAAAAAGTATTTCTCATGATAGGTTATTCTTATTAAAAACGCTATTTAAAAAGTTTTCTAATTCCAATGATAAAAATATAAAAAACGAAACGAAAAACTAAACTTGAACTTAAGAGACTGAAATTACTGAAATTTCTTGTTCATTATCGATCAGTTTATATTCTGTTTTAGTTAGCACGTTGACTGTCAAGAAGTTTTCTATGTCCAAAGATATCCTTGACATTTATTTAAATTATAATGTGAAATATAGAAATATTTCATAATTCAATGGTGCACCTGTTATTTTACAGTATTCCTGCTTAAAGTAACATTATTTAGAATTTTACAAGTATTGGGATTCTTCCATCATAAACAATATTGCAACTCGTAATTCCAAAATGACCAGCATTGAAGCGAACGTGTTAAAAGTAATATGAAATAAGAAAATATGTTGGATTTTTCAATTACAATGAAACAGTTTTATCTGAAAGCCAAATAATAAGGCTTTTTTACTACTATTTAATAAAAAGAATTTATTTACTATTAAATAATATTACACAATCTCAAGAAGACACATACAAATATTATGAAAAATCTATGAAAAATTTACATTGAATTAAATTTTGTAAAATAAATATATTTTGTTTAAAAGCAATTTTTAAATATATTTAAAAAATAGTAATTTAGTTCTATTGTAAATGTGAAGCTTAATAAATACAGGCTGCAGTTTATGAAAATGCGTGAAGATTTTAAAAAATAGAATGTTTTTATTACTCAATTATTGAATTCTACTTAATACATTTTTCAAAGGTTAGACGATCTAACGCAATAATAGATTTTGAAAATTTTGAAATACTTTCCACGAAACAATATAGCATGAACTTGTGTAGTGTCACGTAAATATGATTATACGCAACAGTAAGATGCAAATATATTGCATGGTTCTAAATATACATAAAAGGTATAATGCACAAATCCTAATTCAATTCTCGTTACTATTGGTCTGTTAATCATTCATGGTAGGAATGATCGGTTTTCGGCATGACGGTTTTAAAAGTTCTCCTTTATAAAAAGCTGTAACGATAATCGTCTGGCGAGTAGATAAAATAAATACGTAGGCACGTTCGCGACTATCTTTTTTCCTCTCTCTGCGTCTTCCTATTACTCTATCTTCTTTTAGCACACTGTGCCATCATCCAGCAGACGACGCACGGATAATACGTATTAACGATTTATCCGATGAGAACGCACGATAGTCGTTCACATATATTACACCTAGGTAGATCGATATTCCAACAAGAAGTTGAAGCCATGAGAAATTAGCAATGATAGCGGGAAATAAAATTTCTCTAAATCTTTTAGTGAAATCGGAAATGGTCCAAGACCTCTACGGAAAATTCTACACCTTCTGCAAAGTTTCTCTTTCTTCTCTCCTCCCTCCTCTTCGCTGTTCCTAAATCTCCCCTCTCTTTTCTCCGCCTATAGACAATGTTTTCCGTCACACTCTCTCTTTCTCCTTCTTGCGCGCACGCAGACACCGCACACGCATACATACACTCTCCGTTCTTACTCAGTCACTCCCTCTCCTTCATGCCTCCCCGAAGATCTCGCTCGAGCGACCGGCTATAAAATGGCAACCGTTGCGACCGAGCACGATATCGAGTGGCACACACGCCACTGCTACGTTGTTCGTTCTACTGTACCTCTGGTTTTTTTCGTTCCGTCTCTGTTCCTCTGTTTGTTGTCTCTCACGGTGTCACTTAACTCAATCCAGTCGTCCGATTCGCGGCTACGAACCGGTTCGTTTTCGTACAGTGCCTTGACAGAAAGCCGTTGTACCGACAACCACGCGCGACAATTTATCGACCCTTGACGCAACGATTGCTACAGTGATATTCGAAATTCACGTACGAGCTTGTCACCGATTTCTTCCGCTGTTCGGCTCTCTCGATGATAGCCAACACGAAACCAGCACTGACTTCCTATCGCGGCGTTTCTAGTGTGCGAACGTTCCACGATCGCCGGTAACAGATTCGTCGTTCGTGTATCAAACGACGACTCGGAATCGTCTAAATTTCGTTCTTTCCTTTTTCGTGGTGTGTCTTCAACGTACAAATAATACTCGTCGCGAGCGGGAGATCGTCGAACGCGAGAATACTCGTGAAGACCCGTTTTATCTTTGCTCGTCAAGAGAATCGTCGTTGAGACCGGAGAGCTTTTTTTCACGATACGTTTCAACGGTCCTTGTTACGAGAGCGGAACGATTTTCCCCGAAGCCGAACCCGGGAGTGACTAAAATCGAAATCGGTGGACGAACAGGGGCGCGTCAGGACGCGCATGTGCGACGGCGCCGCCGGTCGTCAACGCATATTATCCGTGCCGTGTTTCGTGTTGCTATCGCGTGCGCGTTCCCGGGTCTCTCTTCACTAAGGAATTACTAACCGACCTGTTCACGTTCGACTCGCTCGGGCTCGCCGCGTGAATTCTCATCGATCGGGAACTACTTCCACAGCTCCCTTTTTTTCGCGCGCATCTTTAAGATGCCCGCCATATTGGAAGTGGGACAAGAACGCAATTGAAATGTGTCGCACGTAATCACTTTGCATCTTCTCGTTTGAATGCAATAATTTATTGACGTTTATCGCATTCAAGTTTCCCGGGCTGGTGGTGGATCGTGATACGTTTCGATCGTCGGAATCGCGTGCGATTAATGCGCGCGATGTTTATCTTTTAGTATTAAACGTTAAGACAGCGGCGTATAAATTTTACGTCTTCAAAAATAATCATGCATCGAGGAAATTAAGAAATATTTTTAAGTACAGTGAACTTGCAATCTAACGAACGAAACTCTATGATTCTATGTTTTATTCTTAAGTTACAAAGTTGTTTGGTTCTTCTCCGTACATTTCTTAAAATGTAATTGAAGACTGTGTCACATCAATCTATATTGGAGAGCTAGAAAGAATGCCCCTGAATGGAATTCAGAATTAGCGAGCAGAATTTTTTAAAAAGGTTAGTTTGTTATCGATCAGGATTTTTATTATCGTCGAAACACAATTTCTGAGTAAAAAACGAATTTATAAGGTTGAAAGTAATAATTGAAACTGCTGTATGAGGTAATTATAGTAAAACAAAATTATATATCTTTAAGAAATACATAAAAGTAGATTACTTGCACATTTTGTTCTTTGTTAATAAGAACAAAAACTATATATTTATTGTACTGGTAAGATATTGACAGTTGAGAAAGTGCTATGTTGAGATCATAAAGTCTTCAAAAAGTCATCCAATTTTAAAGTAACGCTGAAAAGAACCAAACAGTTCTCTCTGTTAAATCAGAGTCCATTAATTTGAACCATTACTGTATTTATAATATTTCTTGATTTTGAATGGTAATTTAATAAATTAACAAGATACAATTAAGAATTTACTTAAAGTGAATTGTTCAATTTTACAGGTTCCTTTATTCCATTCTAAATATTTATATAAATCATAACCTAAAACTCGAATAAATTAAACAGTTTTACTTGCATTGAATATGATGCGAATGTGTTATTTTGTGTTATTTTATGTTTGTGTGCCATTTGTAGTATTGATTTCTTAATATTTTTTATGTACCTAAAGATGAGGTCATAGCAATTTTTCCTTTGGAGAATCATTTAATAGGGTTTATATACACTTTTTGTGTGTTAATATGTAATCATTTATTAGAAAAATTATATATAAAAAAACAAAAACTAAAACATTTCTAGAAAGCAAGACATTATATTTTTAAGATATAAGAGTTATTAAAATTGTGGGGCAATTAGAACACTTACCTTTTCTGGTCGATGTTCTGGTTTTTGGTTGCATCTCTTGTTTCAATAAAATATCATTTTTTCTGAGAAGTACCCGCTGTGGTACGTTAGGATTTCTGTTTCCTTCTACATCTGCAGAGTAATTTCAATTAAAAACTAAAAAATAAATTTTGTTAACTTTAAATAGAAGTTGGCGTACTTACTTGTTAACACGCAAGGTTTACCAAGAGCTAAGTATCGTTTCCTGGCAACCTGGGCAGCTGCAAAATCAGGTTTATGGTTATGGTCCATAAGTACTCTCGGTTTTGTGCAGGTTGGCGTTGTAGTAAGGCTACCTCTGCAATGCATCGTTCTGCCAACGCATCTCCATCGAATGTTATATGGGTGTTTCTTGTGCAATGTATACATATATCCATGATGAATCAATTTTGGGCCCCCCTTATTTGAGAGCACAACCTCCAATATAGATTAATACAAATTACCATCGTCTTATTAGTTAAACCTTTATCCATGATTTATATTGCTCAAAATAATTAGACTTGTTAAATTTTATAACTTACTCGTATTACATATATTATACATTCAGTAAAACTCCTACTGTATTAAATGTTGTGTACTTTTAAAATTCTTATAATTCTATTTGCTTTTAAGTCACAACATCTGATTATTTTGATCAGTATAAAATCATTAATGGAAGTTCTAAATATTTTGGTCAATTAGGTATTGGTAAATAAAATAACGAGTGACTACAAATTAGGCAGTATGCATAGTTTTTTGTTTCGTACCTCCGCTACGTTTGAATCATCATCACCGGGATCTATAGCAGACGACGTGGATGCTCCTTGGTTTATTATCTTATTTTCATTAGACGCACTTTTCGCACGGCGTGACATCTTGTTATTCGTTATTTTTATTTATTTTTTATTTTTATTGTAAATAATAAATTTTATTAATGCATTCTTTATCGCTTATACCTGCAAAGATTATCGATATCAAAAATATGTATATACTTCGAAAAACAGTAACTATTGTTGGAATCTGAACAAAATGATTCTAGAAAGAATGCGATCCTATTGGTCGAAATTTTAACCCCTTTTTCATAACGTACAGACGACTAATACAGACCTATAAAAAGTATTATTTATTGGGCGCTGTTAAATTACTCACTTCCAGACACATGGTACTAAACTAAGTATATACATATGGTGCAACCATAAACGAAACGAGAAGCGTGTTTCCTTTATCACATGATACTCCATAGGACCATTCTTGTCAAATTAAGACAGTATATTTACGTTAGTTATCAAATTTCTGTAAGTTCATCTGTAATATTAACCCTCGATAATCCAAATTATTAATAATGGGTATAATTGGAAAGGTATATTTTAATAAACATAGTTTTCCAACTGTAATTTATTATGGTGTGAGAAATTGTATCTGATAGTTATTAGCAAATTGTTTGTTGATCACGCTATTGCTTTAATAACACACGTTGACAGAAGAATGCAGTCAGATTTAAAAAATATGTATTTATAGGTATCTAGCTTTAGAATTACACAGGATTAAAAAATAAAAGGAAAAAAAACTTTAAATCGTTTGTGCCGAAGAAAGCAATTTGGAATCGTTATCCTCTTGAAATAAACATCCCTTCAAACATTTAATTTTTCCATATTTTTTACAAAATTTTCATTAAATAAATTTACATACATATCAAGGAGCACCCGTGCAATTCCAAACCATTGCGTATAGGCCGTATAATAAACCATTCCTGTACCCTTCACTATTCTTTGTTCAGTGTTGGAATCGATCACATTGTCACATCTATTTTCTATTGTAAATGTAATTTCCGATAAATTTAAACTTAAAATTTTCGTCGTAAATCAATAATTTACAAGCGCGACTACACTGGGCAACACTTGATTGATTTTTATACATTTGACTTTTGACTGATTGACTTTTTTTCACTATTTCCACAATCTTACTGCATGACTTATTAACATTATGTAAAATGTTATCATTTTCCTCGGTTATCATATTTTTTTTTGAGACATTGTTTTTTTTCGACCGTTCGTTTGCTTAGTTGATTGTTTAACTGGAAGAATAATTTTAAATATGACTATCGAGAGTTCCCCTATATCTATCCAAAAATCAAAATCAGCCGTTCCTCGAAAAAACGTCACGATACGTTATAGTTTGTACTGTCTGTCAATACATTTGACTGTCTAGAAAATATTTGGAAAGTATATTCTCGTTGTTATTTATTTTACTGCCTTTTTTTATATACAGGGTGTTCAGCCATCCTTGGGAAAATTTTAATGGGACATTTTAGAGGCCAAAATAAGACGAAAATCAAGAATACTAATTTGTTGATTGAGGCTTCGTTAAAAAGTTATTAATGTTTAAAGTTCCGGCTGTAGAACGGCAATCTACGAACACAGATGAATTTTTTTCTCGAAAGTGCGTAGGATGCCGGGGATATGTTTAAATACCAAAATGATTGTAATTGACTCCCGTAACCGAAAATAATTTTTCCAGGACGATTTGAAAATTTTTAATTTTGTCGAAAAATTACCTATCGATTTCACCTACTCGAATTTTTTTCTCGAAAGTGGGTAGGATTTTAGAGGTGTGTCTATTTACCAAAAATGATTGAAATTAACCCCTACAATCGAAAATAATTTTTCCAGAGTGATTTGAAAGTTTTCAATTTCTCCAAAAAATTTAGGCACCTACCTTGTCGATTTTACTTAAAAATTCGTTTCTGATTTGTAGTAATTTTGTTCGACGCCCTACAGAAAAGTAGTTTAATACTTTTTTATATGTACCAATGAGCTCCACTTCAGAAAAAAGTTTCATTGAAATATATTCACTATTGTAGGAGTTATGGCTGTTTGAAAATTGGACCATTTTTATGGAGTTTTTCTCATTTTGTGGGGTCAAGGAATAACTTTTTCAAAAATTTTAGAATTTCTACATATTCTTCATTAAAATACGCGTTGATTGTTTTTTGAAACATTAACATCGTCCAGTCCGTTCAGGAGTTATGATGTTTCAAAGATTCACATGAAATTTTTGGGGACCATTTTTGGCCTCACATTAGATTTTCGGTAAGGAATTTTTTTCTCGAAAGTGCGTAGGATATCGAGGATTTGTGTATTGACAAAAAATGATTGTAATTGACCCCTGCAACCAAAAATAATTTTTTTAGAACTATTTGATATTTTTTAATTTCACCGAAAAATTTCAGAACCGGCTCGAATTTTTTTCTCGAAAGTGCATAGGATTTTGGGGGTAAGTTTATTCACCAAAAATGATTGTAATTGATCGCTGCAACTGAAAATAATTTTTCCAGAATGATTAGAAATGTTTTAATAACTTTTTAACGAAGCCTCAATCGATAAATTGATATTCCTGATTTTCGTCTTATTTTGGCCTCCAGAATCTCCCATTAAAATTTTTCCCAAAGATGGCCGAACACCTCGTATAGTAGAGTAGAATCTTTTTCTATGGCAAAAATTACTTCAATTTGTAATATTCATTAGCATAGCTCATTATTTTGTACATATTACGTTCACTGTAATATGTAGAATAAAAGTCCCGATTACTAATATCCAAACGATCAACTATGACTTTATTGCATTGGTTTTATTATTTATTTATCGAAAAAGCGTATGTCTCAATCGGTTACTATACAATGTTTTTATTGCAAGCAAAGAAATAATAACTCTCTCAAAATTATTATTTTCCTTTATAAATTCACTAATTAGGAAAGAATAATGAAGTATGACTTTATTGCATTGATTTTATTATATATTTATCGAAAAAGCGTGTGTCTCCATCGGTTACTATACAATGTTTCTATTGCAAGAAAAAAAATAATAACTCTCTCAAAATTACTATTTTCCTTTATAAATTAGCTAATTAAAAAAGAACAATGTGGGAGTTATTATTGTCATTTCTGATCCAATTATTAGCATCCTAATTATTGCTACCTGATTTAATACTATTAAGATAAAAGACCCAATTACTGTCCTTTGACAAAAGTCGACTGTTAGACAATCTTAAACAAATTTTATAGAAATTACCAAAATTATTTCCGGTCATATTTATAACTCAACTATTACAGTAACAACCTTCTCTTTAGTACCTTGACTTTCTTTTTCGTCGTTTTCGTATCATTTTATACAAAATAAGTGACAAAGAATATTAAATGCTGCTTCTTTTTATTACGTTTATTGCACTTGCAATACTGTGTTAAATATTGTTATGCATAACATTTTAGGATTTATATGGTATTTTAAGTACTATAATTTAGAGTGACAGTAATAGTCTTTTGCGCCATAGGTAAAATTTAACGTAAATCATATTTTGTGGTATAAATTTTCGTTACCAAAGATTCTAGGAACAGACTGAAATTATGTGTAGAAATTTTAATTGGTCGAGATACTATCGTTCATCCAAATAAGACGGATTCTTTGATTAAAGTTACACGCAATTTACAGATACTGAGCGATATACCGACGCCACGATTTTCGCAATTGCATCTGTCTGCTCGGCTTCTATTACTGTGAAATCGCTTAAACGTCTCCGTACCTATGCGCGGTCCAAAAATAGCACGCTACGGAGAGATGAACAGCGACCTATAGAACCAAAGAAATCGTGCGTGCTAGAAATTTCAGCACGCTTGGTATCCCGTTGCGGAAGAATTTTTTGTTTTATTTTTTTGCCGTCGTTTACGCGAAACATAAACGAAGATCTATTAAAAAAAAAAAACAACGCGTGATCCATCCAACAGAATATTGATTTAGGAAAACGAATTTAATTCGAAGTCCATGAGTATAGCAACCAACCAGGAAACTAGTATATTTTCACCACAAATATTCAAAGATTTGTATCCTTAATATTCATATTCTCCAAAAGAAAATCTTCAATATATAATTTTTAAATCGTGTTGCGCTTATTGCAAATGTACAATGCCATGTCTATTCTTTTCTTTCGTGTAACTTTTATTATTATTATTTTGTCTATTATTCTGTAATATGGAAAGATAATAAGCAAACGCCTATTTTGATTATTCAGTATTCATGGAGATGTGCAAGACTGCGCCAATATCAGGCTATACATATACAGGGTGTTCAGCCAACCCTGGGAAAAATTTTAATGAGAGATTCTAGAGGCGAAAATAAGACGAAAATCAAGAATTCCAATTTGTTGATAGAGGCTTCGTTAAAAAGTTATTAATGTTTAAAATTCCGACCATATTGAATTTTTTTCTCAGAAATGCGTAGGATTTCAGAGGTATGTGTATTCGCCAAAAGTGATTGTAATTGATCCCTGCAACCGAAAATAATTTATTTTAAATTATTTGAAACTTTTTAATAACTTTTTAACAAAGCCTCAATCGAGAAATTGGTATTCTTGATTTTCGTCTTGTTTTGGCATGTAGAATCTCCCATTAAAATTTTTCCTGAGGGTAGTGAACACCCTGTATATGTAACTGGTCGCAGGATCAAGTTTTCATTAACATGTTAAGAACAATAGTTTGGTAGACAGAAAGAAATAGATGAAAATAACTTTAATGGATATACGGGGTGTCTCACCCGATTTTGACATCTTGATTTTCTCGCTATTGTTACTCGTAACAAAAAATGTTTCAGCGGAGGCTTGAATGGTATCGAGTGGAGCATATTCTGATGTTACTAGTTTTTTCGTGAGTGGACGCGTAAAGGTCATATAAAGGTCAACTTTGTTTTTTTAAATGGAATGAGGTATTTTTTAATACATCAATCGATTCAGCTGGACAATCGTTATAAAAAAGTACTAACTATGTAACGCCGAAAAATTAGTAGTTCAGGGGATATTTCAATTTAAATAATTCTAAAACACCATTACTGTTGTACTAGTCTAACGTTGGTAAACAGAGCCAACGTCTTATTGTTAGTGCGGTAGTAATGATGCCTTAAGAATTTAAATAATTTAAATTGAAATATCTCTTGAACTACTAATTTTTCGACGTTACATAGTTAGTACTTTTTTATAACGATTGTCCAGCTGAATCGATTGATGTATTATAAAATACCTCATTCTATTTAAAAAAACAAAGTTGACCTTTATATGACCTTTACGCGTCCACTCACGATAAAACTAATAACATCAGAATATGCTCCACTCGATACCATTCAAGCCTCCGTTGAAACATTTTTTGTTACGAGTAACAATAGCGAGAAAATCAAGATGTCAAAATCGGGTGAGACACCCTGTATATGAAAACTATCGTTATAATGTATCTATGTGGATAAAAATATCGATTTCGTTGTGTTCATCGTCTTATTACGAACTTACGGAACTTTACTTTTTTATTATAACATTAGTAGACAGAATGTGACCACTTCTAAAGGGAAATACCTGCTTCTGCTAGTAGTACATATCCAATATGTATATAAAAATCTAGATCGATTAAAATTTCTTTTCTATTTAACATGGTTATAAACTACATAATTATTAGAAAAGATTGAAAGAACAGATCCAAAACAATATAATATATTCATCGAACCGAAACTACCAATTCTTTCCTTTGATTCTCTTTCCAGTTTCGTTTCACAAACTTCTATACATATATGTGTCATTATTTATCCGAGCATCTAACGAAACTGAATGCAGAGAATAGAAAATAATACTCACGTGTTACTGACACGTAATTTTATCAGCAAAATCTGCAGGAACTACCAGTATAGTCATATGTATGAAGAAAGTATAACGTAAAAAGAAAAGAAAGCAAGGAAAATGATCTCGAACGTTGATCGGGAGAACGTAACCACGGATGATGATTCTCGATCTTTATCGAGATGTCTCGATATCCAGTGGCAGTCGTAGGAGCCACGGACAGGTTATAGCCGTTTTCGTCGGAACTGCTGAATGGTCAACAAAAATGGCGAAACGTTGACGATCGGATCTTGCGCAATAAACACTGCGCGCCCGAAGAGAGGAATATGGCACCGGACGAGTGCAATCAATGAATGGTACTATGGCATCGTGTTATGGAATGATTCACGCGGTGTCACTGATCGGTTTTCTCACTTTGACCATTTAAGCCGAAATGGCGTGCGATACAACCTCTCTATGGATTCCCGCGCACTCGCGATGTTTTTCTCGATTTAACGGCGTATTGTTTTAGACGCGTACAAATGGCAAGAACGCGTATCTATGGAAACTAAACTGACAATGACGACGCATTCGACGCTTTCGCTAAATTGAACATATACATATAACTGTTCTTTCAATTTCACAATAAAATTTGAAGCTTGTGTATTTTTGATCCTTATAGTCGTTCGTCCTTGAAATATGTACATCTGATAAGAACTCCAATTTTAATGAAATTAGAGATTCATATTGTTATAAAAAGAAACTAATAATTGTTTACACGACACGACGATCTTTATACATGTATATATGTGTAATAATGTTTACAGTTCGTTAAAGTATATTCTTCTTATAATATTCTCTATATTTTAAATTTGCAAAAATTCTCAGAGGCTTCCATAGTCATATTTTATTCATATTATATGCATATACTAAATGTTTGCACGTATTCTTGTAAATGTAATTTTGGAATTATCTCAAACAAAAACGAAAATGTATGCTCTTCGCCTTTCTCCGTCACGAATTACCTCTTTATATTCTGTGACGTTATTTTTTTCGCTCCACGCTGTCTGAGATCAGTGCTTTGTTACATTCCACTTCGTACGGTCTTATTTTATTTTCTACTGCTCTGTCGCACCATCTATCTGCTACTTTAGAAACTTATTCTATTGTACTTACTTGCTCTTTTACCTTCGTGTCGTATAATTGTTTAATCACAGATGAGGTACACAAGCAGACACTGCATCTAATGTAATTTTTCGGCCATTACTATTCTCATGTCAGTAGCAACGTTATCAACAGGTTATTGAAATCGTATATCTTTTTACTTACCGCCTTGATATTGTTTTATTTTCTTTTGCGTTGCTCTACCCTATTATTTTGTACTATTCAATTTATTTTAATAAATACTAATATAAAAAATGTTTCTATACGACACAATTTATAATTAGAAAATAAAATTATTTACAATTTAAGCTGTTATACAATAATAAAAAAAGCACAGGAAATAAAATTATCAAATAATACTTAGTTGAATTTTTAATGCAATTCTTAATAAAATTGTAATAATAAGCTGTGTCAAATTTATTTGATCAAAACGTATATGGTTATAAAAAAAGAAACACTTGGCTGTAATGTGGACAGAATATCAGTGTAAGTCACGATATCATAAAAGATACTATACAGGGTGTTCGGCTAACCCTGGGAAAAATTTTAATAGGAGATTCTAGAAGCCAAAATAAGGCGAAAATCAAGAATATCAATTTCTTGATCAAGGCTTCGTTAAAAAGTTATTAAAAAATTAAACTAAAAAATTTCTAATCATTTTGAAAAAATTATTTTTGGCTGCAGTGGTCAATTACAATAATTTTTCGTGAGTAGGCGTACCCCCGAAATCCCACGCACTCTCGAGAAAAAAATTCGAATTGGTGAGAAATTTTTCGACAAAGTTGAGAAATTTCAAATCGTTTAAAAAAAATTATTTTTGTTTGCGGGGATCAATTACAATCATTTTTGGTGAATACACATACCCCAGAAATCCTACGCAGAAATTTCATGCGGATGTTTAAAAAATCATAACTTCTAGACAGATTGAAGGATTTTAATGATTAAAAATGCAAACACTGCGTATTAATGGAGCTCTAGAGGCCCAGAAAAATGGGCCAAAAAAATACATTGGATGTAAGGTCTACTCGTATACATCGTCTGCGGTGAGAACTACTATCGCGCGCACACAGCTGTTCGTAAATTTCCGTTCCACGGGCGAAACTTTAAACGTTAATAACTTTTTAACGAAGCTTCCATCGACAAATTGGTATTCTTGACTTTCGTCTTATTTTTGTTCCTAGAATCTTCCATTAAAATTTTTCCCGGGGGTAGCCGGACACCCTGTATAAGATCGGTAAATTCATTTTTATTACTTTTATTAATTGATCGATCCAAAGGGCATGTTAAAAGATCCGTTTGCGATGGTTCATTGTTTTTAATGTAATTTATAAGTAGTACAGTATAATGTTAATTAAATTGATTATATTAAATATTGTTTCCTTGTATGCATTGTGTAACCGAATAACGATACAGACGAGACTAGCAGGTGGTGACCTTCGGTAGCGCTACCCCTTTTCTCTTTTTTATCCCTAGCGCTAAGTAATAATTATTATTTATCGTTTCTTTACGCCATTAATCGATTCTCTTCCTCGGACGTGGTTTTTCATTGTGTATTGGCAGCGTTTAATGGATCGCAAAATAATATTCAAAGGAGGTCTATTCAAACACAGAACAGACGATCTAATTGAGTTATGGGAAATATGTTTCAGTTGTAAACAATCATAGTCGGTTAAAGAATGGCTCACGACTTAATCATCTTAAAGGCACAGGCAACGTGTGGCGTAAAAACGTATGATTATGCAGACCAGCATTTGGGTGATGTTATAAAGTGAAGGCTTTTATTATTTGCATTTTCCATTTTCCATTTACCATTTTAATGGTACAATAGACAAGTACGTAACGCAATTTAAGATAGTTCCTGGATCGATTGTTTCAGACAACTTTAATGAACACTTCTTTACTTCCCTACAATGGTACTAACAATATTGTAAGACATTTTAAAACAGAGTTTGAATATGATTACCGAAACGATGAACGTTATATTAACATTGGATACTGAAGCAGTGGTCTACAGTGGGTTAACGAATGCTTAATGAAACATTCGCGGAATACAAACGCGAAATTAATATTTACGAGAACGTAAATATCACAGAAACACTTATTAACTGTATAGGACGGGAGGAAAATATTACATGTTAATTACCAAGTCAAACCTCAAAATTTTATCATATGTTGCTAGCGACATCAAGACGTAGCCAAATATAGCCGTAAATAATCCTTCCATATGCGTATAAAGTGTACTGCGGATTACACTCGAACTTCAATGTTTATCGAGTTGAAAATTAAGCTAGATTATTGTGTGATTCAGACGGTTTAACACGTAGAACACTTTACGGATCATAAAGATCACGAATGAAATTCTTTCGTTAATCGATTTTATGGGGACTCGAATGAATAAGTCATTTACCTCTATCTATCGTATCGTCAGTTATTATACTATAAAAGAAGATTTAAACTTGTGCTGTAATTTTGCAAAGACAGTTACAATGGGAGGCTTCTTGTACTCAAGCATAAGATTTTGAAAGTCTCCGATCTCAAGATAAGCTCTGGCGCAGCGAAATGTTGATCCGCAACGGTGTTGGTATTATTAGAAACGAATATTGAAATTTGTACTGTACATAGGATGTTGCGGTAAAATAAATACGTATACTTGGGGGCATAATGGCGAAATACGCGTTGGAAACTCTAATACACGAATGAGTCACGAAATGGATGTACGAATTATATTGTATAAAATCGTCTTCGTTAATATCAATAACTCGTATATACAAATTTGTCTTCTCTTCGCCTATCGATTCTAAATTTCGGCTTCCTCGTCGCTTGATGGATAAGCCGCCTAATAAAAGTTATTACGTGCGAAGAACTTCACCGGAAGATAAGGATAAGTTGCCAATGCCTTCAAAATTTCAGCGTCAGTAATACCATGACTATAGTACGCGTAAGATACGTAGTGATATTTCTGTATCTTGTTTCATTTTTACGTTGAACGTTTTAACGTCTTCGTCAACCATGTGTCTCAAACAAGATCCTATTATTTTTGCCTACCGGTGGCAGTTTTTGAAAAACGTTAGATGGTAACAATATACTTCAATGGATTGGTCTCCATGACGAAATTTTTCATTCGAAAGAAGCGCTAACGCATTTTAGTTATAAATGAATCTAGTGGGTATATTGAGACGTTTTTCTTTCAGTAGTCTTTTGCTCGTTACAGTGTAATCGTATTAGCTTTCGCATAGATATCACTTTGACTTATTTTCAATTTCATCAACAACGAATCAAATTATTCGTAATTTCGACAATCTCTTATTTATTATGATTAACGCTGATATTATTCGAGTTTTGTTTTTCGTCGAAGGAAAAGGAACAATGTTTATCCCAAACGGTATAACGCAAAGACAAAATATTTCAAACGTTCCCTTTATAAGTATACAGAAATTGTTATTGCGGATATAACAAGCAAACGAGACTGAAGATAATGTTGAAGTTGTAACATATAGTCTTAAATACATAAGCTTTCCCCTTATCACAAATATTCATATTCTTAGACAAGAAATAATTCCTATAAATAACTTTTTAATTTATACATGAATAGAAGTTATAATTCATTAATCTACGTTTTCATAATTCTTTGAAAAATCCCTTGGTTCGTTGATGGTGAAATCGAATAAATCGATCGTATTCGTTACATGACATGGCTAAATATCTGTCTATGTATCTTACGTCGCAGTACAAACGAACAAAATATGCCAGATAGCGACGACACAAAGGCACGACGAATTTGTAACTCCTCTAGCCGGCATTTACATTTTCTAATTTATCCTTTCGAGTCTATAAAGCGATATACTACTTCTCCTCCGAGGGAAAAAATGTCCTCGAATACTGGAAATAAACGTATGCGTGTTTAACTTGTAAATATAATTTAAAGAAAATTGATATTTAAACCTTAGACTCGGAAGGATTCGATGCTGGGCCAATGTTTAATCCTTTGGGTTTTTACGTGTACGCATATTTCATCATATACAGTCGTACATTACGGCACGTTATATTAAATTGTGAAAAAACTCACTTCAAGAGCGGGGCTAGCGCTTAAAAACCCATGCATTGAAAGGATTAAACGTTCCTGCACGAAGAGAAATTCGCGTTATTTCTTAACTTATCGCATAAAAATTATGAAAAGGAAGGAAGATTACGGGCGTTAAAATTTTTGGCCATGTTAAAATACATTTATATATCTATCGCTTCCATTTATTTCTACAATTAATATTAAATGCGGGTTTGTTTTTGTTTTGGCAAAACAAAGCAGTGGGACGCGTTTCCTCGGCAACGGAATACGGTAAAACCTTGTTGATTAAAAATTTAAAGAAATTGCTTCGAAGCCTCAACGCACAAAAGATAGTCTTAAATTAGTCAAGTATTTTAAAAAATCGTTAAACGCCATGGAGATTTATATTTTAAACGTAAAAATACGAATAACAAATAATTCCCCTTAAATAATCTGTAAAATATGATCGTTTTTGGTCTTCGAGTTAAAATGACGTAGAAAAAGATTGTAAAAAAATTCTCAACAAAGTTACCAAGACAGCAAATCACAAGGTTTTATGATACATCGAATATTCGACCAGTATTCAAGCTGCCGGCTCACGGAGTTTACGCGTCGTATTATTTCAAGAGGCGGTGCGATGATACCGCGAAGTAACAGCCAGATAAACATCAAGGAAGTCCGGACCAAAAGGTCTTGTGGTATCTAACTTGATCGAATACTCCTAGTATCGCATCATTACAAATCGACGATATGCGATAAATCGATGTTCAAGAACGAAACGCCTTGGCGGCATCAAAAATGGCGTCACAATGATAATTAAATATACCCATTAATAACTGGTCATAAAAATGAACTTTCTTTCTGTTTTTATTATTTTTTTTTTTTCTCAAACTATTTCGAACAAGAAGACGACATAAATATTACGGAAGAAAACGTTCTCATTTCGGGTAATTTTCGAATAACAAAGGATTCACATCATTTCGGAACCTTTTCGCATACACATTGTTTCATCCTGCGTATCTTTAAACATTATAACTGACACATCCTGCAGAATTACACATCTAGCGAACGCTAATATTTACGAACAAATAGAAACATCAAAAAGGCCAACCGATGGGATGTGTGAACAGCGATTTATCGTCGGGAACGCCGAGCAGTGAAGTCGAAGGACAATCCGCACCTTTAAATTATGCTTTACGATTAATTTTTGTTTCTTATTACGCTTGTCGCGATCCTCAACCAGGGTTCTGAGCCGTCAAACAATCATACGGCACATGCGTAACACGATAGACAGCAGTGAAAAACACGCAGTTCGGGTCACGGAACTACGCAAGAACAGAAAACGCAGCACTATCAACAGCATTCCAAATTGTACAGCTTTATGAAGCCAATATAACCTGAAACATAGTGGAATTATAAAATACACTGTTTAATCGTACGAAATTTTCGACGTTATTGTTTGTTTTAACTCTTTGGGGCGCGCTGGGATTAAAAACGTCCCGCCATTTTGATGCACCGTAATGCATAGTGGGACATTTTTAGTCCCACCTCGAAATATTGCAATAACTGCATGGGCATAGGTTAATATTTCGTCTTATTTACGTAAAGCAGTTGGTAATATCTTCAACAAATGTTACAAATGTATTCACTTGTGTTGGCAACATTCAACATGCCAATACAGGTTCATCAATTGTTATTTTGTTCGAATCGTTTACCGATCGGGCCGAGTTATACGTCATTCGATTCATCTAATTCAGTATATTATTAATATGCATTTCATTATTTGCGGAAATTCGTTATTTTTGTTTAAAGTTGTCGTAAAGTTGCAGTAAAAACTTAAGGTTAAGTATATTTTGACAGGTTCACAGGTAGAAACAAATGACTGTCGTTATTGTGTTCATGGTTTAAATTGTAGATGCCAGGTAGTCAAATGCTAATTTGTTAAACATGTATGCATAAAAGTCATTTTTTTATGCACATACTATGCAGGATTAGGTCAAGTAGACAGTATGTGTAGCAAAAGTACAAAATATTGTCCCCCCCGGCTCCTAACCTAACCCGGACCAAACTCAGCTACAGATGTCCTAAAATGAACATATAAGCAAACATACAATTATGAGCAATGCCATATTATTATATAACTAAAATTAAATAAAAGTACTGTTTTGCAATGGTCTTATTTTATAGGACAAATAATGGTCGATTGGCTGTATAATTTCTACACAGCAATTGGAAGGGTAGAGAAGATTGTCGAGATTGATGAATCAACATTTTGTCATAGAAAATATCACAGATGCCATTTGAAAATTAATCACAGCGTCAATTTTGAAGATCCCATTACTGATGCTTACACAAATTAAATTGAGACCACTTGGAAGCATGTCACACATTCTTTAATCTTTTTTATAACATATAATACTATCAATTTTCAAGAAGGGTAACTTCACTGGATACCTGAGCCATTATGTATTTAGTAAATGTTGTACCTAACAGGAAAATGATGATTTATTCAATGAAATATTAGCAGAAATAGCAGAAATTTCATTCGATACATGCCAAAAAAAGTAGCATTTGACTTCCTGTGATTTATAATTTACAACATGAACACAGTAATGACAATCACTTGTTTCAATGACATATAATTTACCCTGATCGGTGAACGGTTCGTTTGCTAGGAATATACCTTCTTTTTATGTTTTTACATTATGTGATACCTTTATTAATAAAAATATACCAATTTTGTTTAATTTAAAATGCAATAAAATTTCTATGCGACTATTTTATTATCTGAAATACTGTGCCGCAAAGAGTTAAACTGTACTGTCACGTATTCAACAAGTCGACAAGGTAAATCTACAGCTGTTCTATCAGAGATTCAAACGGTATTTGATATATTTTATTCTAATGGAAATTTTTTTTTTTTAACGATTTGGAATCTTCAAATTTATGTGTTATATAAGGAAGTTTGTTACTTAATTGTGAACTACATCTGTTTCATAAGCGGTAGGTTTGGAGGTCAAATCTTTGTAACTTTATCTTATCTTTGTTTCTTTCAATGTTTATTTTGTATACTTAAATTTCACACGATCCTATCTAATAGATATTAAATTATTGTTTAAAGACATACAAATAATATTAATATTTTGATAAATGTATTAAAAAAAACGTTGAAACTGTTACACTTTAATATCTGTTATACTTGTAAAATTAAATATATATTCAAGTATAGAATTTTAACGGATTTTTCAATAAGTGTATCAAATTATTAATATTGTTTGTATATTTTTAGATACAGATTTTATACTTGTCAAATAAGATTTTATGACATTTTCTAAGGCTCTTAAACTTGAAAACTTTAGTAGTGCAAATCTTAATTGTTTATTAAAGATTGTTCATCGGAACTAAATATTTTACAAAATATCATCATTTAACGTCTATGTGAATTTTTCGAAGTATTATCAAAGTTTCTGATGGAACAACTGTAAGGTTACTTTGTGAGTCATTTTTACAATTAACACTGAACTCTCTGGCTGTAAGTCGTATTCTTTTGGAAATTGCTTCTAGAATTACGGTTAATTTGATCAATTGGGTAATGACTAACTGACTTAGTTCTACATAGAGGTTCTGAGAGTAGCAATGCAACGATTACTTATTCCACTCTGTTTTATTTTATTTATATTTCTACTGTAACACAAGTACAATAGGATTTATAGAAATGAAGAAAATTGTAAAAAGGGTTTCATCCGTAAACAGGACTCATAATGGGAGCGTTAGATCAAACCGAGATTAAAATGTAGGTCACGATACGTATGAACAACTCCTAAAGTATTAATTGTAACCGCACAGACGTTTTTATAAGAAATAACGTGAAATGTACAAATTTGGAAGACCGCGGATTCAACCACGTTTTTGTTCCTAATTGTAAATCTTAACTTTAATCAAAAACAACAAAATAATTAATGATTCGCCGTATGCATTCAGATACTTTAATGTTAGTGGAATCATTGCAATAGAAAGAGTTGGGAGTATAACTAGCAATAAAGATTCAATTTTTTGGGTAAATTATCAATTGTAAAGCGAAAACATATCCTATCATTTGAAACAAGAACGAAATCTAAGATTTATTTATACTCATCGTGCCCTACATTTTAACCTCGGTTTCATCCAAAAACGCTCATCCCAAGTCTGATTTGCCTTGGGACACCAACAACGATTACTACTATGCTCTCAGCTTTTTTATTAAAGCTAATTACAATTTTGGTAGCTGTGAGAACCTTGGAAGATATTTCAAAAATATACAATTTACTCCAAGATAGTTTTTAATAGTACCAATTGCAAAGAGACTCGAACGTTGAGAAACCCAAAGGTAATACATACTTTTTAATATGTGAACGAGCAGCTGGCAGCGTGTCCGGACTTTCCTTCAAGATGAAGTGTCGAATTCCCAATATGTAGTGTTCCAAATACGACGGCCAGTCAATTTGTCTAACATCAAACATAAATGTTTGTCGATCCTCGGGACTAAGCTGTTCCCCTAATCGTCGAACGTTATCATCTCTAAAGTTCCATTCTTGCGTACTGAAATACTCCAAGCATTTGGCGGCTTTATGGAGTTTCGTTTGTATGTCGACCATAATGGTCGGTTTGCCCCTCAGTCGCAGGAAAAAGTCTAAAACGTATGCCGGCAGCATGTGCTGGAAGACCGCGCACACTTTATTCATTATAGCGGAATTACGGCACAGACCGCCTGGATACCAAATCGCACCGTTTGGCGGGTGCATCCGCGTGTATTTAAACGTCAGATCAACGAACTGTTTCCAAGTAATTGGGTTCTGTTGACCTGTACAACAGTTGTATACGGGAATCGTCTTCGTGCGATTCGTGGCGGTTCTCCATGCTGTGCAGATCATCAAATTAATCACTATGTCGACCGGTACTAAGTCTGCTACCTTCTGTTCGTGACACAGCATCGTTCTGCAACGATAACGGTACATCAATTAACAACATTTTCAACTGTAAACGCGTTCGTGGAACATTATACAGGGTGTTCGGCGATCTCGGGGAAACATTTTAATCGGAGATTCTGGGGGTCAAAATAAGACGAAAATGAAGAATACCAATTTGTTGATTGAGGCTTCATTAACAAATTATTAACGTTTAAAGTTTCGCCTGTAGAACGGTAATCTGCGAACAGCCGCGCGTGCGCGGTAGTGGTTCTCACTTAGAAAACTGTAAGGCTGTCGATACGTCAGTAAGTAGAGTTTCTCATGCTGAGTGAGAACCACTATTGCACGCACGCAGCTTGCCGTTCTACAGGCGGAACTTTAAACGTTAATAACTTTTTAACGAAGGCTCAATTAACAATTCTTGATTCTTGATTTTCGTCTTATTTTTGCCTCTAGAATCTCCCATTACAATTTTTCCCCGAGGTGGCTGAACATCCTGAATATTGTAACATATGAAATATTAGTTTTTTTTTGCTTGATGCAAATATTAAAAATTGGGTCTGGGTTAGGTAGTTGGACGATTTTGTAAATGTACAGCAGGGAGCGTGATGGATTAGCCCTGGAATTAGATCAACAGAATTTCTTATTAACAAAGTACGAAATATAATAACCGTGGCATTCGTTTTAGGATCTCTATTTAATAAACTATATTTAAATCGCAAGTCGCGGTTTATCGAGTCCACTTCTAACCAAAAGATACGAAACGAACGAGTGTGTATTACGATTTTCATTTTTATTTTTATTTCATATGTTACAATCTAATAATTTCGTAGAAGAGAAGAAACGCAACTGCTGTAATCGACTCAAACTCGACTGGTCATTCAAAGTAATTTCCATTACGGGGATAGAAAGCGTGTATTTATACATTTACACGAAAAAAATGGGAGATGGACAAGGAGAGAGTCTGGCGAGTGTAGCCAAACGTTTATGGTGGGGATAGCTTCTCTCAGTGGCTTTGAGCGGTCAGTCGATTTTGCTCCAAGTACGGAGGAATAACAAGCAACTACAAGTTCAACGTACCTGAAAACACCTTTACCAGCAGCGGCGATAATTCCAGTCGGTCCATTCCAGTTATCCACCCATCCAGCTACTGGCTCTCTAAGCGACGACAAGACGATAGAAGGTCTCACGATTGCGACCGGCAAATAACCAGATTCTGATTGCAACAGCCTCTCAGTCAGAGCTTTGGTGAATGTATAGGTATTCGGTCGGTTGCCGATCAGAGTCGGTGTTATATCATCAATCATCTTGGCATCCATGATCTTCGTCAATGCGATTATGTGTTCAGGTTCGGCTGGGAGTGGATAGATCTCCTCAGCGACGTCCGTGCGGTCGCAGTTACAATATGCCGTGGAAACATGGATGAGAGCCTTTTCATTAAAATATACAGATTAAAGATTAAAATCACAGATTATGTATCCTTTAATCCTTGTAGGGGGCAGTCTAATATTTTGTATTTTTTTTTTCTTACTAATTTTTCTATTATACGAAAGAACAAATAGGTTACAATCAAAATTCGAAGACATGTAGCTCTTTTAACGTAGTCGAATATTTCTCGTCTTTTTTTACTTTTATTCATTCGAAGCAAACATGAGCAAGATTTTATTCGAATAATAAAAAACGAATGGAAAGAGTTTATTTCTGATCTTCGTTTTACTGGGCAGACAAATCTTTATTCCTGCATTGTGAAATATTTCATTGTACAGTTCAAATTTTTATTTTTATTCGACAAGTAACGAATAAACAGTCGTTTATCTTTTATTCGTTATTTGAAGCCTTTATTTAGATAAGAATCGTCACTGTTTCAAAGCACGATGCAAAAAAGAAAAATTAAATCTTACAGAGATTATTAATCTACATATACTAGTTTGTAAATATGGAAGCAGTCGTAGCGTATAGAGAAAAACATATAGCGATAATATCTTGGTTCGTCGGCGAAGAGATGCTGATTTTTGTCAAAGCCTTTTAATAGTTGTTGCACCTCGATTTCAAAGCATGTTATCTATCTAGTTAGTCTATTTTTCTTTTTTCACCTTCAACGACGAAGGCCACGTTGATGCGCATAGCTTTGAAAGAATCAGCATAGTACAGCAATGCTTCGATAACTGCAAGTCATTTTCGATTGGATAACTGAACAGTAGTCATCCCTGTTACTGAGAGGGGGCTCCCCTTGACACACAAAGAAGCTCAATGTCGAACGAACCGCGTAAGTGTAACCTGATCTGGGCTCGAATATCGGTGAGATAATACATAATAAATAATGCATTGATGAAACTTTTTTATTTTTGTATTTTTTTAAATGAAATTTTTACCAATGTATTTGTGAAAGTTTTCCGATTAAAATAAGACCAAACACGATATAATTTGTTTTTAACCTACTCCTAATACAGTAAAAAATCTTGTTAAATACGTAAATACGATCCAAGTTATTGTATTTGGTCTTACTTTAATCAGAAAGCTCTTAACGTATATATTAGTAAAGGTCCCATTAACAAAAAATAACAATTAAATAAGATTCACATTGTATTATTCTTATTTATAAGGCTTGTGCCTTTCTGGGGACTGAGAATTAACTGTGCTCTTATAACTGCGTCATTTTGGTCCAACGTTTCTTGCAGTTATCCAAAATTTGCTGTATCGCGGAGAAACGCAATTGCTTTCAGGACAAAACCAAAATATCATAGGTCATTGTGTTTGAAATTCTACTTATATGGGGCACTATTATACAGGCTGGTCGGCCACCCCTGGGAAAAATTTTAGTGGGGGATTCTAGAGGCCAAAATAAGACGAAAATCAAGAATACCAATTTGTTGATGAAGGCTTCGTTAAAAAGTTATTTCCGTCGAAAAATTTCACACTTTCTCGAATTTTTGTCTCGAAAGTGGATAGGATTTCGGTGGTATGTGTATTCATAAAAAATGATTGTAATTGACCCTCGTAACCGAAAATAATTTTTCCAGAACGATTTGAAATTATTGAATTTAATTCTTAATAACTTTTTAACGAAGCCTTCATCAACAAATTGGTATTCTTGATTTTCGTTTTATTTTGGCCTCTAGAATCCCCCATTAAAATTTTTCCCGGGGGTTGCCGAACACCCTGTATAATGGATGAAACGTATAAGAAATAATTTGAGGAAAATGTCTCACCTCCAAATTGTGCATGCGATGGCACAGTTTCAATAGCTGTTTAGTGCCGACCATGTTGATAGTAATTGAAAGTTTCAGCGCTTCGTCGAATTTAACAGTGGCAGCGGAATGAAAGACGACCGACACGCATCGTATGAGCGTATTCTGATCGGTCTCCGAGATGCCTAATTCATGTTCCGTCACGTCCCCGTCTACAGGAATGATTTTCGAAAGCTCGAGTGGTGAATCCCGTCGTAACTTCTCGAAGAGCTATCAACACAATACGTTAAACTTTATGACACCGCGTAGTGAGTCAGATTTGAAGTTTCGCAGTACATATTAACAAGTAGCTAAATAAACCCTTACGACTTTCAAAAACTTAATAAAAAAAAAATGTATATTAAGTTATGAATAACAGACAACTGACAATCAAATTCAATACGATGTAAAATAATATAACCAAAGAATTATCCACTTAATGATAATTGAAAATTTCATTGTTCTTGTTCATATGTTTAGTGTTCAATATTATTCTTTTGTAATTGCTCTTTTTTTAAACATTGTTACTGTAAATATGAATGGAGCAACTTCGTCAATAGAATGTTCAAATGTTTATACGAAGCCCATTGACTTATTTATTATTCACTGCCCAATTTTCATGCAAGTTTTGAGCTGTTGAATGTTTTTAAAAAAACAGTAAGAAATAAATAAGTACTTTATCTGTCCAATATCAACATCTTAAAGAATAAAATAAAATAAAACTATGAACATTGGAGGACTCTGGTGACTGAAAATTCGAATTTCGAACGACTGATGAGTATTTTCAACTCTGCTCGAACCTTGAACCTCCGCATACGATCAAACTTCGAACTTCGGAAGTCGCGAACGTTCGATTCAGCGAAGTTTAGAAACCAGGCCATTCCTGTTTTTAACTTTGATCAAATTTCGTGCGTAGAGAGATCGGCAGCTAAACCACACGAACGATCAGTTATGATACAGTGCATCCATTTCGTTCTAGTAATATAAACTAGTTCTAATGCAGCTACAAAAATGCGCGGGGGAAAAAGTAATCTGCCGATCAGATTACTGGAAACTGGAACGAAAACTACCAAGCCACTGCTCCGTTAATCGAGTTATTCGTGGTGAACATCATGATTCGAACGAGCCCTTTGTTCAAATTGTAGCGTCGATAAGTAATAACCAGGAACTGCGAGCCTTGTTATAACCAAAATAAAAAATTTGATACAATAACAATTAAAATGTTTCTAATTGCAAATAATGATTACGAGCGACGGGGAAAATAAATTTCGATCGCTAGTAATTTCATTTTTCCTACTATGATTCGTTTTACGTAATTGATACTCATTATCAGTAATTCGAATTAAAATTTTTACTATTGGAAATGGTTAAACACAACGTAAAACAAACAATTTGCTCGGTCGAATGCAATCGAAAACACATTTCCATTATAAAAAGCAATGTAAGAAAGAAACAATATCCTTGACGCCCACTCAAAACTGCTTGTGCAAATATCGTGAAATTCTTTACGTCTTACAGAAGTCCACGAAGATAAATTATTCAAGCCTTTAATGAAACTGTTGATTCTAGACCGTCATCCTGCGACGATATTTGTTTATCATACATTTTTGTTCGTAAGAATTAACTTGGTCCAACAATGATGAAATTTTGATCCTTAAAACCGACTGCTTCTCTAGTTCTCTAGTTTCTTTTCAGTCATCGGCGTCTATAATTTGAGAGTGGTCACAAAAGACGTTGGTCCAAATCATAGATTCTCTCAAATCGTGACCTCAGAATGGTTTCCTTGACCATCGAAAAAACTTTGGATTCGAAATAACACGCGATGTAAACATAATGACACAAGGCAGAACCTCGTTACTGAAAGCATTAGTGGAAAGAGACAGACTCGATCGATCGGATTGCTGGACCAGGGATTTCAACCCGGATCTATCGTTTGCTGGACGACTGCTGCTGCACCAATTGAGCTATCCAGGCCATCGATAGATTCCTCCTCAAGTTCCACATTCGAGAATGACTGTAGTAGGTTCGTCTAGCTGTATAAACCCGACTGTTCTCTGGTCCTCGATAAACGCAAACTTTGAAATAAAATACGAAAAATAAAGGCACGCAGAGTTGGCGGCATTACTGAAAATTGTAGACCAATAATACCAAACATGCACCGCGACCTTTTCTATTTTTACTTTTGTTCTCGTTTACTTTGCCAAGTTTTCTTACTCGTGTACTATCTACATATGTTTATTGTTTCTTTCGATAATGCAAGACAACGAAACGTCTAGAAGATATAACTGTTCAACATCTTTTGTTTAATTTTTAAACTGAAATTTTCGACAAAATTTATTTCTTAGAATGTGCAAAGTGGTACCAAGTATTTTGAAGAAACTACGTTGCTTATTCTTTTGGTTGTTTCTGAAGAAATTATCTTCTTTTCAACTCTACATCTGCTTGTGACGTGGCGTTTTAACGAACGAAAAATAAGCTTTAAAAGTTGTTTGATCGTTGCTGAAACTGTCCATCTTTGTCCATCGTGACAGTAAAGTTTGGCATGGTTGTTGTAAACGATGAAAGGAATCGGTTGATCACACAGCTGGTCCACGATTCAAGGCCGTGCCTACTATTGCGCTACCAATCGAATTACACAGAATAACACAAAAGTGATGCCACAAAACATACATAAAATCGAGAGACAAATCTTAAGAACCTTGGACCCTCAAACGTTCTATTCTTGAGATCAACAGATCTTTATCTGTAAGTCTAATGATCCAAAATGGCTCCCGTTTACACTTCAACTATATAGCTTGACAAACAGGGACATCCTTGACCTCGTACGAAACTTAAGATTCAAAATGACACGGGATTTAAATGTGAAAGGCTCAAGGGCGAATAGCGTTTCTGAAAACTGTAAACGCAAATAGAATTGTTCGATTTCTAGATCAGAATTTAAATACGGATCTTTTGCTCGTCGCGTGGTAGACCATTATGGATCAACCAACGTTTTGGTGACTAATTTCGGGGAATTCCCAATAACATGTTCCTCCTATTTTAGTATCTGAACGTATTTTGTAATAAAATAGCAAAATTAAGGGAGGCAAGAATTTAATTATTTTTGGATCACAACTATAGTAAAACTCTCGTAGTCTTATCTTCAAAATAATAATAATAACAACAATGAGTTACGCTTTTTCCTTTTAAATCTCATTAATTATTTATGTATGTTCCTATTTAATATCGATACTTGTTACGTATCAACTTTTAACTAGTGTTGAGACTGATGACTAGACTGCGGATGTTTATGCATTTATGGGAAATTTTGATTCTTAACAAAATACAAAATGCATTTAATATGCAAAAGGGATTGAGACAATCCTCTTCAGAGCTCCCATTTCATTAACACTGTTAATAAAAATATGTATTTGCATAAAGATCTGCAGTTTACTGATACCAGTTTACATAAAATATTAATTAATAGAGCGTTTGGCCTTGTTGTTAGTCAAAAGTTTTGTCATCTGTATCATCAACGCGATAATCAACGGGGTTATACCAATGTTTCATATAACTTCTATGGATTTCATTTATGTCATTTTACTGTATGTAGTGGGTCATTGTATTTATCTCAACAAACGCAGTTACATTATGATTTATTTTGGGTTAAATTTTATCCTCGGTTGAATTCATCCATTAAAAGCAATCTATTAATGAATTTTTCTTATAATTACTGAAAAATAAAAATTGTTCCAATTTAATTTAAATTTTGTACACCGATAAATTTCGAATAATATTGTAGAATCAGAAACTCAATATGTTTCGTGTTATTCGCTACTAAAGCTTTTAATACGTTTGAAAACTTATTTGATTAGGGGGGCATTCTACTGCAAAATAGGTACTGTATGATAATAGAAAAATCTATGGCAAAACCTGGTTTAACATCCAAAAAAAGTCATGCTTACAGTTTGGTTGTCTGCTTTGGAGTTTATTCGTCACAATTTTCTAAGATCAGGTGTCTTACAAAAATTGTTTATATAGAGGAGGACATTTTGCCTGTAAGTGTTGTGGCGAGCAAGATATCAAAAACAAATTAATTTTTTTAAACGAGACCCTGCATTTTCTTATTCATAACATAATAGAGTTTGTTGATATAAATTCAATGTTTTATCATATACAGTAAAATGACATAAATAAACTCTACGTGGTGTATCGGCTAGCCTGAATGACGCCATAAACCAGAGCTTGAAGCTGTTTTGAAAATAATTGTTTGAAACCTTTATATAAAAGTTTTAGTTCAAACTTTTATGAAAAACACGTTAAGTTAAACTGTTAAGTCGAACTATATCGGTTTATGTTAAAGTTCGTACATAAGCTCTTATATAGGTTCTATACTCGTTATTTTTTAGGTTCTATATAAATTCTGAAACAGTTCGGAATCTAAATAGTGTAAATATATGTCGTATTTATCTTACAATATAATAAACATCTGATCTGACCATCGAAAACAGCGAATATTTACATTATATAGATTCGAAATTGTTACAGAACCTACATAGAATCTCCAAAATGGTGGTTATAGAATCTACATCATAGTTGATACAAGAACTAAAACTTAACTTCATAACTGTTTCAAGACCCTAAACTTACATTAAAACAGTTTTCAAGTCCTGTTTTACCACATCTATATTCCCCTGATTTATCTCCGATTTTCATTTTTTCCGTTCATTTCATAGTTTCCTTAGAGAAAATCGTTTTAAGAATTAGGAAGATATCGAGCACGTTTTTTAACAATTGTTTTCTTTCAGGGATTCTGATTTCTGTGCAAACGGAATTAAATTATCTTGCAAAACTTTGGTCCGAAATATATACAAAACGATGGAAATTATTTTTAATAGTAATATTGAACCTCGATGGAACTCGTTTAAAATGGGCGGTTGGAAACCTATAATTGTATGTTTCTTCTATAAAATTTTTTATCTGTCGATAAAAATAAAACTCCACGGATCATTGGAGTGCGCTTGGAAAATAAAAATTAAAAAACAATTTATTCGATCGATGGATTTGAAACCCAAGTCTACACCGCCATTTTCGTTCGCCATTCCTGATTCCTGAAATTGACATAGTTTTTAACACTAGCACGGCGGTTGTTGGGGATTATTTTTTACCCAGATACACTTATTTTTCATTCATTCTTTTCGCCCATTTTCCAAAACGTTAATATTTTTGGTACTCATTATACACTCAGTTACTGTTTATATTTAAGAGCAATGATTTAATAAAATATGTATACTCTTAATAAAATTTAAAAATATTTAGGACAAAATTCGAAAACAAATATTCTACATTATTGCAGATTACAAGTGTAAATGTAAGATACGGGTCTATAAAGACCCAATCGCCATTCGTGTAACTATTTTTATGTAACCGCGCGAGCGTTAAAGATATTAAAAAACTTTAAACGCGAATACCGGGTGTACAAAGTTTCAATTAAATTGGAAACCCGTGAAGGTCTTGCACTCTGTACAAAAAGCTACTTCTGAACAATGAAGTGAGCATAAAAAGGTTAAAAACCATTGGGTATCTTTCAGTATTAGCAAACTGGCTGTAAAAGAGAGAGTTGCATTCATCTTACCGGCCCGTTTAACAATTGCTGCAACCTTTGTTGAACATCCTGGCCTCTTTTGGGTCTCATCAACAAATAAATATTCTTTATTCCGGGACAAGATCTGAGTAACTTCTCGACGAGGACTTTGCCCATGAATCCAGTACCGCCGGTGATGAAGATAGACCTGTCCCTGTAGAAGTCCTTCACGGACGTGCATTGGGTGCCGCTCATTGTGCTCATTTTGACGTTCGTTTGCGAAACGGAATAATTCTTAATTACTTTCCTTTCACGACGGGGCTGGAAGCTTTCGCGCAACGAGAGACTGGTTCGCTTCTTCTTTCGCGGGAGTTCTTCAGGATCAGAGAGTAGCCACTAGCAACTTGTTCTTCTCTTCGGCTTGTTCTTTGGTCTTGATGCAATTTCTTTTCGCTACGTGTATAGTCGTTCGTGTTTTATTTTTCCTTTTCTTCTTTCGTTCCGCTGTACAGTGATAGAAACTCCCTCAGAGATGGGGGAACAGACTTTGAGAAAGATGCAACGAAAACTGGTACACGTTCACGCCGTTCCAGGTTTTTCCAAGCGGGCTACAAATGGATTTAATTTCTGCTGGATTCATTTCGTGCCTCCTGCGACCACAGCTTTTATTCGGCTGAAAACAGAAAAAGGAGAAGGAAATTAAAATCACCGGTCGCGTTCCCGCTTATCGCGCGATGGAAAGAAACGATTTCTACGATCGTTTCTTCCCCCCTGCCTTTTTTCGCTATTCGCCTTTGCAAGCACTTCGACGCTAGAATCTCGTATTATTGATTTTCGACCGGTTTTTATCGTAATTCTCTATGACTCATCGTAATAGCCTGTCCTCGCTTGTATTCGCTAAAGTCTGATTCAATTTTTCCGACGTTTCCGACAGACGTTTCCATTCTATTCGATGTTTGTCAAGATTTCTATACACCGTATCGTAACTGTATTTGCTGATGTACTTAGCAGATCGCGTCATCGCGATTTTTTAAAATTAATCGATCATCGACGATGATAGAAATATGTCTATGTTTAGAACGGAGGAAGGTTTTACTGTGAGTTCAGTTTATTAAGAAATTCCGAGTAATAACTAGACTGCCGACGTTTATGCAAACACACGTGCTTTGAAATTTGTCTCGTCATTAGGTGTCGAACATGTATTTTTTACTTTGCAAATTTCGCATGATACATGTATTCCGCATATTTTAGTTAAATGTTATATTCACGATTATATGTATTGCATGTTCCGCATGTATACAGGGTGTTCGGCCACCCCTGGGAAAAGTTTTAATGCAAGATTTTGGAGGCCAAAATAAGACGAAAATCAAGAATACTAATTTGTTGATGAAGGCTTCGTTAAAAAGTTATTAATGTTTAAAGTTTCGCCTCTAGAACGGCGAATTTTTTTCTCGAAAATGGGTAGGATTTCGAAGGTATGTCTATTGACCAAAAATGGTTGAAATTGACCCCCGCAACCGAAAATAATTTTTCCAGAACGATTTTAAATATTTTAATTTTGTTGAAGAATTTCATATATTCTCGAATTTTTGTCTCGAAAATGAGTAGGATTTCGGAAATATGTGTATGCATAAAAAATGATTGCAATTGACCCCTACAATCGAAAATAATTTTTCCAGAGTGATTTGAAACTTTTCAATTTCGCCAAAAAATTTAGGCAGCTACACCGGGTTGATTTTTCTTAAAAATTCGTTTTTGATTTTTAGTAATTTTGTTTGACGCCCTACAGAAAAATTGTCTAATACTTTTTTGTAGGTACCCATGTGCTCTACTGTAGAAAAAAGTTTTATTGAAATATATTCACTATTGTAGAAGTTATGGTCGCTTGAAAATTGGACTATTTTTATGGGGTTTTTCTCATTTTGCGGGGTCAAGGATCAACTTTTGAAATATTTTTGCGGGTTTTACATATTCATCGCCTAAATGCGCGTTGTTTGCCGTTTGAAACATTAAAATCGTCATGAAATTACAGGGAAGCATTTCTGGTCTCACATTAGATTTTCGGTAAATAATTTTTTTTCACGAAAATGCGCAGGATTTCGGGGGTACGTCTATTCATCAAAACTGCTTCTAATTGACCCCTGTAACTAAATATAATTTTTTCAGAATGATTTGAAATTTTTTAATAACTTTTTAATGAAGCCTCAGTCAAGAAATTGACATTCTTGATTTTCGGTTTATTTTGGCCTTCAGAATCTCCCATTAAAATTTTTCCCAGAGTTGGCCGCATACCCTGTATAACGTATTTATCTCTAACGTTTTAAACGGTGAAAATTTAGAAAGACGAGAAAGTGTACCGGAATGGTATTGCGGCAAATTTAAATGCGTTACGAATGTATTAAATCCTGAGATAGAATGCTATTTTTTATCACAGAAATGAATAGTAACAACTACATGTCAATGATTAACTATTTCGAATATAGAAAAAATTCCTTGTTTATTGTAAAAATATTGTTAAATTAGTATCACGATTCGTTTGTTAAGATTAATTGGGTCTTTCTGAAAATATATCATTTATTCCATTATTGCATTTTTATAATTTAAAAATTTAATGTTTCTAAATTATCAATATTGTACTGTAATAATTCACTTAGGTATACAAAAATTTGAATGGAAAAAGACCACTTCTTAAGACTTGAAAAAGTATTGACTCAAAAACTCAAAAGTTTCAAATTTAGAGTGGAATCATACGACGATGTGTAGTGTTTTAATACATTTGAAGAAAAAAATACAGGGAATACAACCGTTTTTTGTGTAAAATAACAGCAAAAACGTCGAATATATCGAATAATTTTTCAATTATTAGTTTATAATGTGAAATTACACTAAATCGAATAAAATACCTTTAAAATGTAGTAGAATGTTACAACATTTCGAATAATGTTTTACACGACAAATGTATATTTGTAAATATTATTTGTGTGTTTTACATATTTTTTGCACGTGTATACATACATATTTCACGTGTATAAATGTCATATATTCTTTGCATATCTCACGTGCATAAAGATTCGCAGTAATAACGACATGTTAAGAAATATAGCTTTCATAACTAAAAAAATGATTACATTACACAGGTATGTATCTGTCACAAAAAGTAATACCAAAGCAACTACACTGACACTGTTGGCACATTCTCAGTTACTGGACTAAAAATCTTCTAAAGATTCTAGTTTAAGATAAACTTAAAAATCAGAATAACACCATAAATTCAACACTAAAATTAAAAACGGGATTAAATTAGCCCACAGTATTTGAAAACAATTATTTTAAACACGTTAAAATGTTTCGATGACGTTAAATAAAATTTACAATATTTTATAGGTTGCGCTAGAAAATATTGAAATTATACTTTTTAGATAATCTTATAAACAAAATATTGTTTTTCGAAAAAGTGCCCGAGTATTAATGTAACATAAAAACACGACAGTTTTGTTGTTTGGAATTTACTGAACAATTAAACATTATCATTACTAAGAAATTGTTTGTGTAATTTCGAGATCACTAATTTCGTAAAATAAGCAATTATTTATCTCTTCGTATAAGAAGGAACAAATACTACGATAGTGATGTGTCCGAATTTTAATGTAACTGTACGTAACGGATGTAGAAAAATTCTTTAAAAAATACAGTAAATCCAGTCGTTATTCTTAACGACGAACAACTGTCAAAATGCTGCATTATCGAGGAATATATTATTATTTATTTCGAGTGAACGTGCAACGGAAAGAAAAAAATTCCATTCGCGGAACGGTCTCCCCCGTAAATCCAAAAGTACATTCAGCGCTCGCGAAGTGTTAATTCCGACAGTCAATTCCGGCCAAGCGCGGAGGAAAGTTTGGCAACGAAAATTCTGTTCTACCGTCGGAAGGCGCGAATAATAAAAATAAGAAGTGGGTCAAAGTCCTACCTTGAAACACTAAAACGAACGTCAGAAACCGCGATCGGCTCCCTTTTATACAAACGCGCATAAAAGGCTGTTGCAGACCTTGACTGTTTCGTGGCCCGTTCCTTTGGCTAGTAATGACCAACGAATTCTATGGACCCGAACGTCGAAATTAACGAACGCCGCAAACGCGATCCAGTCTTATTTAACATTATAATTTCGAAACGCGAGAACCAAGGCCGCGATTTATTATAAAATAATAAAAATGGAGGGAAAATAATACCAAAAAATAACTGACTGACGTTAAATTTACGAAAAAGGTGAACGCACCGTGTCGAAAGAAAACGCTTTCCACGAAGTCGAAAACTGGTTGAAGGAAAAAAAAATTTGTCCCGGGAATTAACGATATATGGCCTCGTTCACATCGTAGCCCGGAATGTTTTCGTCCGCACACGGACACGTTTTACGCGAAAAGAACCGAGGGAACGCTATCAACCGGCTTCCTCCTTATCTTACGCCACACCTAATATAGCTTCATTCGATAGAAATTTTTCTCAATATAATACCGCGCAAGTGGGAGCAGCCTATTGCTAAGCGTGCGCTATCTGAACGATTGTATCGACTCGCGGCCAAACTAGCGCGATGAATGGCGAAATGTTAATGAACACTAATGATACGAGCATTATTATTTTGAACAACTATGTGAATCTTCAAAAAAAAAATATTTCAATGTAAGAATGATTGCAATTGATCCCTGCAATTAAATATAAATTTTTTAGTATAATTAGAAATTTTTTAATTTTGTTGAAGAATTTCATATCTTCTCGAATTTTTTTCTCGAAAGTGAGTAGGATTTCGGGGGTATGTATATTCACCAAAAATGATTGTAATTGACCTCCGCAACCGAAAATAATTTTTTCAGAATGATTTGAAATTTTTTAATTTAATTTTTTAATAACTTACTAACTTACTAACGAAGCCTCAGTCAAGAAATTGATATTCTTGATTTTCGTCTTATTTTCGCCTCTAGAATCCCTCATTAAAATTTTTCCCAGGGGTGGCCGAACACCCTGTATATTAACTATTCTTGTAGGAGCAATATTTGCAGAAAATCATGAAAACGATATTTCATATCGCTTATTGTCTAAATACAATTCTTTTTATATCGAATTATTACGCGTGGCAATGATCGTTGCTATATTATTTCAGAATTTTCGTTTTTAATAAATAATAGTAATATTATTAATACTGAGTGAGCTTGTAAAATTAACAACATTAATAAACAAAGAATTTACAAATAAACTAACGAAAAAATTCACTCAGAAACTTTGTACTGGAATGCGAAATAATAAAATTCAGATTTGGGTCAAAAGGGACCCGAAATCCACCAAAACTGAAAATTCATGAAAATTCGTTAAGACTTTTGCAATTTTCTGAATTATTGATAAATATGTCAAACGTACTCTGTAGCTAGGCCACGTGTGTAAAATTTAAAGTAACGAGCATGATTATTTTGAAGAATTATGTAAATCGTAAGAAAAAAAATATTTCAATGTAAACAACATTTTAAACAGTATGATTTCTCTGGAAACTGGAGAATTCTCTTTTCTGAAAACCTTTTGGACAAATGATTTGTGGATATCTGTGAATTAGATTAAAATATAGTGCCCTGAGTGCACTATTTATTACAGTCGATTTTAATAGAGAAAAAGCTGACAAATCTATAT